AAGCTCAGCAAACCTGCTGCCCCTGGAACTGGGTGAGGAGAGTGCAGCTGAATGGGACACAGCTGTGGGCAGCCTGAGGAAGTGCCATCCACCTTGGGCCTGTCCATAAAAAGCAAGTCTAGACTGAGAGACTAGGGTGATGTCTGCTGTTTCCAGGAACTCTTCTCATTGTGAGATTTTTGCGAGTGAGATGAGAATTTGTTTGGACCCTGGCTGAGAAACTGGAGGCTGAGAGCGTGTGTCAGAAGGAAAATGAATTGATATTGCTTTTTTTATATTAGCAACTTTGTATTAATGTAACATTTTTATATGCAACTGTGTATTTTTGTAATAATTTGTTTGTCTGTTGTTGCTTGTTTTCTGTATAACACACACACACACACACACACACACACACACACACACACTGGTACCTCGGTTTTCAAACATAATCCATTCTGGAAGACAGTTTGAGTTCTGAAATGTTCAAAAACTGAAAACTCAATACAGAAGCCTCAGTATAGAAAACTCAATACAGAAATCTCAATACGGAAGCTGTGTGGCATGTTCAACTTCCGAGGCGTGTTCAAAAACCAAAGTATTTACTTCTGGGTTTACGGCATTTGAAAACCGAAATGTTCATCAGCGGAGATGTTTGAAAATTGAGGTACCACTGTATACAGTCATACCTCAAGCTGAATGTGCTTCAGGTTAAGCACTTTCAGGTTGCGCTCTGCGGCAATCCGGAAGTAACGGAGCGCGTTACTTCCGGGTTTCGCCACTCGCGCATGCGCAGACGCTCAAAATGACATCACGTGCATGTGCAGAAGCGGCAAAACGCGACCCACGCACGCGTGCCATCGTGTATTACGTTCCATTCAGGATGCGAACAGGGCTGTATATATATATAGAGAGAGAGAGAGAGAGAGAGATTAAACAATCAAATTCAATCTACCTAACAATCTGTACTTCATCTGCAGCTACCAATAAAAATCAACCCATTTTGCAATGCAGTTCTCCAAACAAAACAGGTTAGAGCATAAAGATACATATATTAGTGATAACAACATTCAGGAATGCATTATACTGGGGGGAAACTGCTTGCGAAAATGAGTATATATTTGGACACATGAGCGCAAAAGTACTAATGAATTTTTGTGAGGGCTTACTTTTTATTATTATTTTGCAAACTGCTGTTGTGAACTGAATTTAAGATTGGAGAAATGAGACACTGAAAGCAACCGAAATGGTCAGGTTAATTTATATCAAACCCCTGTTAAAACTGGTTGCTGACCAGGGCTCTCTAAACCTTACCTAGGCAGTGCTTTGACAATCTGAATCATTCAGTTCAGTTGACTGCCACAAAGTTCAGAAAAATGCAAGGGCTTCTTTTGCACAACACATATTTAAACTTGTGGAACTCACTGCCACAAAAAGTGGTGAGTTGCCACTACCTACATGGCTGCGAAGAGGATTAGGCATACCGCCCATGATCTGGTCTATTGATGGCAAGCAGCCATTGTAGCTAACAGAGCCTACGTGTACAGGGGCAGTAGATCTCTGAGCAACTGGCACTGTGGACAAATCACAAATTTGAATGACCAACAAAATCTCTTCAAACGTGCCTGGAAATCATCTCCACTATGTGTTAAGTTGCCTGCAATGTCATAGCCTCCACTTTACTTGGGGAGCTCCTGAGCACTCTTCAGAGCCATCGGTCAGCTCAGACCCGCTCAGGATAAGTTCCAAAAACAGCATAACAAATATCTCTTTACTGCAGCAGCAATATGTGCTGCTTCCAAAGATTCAGTTTGGCCATGGGAAGCCAATATGATTTAATGAAAGAGGCTTAAGGAACAAAACACTTTCTGAGCCAACCTCCCCAACCTCTTGCAATCAAGCAAAATCATGCAGAAAAAGGATCAATGCCCATTTGTTTCAACAGAGGTAGACAGATAGGCAATTGGAACATGGCATTGTGAAGTCCTGTTCTGGTCCTGCAAAAGACCAGCTGGATTTATGCCTACGTGGTTTATGGATCAAGGGTGCACCTTCTGCATAGATCAGATAATGATCACCCCTTCTTCTAAAGTGGGGAGCTAAACTAAACACACTGAAAGAATTATGGTCTGACCAGAGTTACTGACTCTGAGAGTTTCTTCATTTGCTGCGGCTAGTTCTGCGGCTAGCAGAACTTCATTAGGGGTGTGCAAAAGATTCAGATGAATCCCGACTCAAGAACCAAAGCGGACCCATTTCAGACAGCTTTGTCTGAACTGAAGCAGGGTCCCTCCAAAGCACCCCAATCTGAAGTGGGGACTTCCCAAATAATCTGAAAAAGTAGCATGCAAGAGAGAAGGAAGCATGTGTGAAGCAAGAGCAGAATGTGATGTATTTTAACAGCCAAGGGGTTGGGGCCAAGAAACAAGTGATCTGATGACATCATGTTAGCGGCATTACTGGTGGCTGATGAGGGAAAGATATGCACCCCGATGATGTCATGTCACCTGCATTATCAGTGCAAGGAAGCACACGTTTTAGAATTATATGACACATTCCCCTTGTAAAACCTGGACTTGCAAACAACAACATTGGTTTTTTTGCCATGGCAATTCAAAATGACTTACAAAAAAAGCCCATTAAATCCAAGAGGCAGGAAAATACAGTGTTTTGGTGCTGACCTTTAAAGCCCTAAATAGCCTTGGCCCTGTATACCTGAAGGAGCATTTCTACCCGCATTGTTCAGCCCAGACACTGAGGTCCAGCTCCGAGGGCCTTCTGGCAGTTTGCTCATTGTGAGAAGTGAAACTACAGTACAGGGAACCAGGCAGAGGGCTTCATTGGTAGTGGTGTCAGCCCTGTGGAATGCCCTCCTGGCAGATGTCAAAGTTAAACAACTATATAATTTTTCATAGACATCTGAAGGCAGCCCTGCTTCAGAAGTCTTTTAATATTTGTTGTTGTCTTTCCTGTATTTTTGGTTGGCATATCATCATCATCATCACATTAAAACATCCCACCCACTCTAAAAGGCCATATTTAAAAGCCAAAGGTCTTGTAAAAAAGGAAGATTTTTGCCTGGTCCCTGAATATATTTAATGATGGCACCAGGCAAGTCTCCCTGCAGAAAGAATTCCACAAATGTGGAGCCACCACTGAAAAGGCCTGTTCTCATGCTGCCTTGGTGGCGTTTTTGTTTTTAAGTGAGTATCAATTGTGCTGTTCACTGTTCACTTGAGTCAGTCTGGCCCTCAATTTGCTCTAACAGCCCAACTTCCACATGCTGTTTTCAGTGGCAACCTTGCATCTATTATGCTGAATTCTAGCTAGAGAAGGAACTTAGGAACAAAAGCAGCTGTCTTCTCCTGAGTAGGGCCATTGGTCCATCTAGCCCAGGGTTGTCCACACAGGATCTCAGACAAAAGACCCATCCCAGCCCTAGCTGGAGGCACTTTCTGTCAGCATCGCCCTTGAGCCAGTGCCACCAACTGGACTCACACACTTCAGCCCCGACTGGGCTAGGCGAGCTGGGTAGCACTTCCAGAGACCACCTTCTGCACAGGAACTGGTCAAAGTGCTGTGGACTCACAGCTTAGAGTTGTGAGCACCGGATTCACTCCAACAAGAAGACAGTCGTCGCACAGCAGAGTACAGCAGAGCATTAACGACTCGGAGAGCAGCTCTGTAGAATATCTTCTTTTATTCTATCTACAACTAGAGCTAAATGAGGTCTAAACGAAAATGCTGAACTGCACTGAGTGTCTGCAGCTGCTCTTAGCAGCAACCTTATCTATACACACGATCTCTCTCTAACACTCAGTCTCTCTCTCTCTCTCTTTGATGTGAGGCTGGAGCGGAATAAGTAGTGAGCAGAAACCGCCCCCTCCTCTCTTGAGAGTCAGCAGAGAATATCAACAGATTCTTGGATATGGGAGGGGTGAAATCTCCTCACTTTCTGCATGCAAAGCTTGTGTCATGCCACTGAGAACTAGGGTTCATTCCTTTAAGGCAGAGGTTTTCATTTTTATTTTTAGTCCACAGCTCCCTTAACCAACTACATTATTCCTGTGGCATCCTTGTGGGGTTCAGGAGACATGTTATGTCACCACTTCCCTGCAGAGCTGGCAGCCTCTCACCCTTTTCCAAACACCCTCTCCTCTGTCTCCCTCCTTGGGAGATCTCTGGCCAGCTGCTGCTGCTGTCCCTGGTCTCTTAGTTGCCCCCCCCCCCGCCCCAAAGAGAGGGACATGTGACTTGTCTGTCCATTCCCAATAGCAAGGGCTTGTGGACTAGCTGGCTGGGCTCCCTCACCCACTTGCTTGCTTACTCCAAGGCTGTCTCACCTCCTGGCAATCAGCACTCCCTGGCCAGCCCCAGAGCCACCATTCACCTGCGGAGCATGTAGCCAAGGCTGCTGCAACAAACAGCTGCACAAGCATTTGGAAGGCAGAGAGAGATACAAGAGGCATCAGAGGAGGGCAGGAAAGAGGGATAGAGGCCACTGTTGCCCACAGCACCCCTGACCATAATTCAAAGCCATGGCACACTGGTTGAAAACCACCACTTTAAGGATACTGACTGCTTCTTCTGTCCAGCAGCAGCACTATGGTGGGGATTTGAAAGCACAACCACACAAGAATGGAGCAAGAACATGCTGCCCATGTGCCACAGATAATGCCTGATCTTGCTATCCCAGCAACTGTTGCTGTAGCCACGTGGCAACTTCAGTCCAACCCATTTCAGCATGTGATGCCACTGTCACGTGGCCGAGCCTGCATAAAGTGGGCAGGCCAGCCCCATCCAAGGCAATGACGACACAGGATTTTTTCCCCCAAATACTTTTTATTGCTTTTTTGTAACAACAACAAATAAAATAAATACTCTTACATTCAAAAATTTGAATGTCTTCTTACTTACCCTGCGCCTATTGCGCCCGGACTTCCTTCCATCCCTTCAATGGTTTTCATGTCTCAAATCTTTTCTTACAGTTTCTTATTTACACTCCATCCACATCACAAGATTTACATTAATCCTGCTACAGTTTTTAAATTCTTACAATTACTCCGTATATATTCAACAAATTTATTCCAATCCTTTTCGAACTTTGCTTCTTTTTGGTTCCGAATCTTATAAGTCAATTTCACCAAATCTATGGAATCAAACATTTTTGTCTGCCACTCCATTAAAGTTGGGATTTCTTGGGATTTCCATTTCTGAGACAGTAAGATTCTAGCGGCGGTTGTTGCGTACATGAATAGTTTGCAATCTTTCTTTTTTAATTCATCCCCTGTTTTCCCTAGCAAAAATGCTTCTGGTTTCTTTGGGAAAGTGTATTTAAATAGTTTTTTCATTTCGTTATATATCATGTCCCAATATTTTTTCATTTTTTCACATGGCCAAGGCAATGATGACACAGGATTTTTGTTGGGGACGGGGGAAGGGGATATAGTTGCAAGGTCATGTTTGAGAAGGGGAAAGAGACCAGAAGCTGAGCCAGTACAAGATTTCCTATGTTCCTTACCAATGAGTTTGGGATATGCCACTCCCACCCTGAATAAAAGGAGCAAAGGATGTTCACCGATTCCTTGAAACGTTCTCCAGTTTTCAGCTTAGTGAGAGCAACTCCACGTCTGTTGCACGTCTGTTATGGTGTCACTGCTTGCCTGATGTTCCATTGCAACTTTCAATTCCCTTTAGTTTAGACAGGTATTTTTAAAACTTGGGATGATCCTCAGAAGCCTCTCAGTTATTATTCATTTATTATTATTATTATTATTATTATTATTATTATTATTATTTATAAACCACCTTTTCCCCAGACCGGGATTCACAGCAACTTACACAAATTAAAACAGAACAGATAAAGCAAAAATATAAAAGACAATACTTGAAAAGTGAAAAAAATAGCACAGCACTATTAAAAGCCCTTTCCTTCAAAAACAGTTCTCCAAAGCCTGCTGGAATAAAACAGTCTTGAATTGCTGGCAAAAGGACAAGGAGGGAATCTATCTAGCTTTTCCAGGGAGGGAGTTCCAAAGACTGGGAGCAGCCACCGAGAAGGCCCTCTCTCACATCCCTACCAAACATGCATGTCAAGGTGGTGGGAATGAGGGAAAGGCTCCCCTAAAGATCTCATAACTTGGGAAGGCTCTTTTGAGGAACTATGGTTTTGGATCTAAGCTTTATAGGTTATAACCAGCACTTTGAATTGTGCTTGGAAACAGACCGGTAGCCAGTGAAGCTGCTGTAACAAGGATTGGTCAACAATCTGGCTGCAGCTCTTTGAGCCACTTGAAGTTTCTGAGCACTTTTCAAAGGTATTCCACGTAGAGTATGTTACAGGAATCCAAATGGGATGTAACTAAGGCCAAATCAGACATCTCAAGGAATGGGCACAGCTGGCACACAAGCTTTGACTATGCAAATGCACTCCTGGCCACACCAGAGACCTGGGCATCCACACTCAGGGCTGAGTCCAGCAACACATCCAAACTGCAAAACTGTGTCTTCACTGGCTATTTCCTCTTCTGCCTTCCAACTGACCAAGGGCACCTCTGTTTCAATTGGTTCATCCTCATCCAGTCCACTACAGATGACGCACACTGGTTTAGTATCAAGGAAGCTTCCTTGGATTTAGGTGGAAAGGAAAAACAGAGTTGGGTTTCATCAGCATACTAATGACACCGAACCCTGAAACTCTGGACCGCCTCTAGATAATCAGCTGCATCCAACTAGGGTTCCTTAAAGAAAAGTGACAGTTGAATATATGCCATGAAGAGGAAAGCTTGCCCACCACTTTTAACCTTTCCCTTAAAGCTCCATGTTGAGTGCAGTCCTTAGACAAACCACACAATACACTATTTGTGCAATTAGGATTAGTGCAAATGGAATAAAAAAACAAACAGATAGGACGAGGGCCCCTGATATGGTTTGAAACTTTGGGAGGGTTTTTAGATTTTTGAAAAACTCATTGCCCCCACTCCTGTAACCTGGAGCACCTACAGCCTGCTTCCATTGCCATGAAGGTAAGTTTTTCACTAGCCCCATGGTAATACAGTCATGCTGGCTGGGGCTGTTGGAAGTTGTAGTCCAAAACATCTGGAGGGCACTTGGCTAGCAAAGGCTGCCTTAGAAACAGGAATACAAAATGCTGCACCATTTGAAAGCCACACCCAGATGCTCAGCATACAGCTTTAAGCTCTAGGCACTCAAAAGTCTGACTGACAAGTTTTGCCTGTCTAGAAAAAGACTTCAGTGAAGCAGGCCTGGCATCTCCCATGGGAACATAAGCAATAGGTGCCACACCAAGAACACCCTAAAGCCTAAACCTGGCAGCAGCCAATCTGCATATATCAGCTAGCAGAAAAGAAATGCCATCCCAATCACAAGAGAAAAGGGGAGGGTATGCAATCATGTACAGCTAACTGTCAGAGGCCTCTCAACCAAATGGCCTCTAAACAGAGGGTTGAGCAGCAAGAAGTAAAAGGTAAAGCTTTTTAAGACAGAAAGTTCCTTGATTTCCCCCACTTTAAAGCGAGCTGAAAAACTGAGCTGCTGAACCCCACCCTCTTGTTATCGAGCACATACATGACTCACCGCCAAAATATTTCTTCTGTGGGAGGTCAAAGACTGGATTTATGGTTTTGAAACAGAACCTACTATTTAGCAACAGTGCAAAGCAAACTTGGCTCCTTTTCATTAAGGAACTGAAACAAGTTCAGAGGAACAGAGAAGAGGGTGTCTGCTATGGCAACAGAAGGTAAACAAGGCGACAAATGAATGAAAAGGTGTTAGTGTATTAAACCTCTTTTCTGTGTCATGAAGTAGTTGTCTCTTTGTATGGGTTTGTACTGTTGACAGAACTTGTTTAAAAACATTCTCTCTCACCAAGAGTAGTTCTTTAAGTGGAGCCCCAGACAAGGAAATTGCTCCTAATGAAAATGTAGAACAGTTTAGAACAGTGGTAGGGAACTTCTTTTAGACTGAGGGTTGCATTTCCTTGTGGGAAACATGGCAGAGGTGGCAGGGTGAGAGGCAGAAGTGAGCAGAGGGTCAGGAGAAGTGGACAGAGAAACAAATATCATTCTTATGTTTGTACAGCAGCCAAATTCCAACCATGCAGAAATCAGCCCCTCCTCTCACAACACCTCTCCATCCAGGAAAGCAAAGGGCATTAACAGAGTTCACTGACACATTCCAGCCAGGTTCAGAGTGTGTCTGCATTCAGAGGGCCAAAGATACCTGAAATGAAAAGTTAGTTTGGTGCCTGCTATAAATTTACTAATATGGGCTACAAATCAGTTATCCTGTGCAAACCTCAGTAAACTCAACAGCAGCAGAAGAACCACCCTATGGTGCTCTTGTACAGCTGTTTATTTCAAGGAGGCTCAGCAGGAGAACTGTCCTGTGGCATCAGTCTGATGCAATATCTGCTGCTGTACCCAACCATCACCACCACTTCATGATAGGGCCTGCCTGTGTATCTGAAGAGGGCAATAATGTTTTCTTTAAAAAAGTAGTTTATCAATGTACAACTTAAAATTACACTAAGGCAGCCAGGCTGACAAGACTCAAACTTGGAATCATTTCAGGATATAAAAATACAAGTGTTTTTTACAACCTACGCACAGAAAAAAACACCACTATCAGCAACCAAACAGATGAGAAAAGTCAAATTCAAACTTTTAGAGTGTGCAACTGGAACATTTAAAATTAATCATATTATTATTTTTAACTGGATTAAAGTAACTTTGTGCGAGTAGCCTACTTCAATTTCAAACAAGTACAAAATAGTATTTTTAAAAAATGCAGCATTGGGCTGTAATTGTTTGCAACACAAACTCATTGCATGTATCTGTGGTACTTGTTTCAAGAATGCTGTTTAAGTGAGGATCCAAGAGATGCGATGTGGGAGTCAACCAACTTCCAAGAAAAACCAAAAGAAGCCAGAGTGGGGGTTGCTTGAGAGTCAGTTATGGATCTGCTTTGGCCCAGATCAATTAAGTGCAACGGCTGGTTTCGAAAGGCATGCTGTGGCTGGTTTAATTTTATTAATAATAAAATATGATGTTCAGAAAGTTCCCCACATTTATTCCCTGCAACTTGGCCCAGTAACAGCAAGCTATTAGATGGTTGCTTCAGGTCTGCACTTGCCTTGATAGAAACAGCTCTCATCCAATTTGACTGGATACAGAAAATAAGTCAAAAGGTTTTACACAGCAGCATTTCTTAACAGATAAGTTCGCCCATCCTGGCATTCTCTCCATGGCTGTACAGTCATTTGCATACAAAAAAAAGTTATTTTCTGCTCTACATTTCCTCCAAATGACTAAGTTGGCTCATCTTTGCTCATCTTTGGTTTTTTCCAGCACTTCCAATTTGACCCTCGATTTGCCTGCCTGTAGATATTTCTCATCATTGACTTGTTCTGGGCAGCCCCACGTCTCTTTCGAAAAGGATTAGCTGGCGGGTGATCGTTGCTTGTTTCCATGGAAACTTGCTCTTTGCGGTTGGGTGTGCCTGTGTGTGCTTTTGTCCCACTCATCTAGGAGTGAAAAGAACAGGGAAGAAAAAGAGAGAGAAAAAGAGGAAACTACTTCAAATCTGATTAAAGTTCAGGGTGTGAAGTTTCTTGTAGAGTCTACCTAACTTTGCTAACATTTGCTCAGAAATGAAAAACAGTGAAACACCTTCTTCCTCCCCCTTAACTCAGTCCTAAAACAGTTAAGGGTGGAGCAAATGACATTACATGATATATTGCTGTGAAGGGTCTACTTTATAGGAAGGAATGTAGAAAGCTGCCTTGTCAGGCCATTTGTCCATCTAGCTCAGCAGTGTCTACACTGACTGGCAGCAGCTCTCCAGGGTTTCAGACAGGAAACATTCCCAGCTCTGCCTGGATATGTCAGGGATTGAACCTGTGAGCTTCTGCAGATACATACCCCTGCCTTCATTGGATACTCAGCATTTTTGTACAGTATTACCCCTTCAGCTGCATCTGTGAAAATTCCAGTGATCTGTGATCTTGCTCCTGGCTAGCTATTTCCTGAGTTACTATGAAAAAAGACACAAGTAGAGCTTTCAGGAACAAGCGTTTATATCTTAGGTTTCCCGAAAACCTACAAGTGATGTGGAAGCCTTCTGATGTTTTTGCATTTAATCAAAGGCAGCTGCCCTGATTTGGTGTAGCTAGATCTATACGATAGGTGGGGAAAAACTTCTGGGTTAATAGCTTAAGCTAATAGCACTTTTGAGAAGCTAATGCATAATTCCACCAGAGGCTGTAGTACAGGGGCAAAGGGCTAGACTCTCCCTCACCACCAATCCAAACTGCACACTCCTGCCTGCTCCATGCAAAATAGAAAAAGACTTGGGGAGTTTCAGTCACAGAACTCACATCACATGCAGCTTCTGAAAACACCTCCGTATTATCTCAAAGGTCTAGGGCACTCTACATCCAAAATGACAACAAGCCAAAACAGATCCATGATGCCCCAATCTCCACACTGGTCACATTGCCTCTCTTCACCATCAGTTACAACGCCATGCATAATTTTATAATCTCATGTCATCTCTTAAACATTTTTTCTCTAAACTAAAAAGTCTGCAACTTCTTGCAGAAGAGTCGTTCTAAACCCTTGATAATTTTGGTTGCCCTTTTCTGAACCTTTTTCAACTCTACAGTATTCTTTTTGATGTGACGTTATCAGAACTGCCCACAGTATTCCAAATGCAGTTGCAGCATAGATTTGCATAACATTGCAGGTATTTTATTTAACTTCCCTTGCTGTCTCTTTTTGCTTTCGAGCTGGGCAAGCTGCCTACACCTTTCGCCTCCTTCTCCATTTCTATCTCTGCGTTTTCTACCACAATATTCTCTGTGGTTCAAACAGCCTCTCCGTGTTTTTAAACACTCCTCTTTCCTCACAATCTCCCGAATTCACCTTTTCAGAAAAGCCATTGCAGATTTACACTCATCTCTCTTTAGCTGTACATTATACAGTACCTGTTTGCTCCCTGTCCCACCCACACCTCTGAGCTTGTTCTGGCTAATATTATAAGAGAGGCAACAAGTCACTTTTGGATACTGGATAACACCCTTCGCTTTGCTGGCACTAAATAATGATTATATAGCAGCAGAAGCAGCTGTTTCCCTTATACACTGGGCCACATTCCCAGTGTTAAGACACACTGTGCAATACTATGCAACTTTACTCAGCACTAAGCCACACCAAGTTCAATATGGCTTACTCCCAGATAAACATGCACAGGATTGTAGCTTCAATGTTTTACACTAACCAGCAAGTTCAAGAAGTACTAGAATTCAAGCTTACTCTATAAACCATTCACCAGCTACGCTAGGAAAACGTGGCGTTTAGAGGAGGGCATTTCTCTTCCACACACAAAATGTTAGAATTTAAAGTCTTTCAATGAAGTAAATAAGCAGTAGATTCAGTACTGACAGAAAGGAAAGTACTTTGTCATACAGGACGTAATTAGGGAATTTGCTACTATGGGATGTGGTCTGGGCTTAGGATCGCTTCAAAAAGCATTGGACAAATTCATTGATGTCATTAGATCAATCAGTCATGGCAGTTAAAATGGAGCCTCGATGTAGAGAGCAGTAGACCTCAAAATACTAGGTGCGAGGGCTGTCATACATCCAGACATTACTGGGATTTCAAAGGTGGAATTGATGTCTGGGGGGAATTTCTGAAAGGCAGTGCTTTGTACTGGATCTTAGGCAAGTCAACCAAAAATAACATGTTTTTGGGGCGTTTTTGTAAAACGGGGTGTCCTGGTTTTTACTTTTTGAAATATGGCAACCCTACCAGGTGCTGGGGGCAAACAGGGTCATGCAGCTACCTTCATACTCTTCTTGCAAGCTTACCAGAGGTACCTGGCTGACCAGTTAGAAAGAGAATATTGGAATAGATGGAGAAGTTCTTAAGTTTCTTATGCTTATGGTCATTTGTCTACAAGTATAACATCACAGGTTGCAGCTTTGTTAAGCTCTTCCTTATCTTTTGAGCAGATATTTGATTTTACAGAATATATTTCTTTTCCCCATTCTCATAAATATTTCAAAGAAAACCCACAAGGAACTGTGGCTCTGTTGAGAGAAGGCCACAGGTTGAACTCCTGAGGTCACTAGAAAATAATTTCAGGGCAGAAGGATCTCTGCAAGGAACCCCAGAGCTGTTGCCTCTTAGCAGAGATAATAGTGGGGTAGATGCAGCACATAAGGAAGTCAGACAGGCCACACTGCTGCAAGAGATTGAACATTTTCTCACTGCTTCAACTATATAGTTGGAAGAGACTGAAAATGTATACATTCAGTGGAGCTGTTTAGTTTTATTTACAAAGAAAAAAGAAGAAACAACCACCCACATAAAATTATATGTTTCTAACTGGAACAACAAAATTATGTTTTCCTACATTAGAAGTAATCACACAGCCACAGTCAAGAAAAACACGAGGCTCCTTTTTTTTTAATGGAACCACATATCATTTTCTAAAACTACCAAGAGTCTTTGTGGTTCCTTAAAAGGCACATGTGTTTGTGGACTAGGGTCCACTTCATCAGATGTATGAAGTGTTTATGCTACATATTACTAGCCACCCTGGTATCTTTCATATGTCAAAGGTACGGAACAGAAAAGGAATGAATACATAAAATCTTCACTTGGCAGATATACACAAGCACACCTGTATACTGGAAATATATATAAATGTAAAATGGTGAGATCAAATGGCCATAAAATGCAAAAAAAATGCCCATGTTATGGAAAACATAATATTAAAATCTCACCTTCTGGTTCTTCACAGGGTTTGCTGGCTTTGGTGGGAAAGTGCATGGAACTCGCCCTTGAGCAAAATGATAGGGCAGAGGGATGTTGGGATCTAGTGGCACCCAGGGAACTGAGAGGGCAGAAGGTACGCTGGGCAGGGCAGAGTGAGCTGAATGCAAGTTGTACGTTGCTCGGGTGGCTTTTCCGTCGCAGCTCTTATAGATGGTAACAGAAGAGTCTCCTGCTGCATGAGCCAATAGGTAAGAGCCCTCCTGCAAACTAAGAGTACAAATGGAGGCTAAAATGGTTGGCTTTGTGGCTTTGAAGCAAATGAACAGTACAGAAAGGGAAGAGCACAAGGGTATTCTGCTCCCATTTGCCAGATGTACTGCATTGGAGTAGGCACTCTAGTGTGATCACCACAACATTAAGAGCTGTGACTTGTACAAGACTAAATGTTCTACCTCCTGCACTATGCAAAGTCCTTTGAAAGCAAACACAACTTGCACATAGAATCCTCACCACCACGCTGTTTTCCTCAACCACTGGTTCTGGGAGGAGGAATGGAGAAGGCTTTGTCACAGTTAAGTTCAAGCAGGTGGCCAGGAGTGCCAACTGTTTCCTATGCTCCCTCCATTACTCTACTACCTTGTAGATTTCACATGGGACTTTTAGATCCAGTCAACTCCAAGGACTGCTTAGCACGTGTCACTTTCTTCACAAACACATATGTGTTAAATAAATAATATATTGGTTAAATAAATAAATGTGTTTGTGAAGAAAGTGTAGGGGGAAACACATGTACACAGGTGATGCACACCACCTTCACATGCTTACATCACATGAGGGTATATTCTACAGATGAAGTAGCACTCAGCACTTGGGAGTGATGGAGCGAGGAGAGAGGCAAGCAAGCTTGTTCTCATGCCCAGAACTTGCATCTCTGACATAGAAAATAGGCTGCTTAGCAGTTGGAGTCACCAGTTCTTCCAAGGTGCTCAATCCATAGGAAGCCTGTTCTCCCCTGCCTGGCCTGTATGTGGCCCCCCAAAAATGGTTCCTTCCTGGGCACAGAACTACTGGAAAGGGGTGCTTGGTGGAGGCACACTAACATCAAGAGCCTGAGCCTTTCTATGTATCACACCCTGCTCCACTGCTCTGAAGCATGCTAAGGCCTGGGTGTGGAAGACAGTGCATGAAGGGGGGCTTAGGGGGAGAGCCTGAGAAATAGCAGCACTGTGAGTGCATGCAGGGCCTGAAGGACTGGCAATCTTTATCTTCCCATATGGAGAGAAGAGATTCAGCAAGGAGACCCAGGTGAGAGCTGGGAGAAAGGCTGCCACAAGCGAAGTGTGTGGCTGGCAAAAAACATGCCTATGGAGAACCCTATGCTGTTTGGCAATAAGCACAGTGCATTTTTGTTGCTGTGTTCAGCTCTATTCTCCTCTCCTGTTTGGTTTCAAAATGCTGGATTAGGTCAGTTTATTCCTACTGTTGACAATCTTACCTTGTACTCGCTGACTAACACTATGGTTATTTGCAATTGTTCATACCATAGTTTTGAATTGTGCTAATTATTGCTGATTGTCCGACATGTTGCAAGTTACTACAGCCACAATCCCATGGAAAAGTGCCATATAAAAAGATTAACAAAAGAATGAATGAAAATCTTTCAGATCAGGTCAGGACGCAGGCTAAACAAGTGCAGAATTCTCCTTATTTTGTTCCTCTGCTGGATAGCTTACTGGTCTGTGAATGTGGCTTCTCTCAGCCCAGGTTCTTTTTTTGCATTGGGTCTGCCTAGCACATGACTTCAGCCCTGCCTTCCCTTCATTCTCAACAACCTTGGCTCAGCAGCTTTCACGGTTCTTGGTCCTGGATCCTGCTACCCACGCCCCTTTTCTCTTCTTGTTGCATGGCTCCCGAGGACCTTCCAGCTTGTGAGCCTTCCTTATGCACCTGGAGCTCTAAGTCTGCAAGGGCTTTTCTGATACTTATTCACAAAATTAGCATAGGACCATGGACCATTTAGAAATAAAGTCAAAGGAAATACATACCCAGTCACTTTCTTCAGTATATGTTGGAGAATATTCAGTGAATTTGCTGGCCTGCGTGTGTAAATTTATTAATGTAACAGGATGGTTATATACCACTTAATCATTCTTAACTTCTAAGCAGTTTACCTAGAATATAAAACATTCATCTTAAAATGCTGATAAAAACTATGTTAACTTGATTTTAGTGTCTGATCTTATCAAAATATAAACAGACAGTTGCTAAAAATGTACATAATAAAATTGCATGTTAACATTATATGTCTGGGTAGGCTTGCCTAAACCAAAAGGCTTTTAGCAGGTGCTGAAAACAACACAGCAAAGGCCCCTGCCTAAAACCAACACGTTTCTTGCAAGCATGGAACTAACACTATTTGTACCTATGTGGTGCTTGTAAAAGTGTCAGTTCCACACTTACAGAAAGATTAACATTTATAAGCAACAAATAATTTGAGGGAAGTGTTTCATGAACACTAAAAATTAGTGCATTATAAATCATTGGTCTCTCAAAAACATGCACACATACAGCTACATAGTTTGTGAATTCTGACAAACTTCCCTGATCAGTTGACCAGGCTACTCAGCTCTATACAGCGGTACCTCAGTTTTCGAACATAATCCATTCCGGAAGACTGTTCGAGTTCCGAAATGTTTGAAAACCAAAACCTCAGTATGGAAGCCTCAAAATGGAAAACTCAATACAGAAGCTGTGTTTCATGTTCGACTTCTGAAGTGCATTCGAAAACTGAAGCATTTACCGTATTGGCCTGAATATAAGCCTAACTTTTTCCCCAAATTCCAACCGTAAAAAGTTAAAGTGTGGTTTATATTCACAAACTTATGGTGTGCAGCCAGGAGCGCGGCAAAGCGACACCTGCCCTGTGCGTAGTCCCCCGTCCTCTCCAAGGCCAGGAAGGGAGAAAGCAAAGAAGGGGAAAGGCCGTTGGCAATGTAGCACGGCTCCCCACCCCCAATATGCAGCCAGGTGTTTTTTTTTCTCCCCCCCCCCTTTCAATTTTAAAGGTGCAGCTTATATTCAGGCAAATATGGTACTTCCAGGCTTACAGCATTCAAAAACCGAAACGTTTGTCAATGGAGATGTTCAAAAACCGAAGTAACACTGTACTGCCCCATTCAGCCACCACAGCACCAGACATGTGGGAAATCCGGCAAGAGAATCTCATATTACGTTTTTTCACAAAAGGAAAGTTTCAAAATCATGACAGCAAAGTGAACATTGGAAGTGTGTGGCCTGTGTCACCTGACTGTTCCGAACACACACAATGACGAAAGAAGCCTGCTTTGGCAAGGATTCAACGTGAACTGAAAGTGCTACCTATGGTTTGATGGGGGAAATTCACCTGACAAGAAAGGCCCCCTCCCTCAACTTAATGTCATCCAATTTGTCTATTTGGTTTTATTAAATGATCCATCAGCTTTCTGCCTAAGTACCGGTATATCATCTACCCAAACCATAACAACAAACCAACAGGTAGCACCTGGTGAAGCGGTAACTCTGTACTGTATTTTATTTGTATCATTAACATGTAGAGTTGGAATGGAGAATATACCTCAACCAGGGTGGTCACAACGTTATAAAATAAAAATGCACTGTTAACAGTGTAGTAACGTGAGGAATGACATTTAAAAGGAGCTGGCTTGCTCAGACATGCTTCTTCTTCTGAAGCTGTCATTAACAAATACCTTGTAAATTTTTTACATTATAGGAAGCTCACTCACTTAAATGCGCCAAATCTTTTTTTCAACCCTTCTGCAGGCAGTTGCTCAAGCAGAAACAACTTTGAAGTCAAGGCATCAACATGACCTGAAGAAAAGAAAAAATACCAAACCGTTTCACAATGAAAAATGAGGAACTGCACAACAAAGATGAAGGAAATTCTCAAGTAATGGAGGAGAGACCAGCATTTAGATTAAAAGATCATGACACAATCACAACTTCAATAAAACAAAACTAAGAACTATAAAGAGAGACCAGGTAAACAAACCCCAAAATCCTGATGGCTACCATCCTATTGTACTTACCCAGGAGTGAGTTCTACTGAACCCCCTAAAACAGCAATCTTTCTAGTCTCAGGCAGCCTTAAATGCCATTGGTCACCACTGGGCCACATATAGGAGCTGGTGGCTGGTAATGTACTGGTTTCTTTTTTTAAAACTAACAAACAAAAACATCCACTGACCACCCTCTAAATTGTTCAGCTATCAATGTGTATTGCTTGCTCTAAACCTGATTAAATCTTCAACAAGGAAAAATGCATTGTTAGTAGGCTTTTCTGGATTTTTCTGTGTACAGAATCAAACATTTGCTTTTTGAAGTGCAGAAGTCTGTGAACAATTAATAAACTTGAACTGAAAGTTTCTTTCTGCAACTAATTTCTTTGATTCATCTTTGTACACAGAGATGGGGAGAGTATTTAAACACTTACTTGTTTGAATGTTCTGTCACTTACTAACTAATGCAGTCTTGAATCTGTATTGTGCTTTGTTTGAATTTCAGTTCAGCCATTAAATGTGGAGCACCTTTCCAGCCACTGCATGTGCTTTGCCAAAAGTGCTCTGAAGTTAGGTAAACTTTACATAGACATTGTATTCGACATACTGCTATCAACTCCAAGCAAATGTCAATTTCCTGACAGCAAGATTATCAGTCATACTTCATGGCTGGTTACACAAGAAAGGAAGATTATTAAGAGGTGGGGGTTTGTTTGTTTTTTGGTTGGCTTGCTTTTAAACTTTATCCCTCTAACCAAGAAATCCTTATGAGCCAGAGGGAGAGAGAGGCTGGGCATCCTCAGTCTGCATATTTTATCAGTAACTCAACTACCTTCAAAGAAGCATTTATTTATTTATTATTTCCAGGTATGTGTGGTTTTTTTCTTGCCTTGCCCTACACTCAAAAAACCCACAAAGCGGCTTATAAAATGATGAAATGCAATATCATTAAAAAGTAGAAAAAGCCATCTGCTCATACTTGTGAAACTGATTTAGTCCAGCTCTTAAAAATCACAAGGGTAGACAAATTAAAACTATGCTGTGCTGCTGGAATGGGGACCTGGGATATGTTTCCATTTTGCTAATTTCCAGAGCTGGTAAACTTGCTAACTCAGGGTGCTCAGTTTTGAACAGATTTCTTTATTCCAAGGCAAATGATATCATAGTAGCAACTGCTCTGCACAACTAAAGATAAGTCCTGGATGGTTAAGTCCAGTCGAATTCAACTATGGGGTGCGGTGCTACTCTCCACCAGCCAGTAATGGAGTAACAAAAAGTCTCTCATCCAGCCCTGTATTGCTGTTAGCAGTGCAATGAAGGGTCATGGACAGATAGCAGTGAGTCAGTCTATTTAGGAAGGGCACTGACTATCAAGAATCTGCCTTCAACACTCCAAATAATGTTGCTTATGGTCATGATGACCCTTTGGATATTTCCAACTCTACAATTCTTTGATTCTATGAAAGGACCAATAATCCAAAACACTCAGATTCCTATTCTCTAGGCATACTTCTGCTAAGTACAGGCCTGATTTTATTTTCCTTCTTACAAGTTGTGTAATACGTTACTTGAGAATAGCCTTCTGGGATCAGTTGTTTCCAACAGCAAGCAGCCAGATATATCTGAACATTTACAAGCAGCACATGAAGGCAATGACTTTGTTCTGTTTAGCAGAGACAGGCTGCTTCTCAAAAGGGATGCTCCTTTTAGCTATCATAGCTAATAGACTGATGTTCCCTGGGGTTTTTCTAATCCCTTTAAAAGGCCTTGTATGCATGGGGCTGTAGCAGATCCCACCGCTAACCACCAATTAATATGTAGCAGATTCATCCTGCTCCCAATTAAATATAGCGGACCCACCTCACAGTATGCCAATTAAATGAATGTCTGCAATTTACCACAGGCTATCTTGTGTGAGAGAAACTGCGATTCAAGGAGTCTCAGGCAGGAGTTAACCAAACAAGAGAAGTTTTATTTACAAAGAAGAAGAAGAAGTTGGTGAAACAAAGTTGGGTCAGGAGATGCATTCTTTCAGGTAGAAGTTAACTTATTACTTAAGCTAAATATGATTATGTTACAGGTTAAACACAGTAGTACAGGCACATCTTCTCTTAAACTCCCTCTACTCAAAATCAGCTGTTACACTTCAGTTTCTGTTACTCCTTTCTAGGTCCTTATGCTTAGGTCCAGCAGATGCTTCAGGTCAATGTTTTTAACACAGTTTATTAATTTGGTTCAAGAGCAAAGGGGTCCTTTTTGTCAGTTAACTAGTAATCCCACTCCTGAGGTATTCAGATTAGTATAACAGACCCAGGGGATCACTTCACCCCTTGTTACTGGCTTGGGATTCTTCTTTTCCTAGAAGAACTCTCCCCTCCTGGCTGGAATGAGACCCAGGTAGTCTGTATTCCCACAGCTTCTCCCTCTCCCTGCTCAAGCTCAGCCCTCCAGATAACTCCAGCTGTATACCCTCCCAAAACACTCCACATGGTCTTCCTATCTTAAACTACGAGGCTCTTTCCTCTTGCTAGAGTTAGTCTCCTCAGTGTGGATGTTCAACTCAAATCAGAACCAGCTCTCCCTCAGTCAAATCCTATCCTAACCCCCACCTCCCAAACTACACCCTATCTCTGTCCCTATCTCCAATCTCTTTCCCTTCTCTATCCCTATCCAACTCTATCCCTCAGAAACAGCTCCTTTTGTTCTCCCTCCCAAAGTGCTGGCTCCACCCCCCACTTGACTGGCTGTCTTGGTAGCCAATCAGAGAGGCTCCAGCCCCCTGGTGGAATTCTAAGGGACTGCATCCCCAAACTCTGGCCGGACTCTGATGTCCATCAAAAGTGCAATTGCTACATCTTTGTGGCCATGAATTCCCTATGCATGCCACAGGACTTAATTACATATTGGAACATTCAGCATAGTTTTTCCATTGAGAAATTATTCCCAGTTGGTCCGTTTTTTTTTTTTTTAAAATGGTTATGTGAAGAATTTTGCAGAAAGAAAATGACAGGAAGTTACGATCCCCTTAGTGCAGGATCAGAAAATATTAACCCAGAACGAATCAACTTATGTTCAGCAGGACTAAACTTACCAACTGTAAATGTACTTCTTGAATGTAACAAACTCTCTGTCCACAGACGACATACTTCACCTTCAGTTAATGCTTCCACTCCATAGAAGGCTTGATATTCTAGCTTTGGCAATACGTAAACTGGAAAGTACTGCAAAACCGGAGGGGAGGGGGTGTTTTCACTTGGTTAACATATTTTTAGTCTATATACTTCATAAATAACCAGAATCTGATTCACTGCCACTGCCAGACTGGACTCATCTGGGACCAGGCCTGGGGTTCATGAAGTCTTCCCTTAATCTGAAAACTATTTTGAGATGCAAAGTAGCAAAGGAAGTAACTTCTGGGTGATTATCTTTTTTGTGAAGGTTCTACAATATGCACACCAGCGTAGCAACTCCCGCTGGCGCCTGGGGCAAGGGGGTATGCGTGCACCCCCCCACACACCATGGAGGGCATCCAAGTGTGTTGCCCGAGTGAATGCATCCCTCCTGGGAGGGAAGCAGCTGGCGTGCGCCAGCCCAGCACTGTAGGAAAAAACATTGTGGGGTGCACCGCTGGGAGGGCGCCCAGGACTTGGGAGGAACACCTTCAGGCCGGCACTTATACGCCTCTCCCGGGTGCCCATTCCAGGTGCCCTTCCAGCAGTGCGCCCCATGCTGCTTTTTCTGGCAGCACTGCGTCCACTTGTGACCAGGAGGGATGCAGCAGCTGGAGCGCCCTGCAGGCTGTGCACCACCCACGTCCCACCCCGCGCTGAGTTTTCAGGCAGCGCTGGTTCCACCTGCTGGAGGGCACCTTGCAGCCCATGACACCCTGCCCCACTTCCTCCACTATGCAACTTTTCGATACATGCATTGTGAGGATATAAATGTGGAAAACTTACAAGAGCTCAGAGTCTGCCTCCCTTCAGCTCTGTAGCATCAGGGTAAATAAAAAAAGTGCACAGTGGTTCTCACCCTTTTGTATTCTCTTAAGAGCACCACAGCAGTAATTGCCACTGCTGGAATAAACAGTCTTGAGGTCACAATCACACCGTGGTTTCAATTTTGCATAGATGCATATTTGTAATGGCTCTATATGTCATCATCGATACAGTGCATTCTACTCACATTGGGAAAGTTTGTTATGGATAGCCACAATCTAAAGATACTGATTATATGACCTGATTTCATTGTACTTAACAACATTTGCACCTATGTGAATGGAATGCACGGGGTATTCTGAAAATCCAGAAGTGCAATGCTGCCACCTTTAGGAAGTTCAAGGACAAAAAGAGGCCTAAGATATTCTGAGGCAACTCCCCACAAACTAATTTTATAAGCATTTGTCTTACTTATCTTCTGCAGAGTAGCAATAACATTTCCCCAAATGTATGCCTCTCCAATTCTTAAGAGGATAATCCCTGCTCCTTACATTTCACTGTATGGCACTGGCAGTAGAATGGTTCATATGCTATGACTGCATAGCAGAAAGGAACAAAACAGTAGGGACTTTTGAAATGGAGAACTTTTATTTCTCTTTGCAGTACATAAATTTTGTCAGTGCAAGTACTTTGTATGGTTATAGTATTATAACCGTAATACTAGCTTGAGCCATCAACCCTAGATTGGATTCTGGTTTGTACTGTGGAGGCAACAGGTCCATAGATCAGAAGCAGAGCACAGTGCTCCTGGTTCAGTCCCTGGCAACTCCAGTTAGAAGGAACTCAGGCAGCAGGGCTGGAAAATTCCTATTCTGGCTGGTAGTCTAGCACCTGTACTTTGAATGAACTGAAGTGTGAGGAAACTCCAAAGGTGGCCTCACCTATAATGGGTTGCAATCATCCAAACATCAAACAACTTTCCAGGATGTGGACAACAGTGGCCAGGCCCTTTCTGTCGAGGAGCAACCTTAGCTGGGGAATGGTGCTTCGTACTACAGGGGCCACTGAGGCATCTGCAGCAAGGCATGGATCTAACACAGTGCTTCTCAAGCTTGGGTCTCCAGCTGTTGTTGGACTACAACTCCCATCATCCCTAGCTGACAGGACCAGTGGTCAGGGATGATGGGAGCTGTAGTCCAACAATAGCTGGAGACCCAAGCTTGAGAAGCACTTACCTAACAGCACCCTCAAGCAACAAAGCTGATTGTTTCTGGAGAAATGGAGCCCCAACCATGTTGTTGTTCACACATCCCAAGCTGCAATGGAGGGGCCTCCAATCATCCTGGGAGGCTCCTCATCTTTCTGCATAGCTGGCACAACAACAGAAGCAGCAACAAATTTGTGTGCTTAGCTTACATGATCAAACAAAGTGTCAGGAAAAGCATCATAAGTAGTTTTCCCCCTAACTTCCTTCCGCCATAGAACTATAGGACTTTTTTAATGAAAGGAGTCTTGGAAGACAATGAACTACACAGATGCTGCACACAAGGAGCTGGTGGAAAGGGGTAGTGGGGAAAGCAGCAGCACAGGGAGTCCTCATTTCCCCATTCTCTGCTTTGGTGAAGAAAGTGGGACTTGCAGCTGCTGCCAGCACTCCAGCACAGCATGCAGGTCAGCCACCCAGAGTGTGGAGAGGCTCAGAGGGAGCTGCAGCTAAAGCAAGAGGATGCTGTTGGGTGGGAGCTGGAGCTAAGCCACTAACTCAGTTGATTAAGGAGAAGACTCGTAATCTCAGGGTTGTGGGTTCAAGCCCCAAGTTGGGCAAAAGAGTCCTGCATTTCAGGGGGCTGGACTGGATGACCCTCATGGTCTCTTCAAACTCAATTCTATGATTCCACCTTCTCAAAGTGGACCAAGCTCTGGCTGCTGACCAAGGAGGTGGCAAGTGAATTGGCTCAAAGAGAAAACCACATTCTTTTACATGTCTGGAAAAACACAAGATCCATTTAACACTAAAGCTTACCCTTTTGACTTTTGCTTTCTTGTTGGATGGCCTCTGCTCTACTTTCTGCACAGGGCAGCGCACCAGTAGCTGCAGGTCGCCAAGGCTGAACAGCTTGTAGATAAGATTGCCCTGTTGAGGAGGTTCATATTCCAAACAATCTTCAGCTGCATCCCAAACCATGTCTTCCCAAAAGAGAGAGGGAAAAAACAGTTGGTCGATATCTCATCACATTCACTAGGCTGCGCCCATTTAAAAGGTGTGTTTTCTGCCCTGCAACATGTAAGGATGCCGTCTGACTAATGGGTACATTGGATTCAACCTCAAAGAGGAAAGTGCTGACGGTTGGCCAGGATGTCCCAGAAGTTGTTGCACACCACCTGGATTCTGGTAGTGTTTTGCCCAATCAGGGACCACATTCTTAGCACAGCCACCAAAAAACTCACCTTTTTGAGATCCCTGAAAATATGATGTCCAGGTAACCTTGGGTAAGTTACTGGTATCCATAGTGGTACTTTGCTTGGGCTCCATAGCAGAAGGTACTTTTGATGGTGGATACCCCTGGTTTGGTGCAGGGCTTCTTTCAGAATTCATCTGTGGCTGATCTTGTCGGTGTGGAGAAGGTGGCTTGAGAAGTTCAGCTTGCATTTTCAAAATCTGCCCAACAGGATCAAATTCTTTAGACATCTGTTCACAATCGTTTTTGGACACAGCCATTTCTTGAACTGGAATCCTTGAAGGATCTGCCAGTTTTCCTAACAGGGCTTGTTTCGAGCGAGGAGACTCAGGAGTAACTGCTTCAGGGCCTCGGTCAGAAGCAACCACACCCGATTCACAGTCAGTGCCATTTTTATGTCCTGTGTCAATTATCAAAGATTCCTCATCTGTGTCACTGCAGCAGGAGAGAATGGATGAGTTATCATCTTTGGCTGCATAAGCCAAACCTCCTTCCTTGAAGTTATCTTTATCTGAAGTTAATAAGGTATTCTTGTCCAGAGTTTCATCTTTGACATAAACAACTCTTTTGCCATCTGGTTCAATTTCCATCGAATTGAACCCTTTAACTGATGAAATTGCTTCACAGTCCAAACCCAAGACACCACCACTTGATGCTGGAGTCCTATTAAAATCCTGTTCTGTGCTTAATTCTAGCCTCCGTTCAGGGCCTTTGCTCCTTCCTTCTCCAACATCACTGTTTACCTCCCACACTGACTCTTTCTCCATTTTCAGGTGCTTTGATAAGATTTTTGACATATATTCATGTTTCACAGGACTGCTCTCTGGTGTAGAAGGCTTTGTTGTCAATGTGACATTGGTATGAATGTCTAGGCTGATGGAGTCGGATGTCTGCGAGCTTGTGCCACTGTTCATGTTCAACACTGGTGCTTTCTCCATTTTCACATGCTCTGATGATATACTGGCAGGTTTTGCAGGAATGTTATCCAGTTTAGAAGCATTTGAATGCTTAGATACAGAACCAAACGTCTCTAGTTCTGTCACATCAGTGCCAAAGTCTAGATCTACAGAGTCAGGTACTTGAAGCCGTCTACCTTGACATGCTTCAAGTGGTGCTCCTAGCTAAAGAAGGGAAAAAAAAAAAACATAGAGAGCCACTCTTAACAGTGAACAAAATGATCTGCTTAACAGTTAATATATGAAGCCTATTCAGTATTTCTGCATCAAAATGTTTCAGGGGTCAGGCTCAGACACAACAATTTCAATCTAACAAACCATGGTTTATCAGACCAATTATTTTTTATTGTGCTCATCTTTTTCCTCCTATTACTCTCTCTTGTCATAATGGAAAACATTCAGAAATTGTTAACAACAGGTCCGAACTGGGAAACTGTGGCTTAATCTCAGCCCACCCAGGTACTCAGCATGACAAGTGGCACCTTCATTCTGCATGGTGAAATGCTCTGTACCGATGGAAACCAAAGGTAAAGCACTCTGGAAAAGACTCTGGTAAAGCTGGATCAAGAAGAGCTGGATGAAGATGAGCGCTTGCACTTTTAAGAAATGTATCCATGCAACCCTTGATGACTTAAAACTTCCCCCACCCCAAAATATAAAGGGAGGTTAGCAAGGACAGATATTCTGTAGCAGATTTCTATGCAGAATCAGGGAACACAAGATATCCAGTACCATTTCATAAGCTGCAGGAAAGTTAAATTCTCCCTCGTGCTCAATAAAACTAAATAAGCTTAAAAATGGAACTCACAAGTCCTTCAGGTGGGTTGTCTAGTATCGCAGCATGTGCCAAAATGCTTGATTTTTTAGTCATGTGGAAATCTGCCAGAAATTCATGATACAAATGGTTCTTTTCTCTCATGGCCATCTCTTTCTTTGGGAGAGGGGGATCAATATAGGCAACTTTGACTGGTCTGAAACCTTTAAAGAAAAAAAAAGTGTATGTTCACTTTCCAGTAGCACAATCGTTATTTTCTGGACACTTACCTACAAATTAACTTCCTGTTTTCCTTTTAATTAAAGGAAGATGTGAGAAGATGCATTAACCAGCAGAGAAATAAAAGTGACTTCCTCCCAGTAACTTTAATGGGGCAACCCAGCAAGATGGACAGGGAATAATAATAATAATAATAATAATAATAATAATTCCGGGTTTCTTATTCTGCTTTTCACAAACCTTTTCCTTTCACAAACCACTGAATTTCAACTGTCCTTACAGTAAAAAACCACAAAAACTAGCTGAGTGGTTGGAGGAGAACCAGTATGCCAAATCAGTTCCTTGACTCCTCTCCTGCATAACTGCAAATAATTATGTAGCAATAGAATCAATGGTCATAATCAACTTGGGAGAACAATTTAGTGGGAGTGGGGAAAAGTAGCAGGAAAAATATCACCAGAAATCATTATTAGTTGTGCTCCATGTCTCTGGACACTGTTACTGTTCTAAGTAGTAAGAAGGATGCAATATATCTGTGCATCTCTCTCTATAAACTTTGCAATTTTGCTTTACCTATTTTTCCTATTCTTCGTTATTTCCTGATGTTTGTTAACAAATTTGCTAAGTCTTGTTTTTGCTGCAACATAGTAAAACACCTCTGGATATTACTGACCTTTTTCTCACTACAAAGAAATCTCCCCCTCCCCCTTCATTTCCAGAATAATTCCAAGAGATTAATAGCAAAACCCTTAAGCATGTCCAACGCAATCCTACACATGTCTACTTAGAAGGAAGTCTCAATTAGTTCAACTAGGCACCCCCCTCGGTATGTGGGTACAGTTCAAAATTCACCAGCACCTTCAAAGGGCTAGCAGGAAATGTTGTCAGGGCAATAATATTCTAATTTTATATCTGCTATATGTATGAAAACACACAATTTATATTATATGCACCAGAAAATAAGCACCAGCCCTTTGGCTCAAAATATATTTCTGTGTGTGTGTGTGTGTGTATATATATATATATATATAAATAACATGCATATACCTTCATTAGAGATGATTTTCACAGAAACCGGAAGTTCCCACTGTTCACTGTAACTCATACCATTATTGTTCAACAATGTAAATAATGACTCACTCGTCAGCACTACCTGAGGACCATATTTCAATACAAGTTTTTCAGCATTTGGATCTGTACTAACATCCTTTTTGAAAACAAAATGAGAAAACAAAGTGTAAATCAGAGTGAGAGCAATATGACATTCCACTACTAGACATGAAAGTACTTGATCCAGCAGGGGAAAATATTATGGGGAAAAATCATTTGATTTGGGGACAGGGGAGAAAGAGGAGCCAAATTTCTAAAGCAGGGATCAATATATTTATTAATACTGCAGATATATTTTCATGGATTCAAACACTAATGATTTTAAAGATGGAAGCAACTTCCTTGCATGCATGATTAGATGCCCTAATAACTCTTGGAAGAATTCTTCAGCTATAGTGCACTTTTAGGTGGTGCATAAAACCACAATGAAAATAGAGCAAAATGCTGAAGGCTTTTTCAGAACAAAAGCTCACTCACTCAGTGTTCAACTTCAGGTCCCCATATGTTGCTGGACTATTGGATAAGATGGCTAGGGATGCTGACAGTTGTAGTCCAACAACATCTGGGGAACCAAGGTTGAAGAACACTGATTAATGTGGACATCTGGTTCTGAATGTACTGTTCCTCTAGCAAAAAGCCTTGTGTGCCCACCAAAGGATCACTTCCAGCTTAGTGGAAGATCACCACACAAGAAAATTGATTCTCAAACCCAAGAGTGTAAGCACTTGGGTAAGCCTCTGCAGAGGTTCTTGTAAAAAAAAACCTGCTTGCAGTGCACTGGATTTTACATGTTACACACCACATCTTGTTTATTAACTGAGTTTCTCATAGTGTAATGCGACCCCCAACATGCTGTGGTTGCTCCACTGCAAGAAGCCTTCAACTAGCACTTGTACAACCATTCACACAACTGCACAAACACATTTTCTTTCTCTGCTCCTTCAGTTCTTTGGATCCAAGACCAAATTAAAACTTGTATATGTCTCCATTCTACCTTCTATTAAACTGTATCAGCCACTACAAAAGTCATTTCTGATTAGGTGATGTGATGTACATTTTGACAGAAAATAATCACTAGGAATTGTTTGTTAAGAACAGCTGGTTCCCAACTGAGGGGTTTTGTGTGGTCATAGTTCTTGCTGATAGCATACCATTTACTTACATTGTGAAGCGTTGAAGCTCTCTGCTCTGGAGTTGCAATGTCCACCTTATTTTTATGGTTATCAGGTAACTGTATTGGTGCAGGCAGTTTTGGAAAGTATCGCTTAACAAGGCTCACCTTTCCCTAGAATGAAAAAAGAATGAAAAAAGAGAACCAACACTTTTGGCTCGGCTTCCAAATGAACAGAAAACTTCAGTACAGTCGTACCCTCGGTGTCAGGAACCTGCCATCAGCTCAGAGGCGAGAGGTGGAAGGGCAGTTGTGTTATAGGGAACCTCCGAAAATCTTGCAAAGCAGTTCCTCCTCTGGCGAGCAAGAAAGCCCCACCTCCAGTGGAGAGGAGGTGCAGGGACCAGGAGATGCTAGGGAGAGCCTCAACACCGAGCCTGAGCAAACCGGAGAGAAAGAAAGTACCCCTTTGCCAGCACCCATTCTGCACAGTAGGTTCTGGCGCAGGGAGGGGAGGAGAACGTTGGGGGTCACGCGACTGTTATGCTGGGGGAGGTACATGGACCGATCACTTCCAGATTCTGCTAGCGATTGAGCCAGACATGAACTTACGACACTCTTCACTGTAAATAGTTCCCAGAATAAAGCCTGGAAAAGACAGGTCAGAGTCCTGCCTGGTTACTCTCGAGCAGCCACACCACCACCTGACACTTGGTTTTTGAACTGCTTAGTTCTCAAACGTTTTCGCTCCTGAATGCCGCAAACCCGGAAGTGACTGTTCTGGTTTGCAAACGATTTTTGAAAGTTGAACATCTGACGGGGCTTCCGATTGGTTGCAGTAACTTCATGCAGCCAATGAAAAGCTGCACTTTCGTTTCCGAATGTTTTGGAAGTCAAACGGACTTCCGGAATGAATTCCATTTGACTTCCAAGGTATGACTGTATGTGTTTCTTTCAAGATCACACTCTTAGCCAAATGAATGTTACACTCAGATTGCTCAGTGGTCAGAAGACTTATTTACTCCTGTGAAGTATGAAAAGCTACCTTCAACAAATGGCATAAGAGCATTAAGTTCTCAGACATTTGAGATCCATACTTGGAACAATTTGCATGAAGTACATGTCCAGAGGGCTCTGCTGGAATCTATTCCTCCCCCCCATCTCTTTTCCCTTCCCTAACAAACTCCCTTCCCTCTTTTAGTTTGTTCTGGCTGTATTCACTTTAACTGTAAATAATAACACTCAAACTGTCCAATGATGAAAAATGGTGCCCGAGTGGCAGCAGCAAGCCATCACTAAATCACACTGAGCAAGCTGGAGTTAACTCTTTAATATATATATCCCAATCAGAGACTGTGCCTGCATGCCCATCTTTGCTCCTCCCACTCCATGACTCCCCTGGTTCTGGGAGACCAGAGGCAGGAAAGCTTGTCACAGCAAGTGGGGGATGACACCCCATGCCTCTTCACAAGCCTGACTCATCTCTGCTGCTTGCTCTCCCTCCTCTCCTGTCTCTGATTCTGGACTTCTCCCTTCCACAGACTCTCCCCCCTCACCAAGCTCTGTTACCTCTTCAGTTTCTGACATCTCCTCCTCCCAGTCTTCTCCCTCTGACCATTCATTGTTGTGCCACCACCAATCCCCAGGCTCTGAGACTTCTTCCCTTAGGGGTTCCCCAACTTGTTCCTCCCACTGTTCCTCTGCGTTCAACCAGTCTCTGACACTTGAGTTCAGTGCCAGAACTGTCATGAGAAGTGCGCTGCCAGCCTTGACTCAGTGGCAGAGAACATGTGAAAGTCTCAGGTTTAGTCCCTGGCATCACCAGGAAGGGCCGGAAAAGATCCCTGCCTGAAACTCTAGAGCACCAGCAACAGCCAGTGTAGACGATGCTGAGTTAGAGGTAGCCTTGGTATAAAGCATTTTCCTCCAGAAAGTACAACTTACCAAAGCAAGAAGGCATTTTTCCAATTTAAATGTCAGCTCCGTGCAGAACTTTCCTCCCATGATGCTGGTAACTTCTTGTAGGTTATAGCATTCAGGATACTTCGTCACATAACCAATACAAGATGCTAAAAATTTCTTGGAAGGTAAAAGAAAATACGGTTGTAAAAGTGTGCTTTCTGCAACGGTGTCTCAGAAATAATGTACAGCTAAATTACAATGGAGTTTCAGTTCTGAAATACAAGAAACTTTTAACTTACACAAGAGCCTCCCAGAGACCAGAAGGAAAGCCTGAGAGCTTAAAAGCTCTCTTCTGGGGGTGCGGGGAAAACCCATCCGGTGTGCTGCCTCTGGAAGGTAAGAGTGTGCTTGTGTGTGCATGTGTTTGTGTGCGGCATTTGAGTACTTTTCCATGTATAAGACTCAATTTTAAGAAAATGGGGGGAGATGGCTCAGAGTTGTTGAGCTTTTTGGGGGGAGGAGGAAATGGAAATGCCGGCATCCGCCAATCCATCGCCCACTTGCTGCAGCGACAGTCAATCACCAACAGACCCTTCCCGAGCAGAAAATCACTAACTCGACTGAGAAAAGGTGTCAGCTGATAATCTCGCATATCCCAGAACAGCAGCCGCCAATTGAGGCAGTGACAGCCAATCCACAGCAGTCCTTGCTGCAGAAACCAATCACCAACCCAATTAGAGGAGAAGCAGCCAATCCAAAGCAGCCCTTCTAGCAGCCAACAATCAGCCACCAAATCTCTTGCTCGTGGCTGCAGCTCCTGCTTGCGGCTGCAGCCAATCACCCCCCCCCCATCCACTATCCATATATAAGACGAGGCACACTTTTGAACATTATTTTAGAGTAAAAAAACCTCTAGTATTATACACGGAAAAGTATGGTAAATACATTTTTGCATATACATGCCATCCCTGAAACATAACCTCTGCATAAGATGCAAGTTGCTTCTATTGCATTTATTACTGGCAGATGCATACAACTTAAATATTTGTTGCTGTTTTGAAATTAGGGTTTGTGTTCCCTCAGAATATATATATTTAAACATCTTACACATAGCGTCTCTCTGCTAATAAAATCTCGTTTCCTATGTAGTTTTCAAACTATGTTTTTAAAGGTGAGAAAGCAGCAAAGCAACCTTTTACAGCTATTACCTCGGTGTAAAGCAAGGCCTCCTCTGAGATGTTATTATAATCTTTAGAGCAACTTCTGGCAGCATTTTGAGCAAACTTCAAGAACTCGCCAACTTCTTTGCTTACAAATTCTTTCATTTGCTAAAAAACAAACAGAACCTACATAATATAGCATCTTTATTTTTTACATTTATAGATAGATGTAGATATATATAGATAGTAGCTATTATTCACAATCCTAATGTGTTGAAAGAGACACATTTACTTGGGTTTTAATAGGATAACAAGACCAAAAGACAAGGCTGTGTTGTATTCTAGACTGAGTTTACAAAAAGAATACACACAACAGAGATACAACCAATGCTTTTTTCTGGGGGTACTCAAGCGTATGAAGTACTGGCACCATTTTTTTCTAGAAGAAAAGCACTGGATACAACCAAAATGTTGCACTAAATCCTTTGTCTGCTCCACACAGCCCCTTGCTTCCCCTTATCTGTTATCTTTCCTCACCTTTCATTCTCTTTCTGGCTCTCTCTTCCTCATTCCTGGTAGTTTTTTCTATCCCTTTCCCTCTTCTTTCCTTTACTGCTCTGCTGTCACTCAGCACAGTATTCCACACCTACCTCCAATCAAACTTGGCTGCTGCGTCCTTCATTTCTCTTCCTCCCATCCAGCTTTCTTTCCAGCTCCCATTCTCTGCCTTGTTTTGAAAGTGTCTTGCACAAATTCAGATGGCAAAAAGGGACAACAGTGGACTGCATGTGCACTTCTCCTGCCAGCTCCGTGGCAGCCACATACACAGGCATAGTTCAGAGTTTTGCATATTTAATAAAATTTGTATGCCACCTGATTCTAAGGGGCAAAAAAATCAAAAGTGGAACAGAGGAAGCTCAGAAGCAGGACCCCGGGGCAACAACGCTCTCCCCAGAGAACTGGTACTCAGAAGCATACTGCCTCTGACAGAGAAGTGGTGGAGATGCCGGGGACTGAATGTGGGATCTTTTGCATGCAACACACACACTCTGCCACTGAGCTATAGCCCTTCCCCAAGGCCACCTGAAATGCACCTGCTGCTCCACAAATGTGGATTTGGTGATTTTCATCATCTATCAAGCTACTGCAACCTCTTCTTCCTTTGCAATTCTCAGTGGGGTGGGGAAAAGGGACAGATCTACAAGGCAAACACAAAACTTTTCACGAAGCAGCCATAGCTTGGCTGGAAAACAAACATTTTGCACCTAGTAAGGTAAAGGCAAGGGGACCCCTGCCCATTAGGTCCAGTCATGGCCAACTCTGGGGTTGCACGCTCATCTCGCTTTATTAGCCGAGGGAGCCGGCGTACAGCTTCCAGGTCATTTGGCCAGCATAACTAAGCCGCTTCTGGCGAACCAGAGCAGTGCACGGAAACGCCGTTTACCTTCCCGCTGGAGCGGTACCTATTTATCTACTTGCACTTTGACGTACTTTTGAACTGCTAGGTTGGCAGGAGCAGGGACCGAGCAACGGGAAATCACTCAGTCGCGGGGATTCGAACCGCCGAGCTTCCGATCAGCAAGTCCTAGGCTCTGTAGTTTAAGCCACAGCGCCACCCGTGTCCCTTTTGCACCTAGTAGGTAGAGGTATATCCCTAGCAGCTCCAGCGAAAAAGGATCTGTGAAGAAGAACTTGGAGAGAGCTACTGCACTATAAGAACAAGGCAGCTTCCTAAGTTTATAGAACTACACACAGTAGGCTTCATGTGCCTGTACTTCAATTAGACACAACACTACTGTTTCCATGAAAGGCTACCTAGGAACACTTGTTCATCTTATTAGCAAATCATGTCACTATTATGGGAAATAGAGACGGAACCCTTACCAGATATTGTAAATGATCTTTCTGCTCAGATGGATCGATCAGGCTGGGATCAGCATTTAAGTATGCAGACAACAGAAATAAGTATCTCCTCTGTTGTTTCTCTGTCAAACTAGAAAAGTAAGGATAGGGGACTCTAGGCTCTTGAAAAGATGCAATTTCTGCTGCAGATTGGAATGCCGCTTCAGCTGGTTTTACTGCAGGCTGCCCGCTAGAAGACTTGTTTTCTTTTGATACATCTTTTGATATGCCTGCATTGCCTTCTGTGTGCCTGAAACAAATACAGACAATTTTTTAAAAATGTAGGCAGAAGCCTACAAGACCAACAGCCTTAATTCTCATTCAACAGGGAGCACAATTCATATTGCTACTGCAACGTTTTTAATACCTAAATTTCTAACAAAAATTCATAACTAGTTTGGTCAAACCATAATGTTTATCTCTTTTCCCCAAAGAATATTAAAAACAAATGAAACCCGAATGACTACTTTGAAGAAACACCACCAGCTTGGTCAATGGCCAAGATCCAAGAAACCACTTAAGTGAAATCCTGCATATGATTACTCAGAAACAAGTCCCACTGTGTTCTTTCATTGTAAGTAAGAGGCTCATGTGAGCTCATTTTTTGACTATTTTTCAAGTATCCCCCCTCCCCCCTTCTCAGCTGTATAAGTAATATGTCAGACGGCATACGGAGTGGTTTTATGAGAAAAACAAACATACAGTGGTGCCTCGCAAGACGAAATTAATCCGTTCCGCGAGTCTCTTCGTCTTGCGGTTTTTTCATCTTGCGAAGCACGGCTATTAGCGGCTTAGCGGCTATTAGTGGCTATTAATGGCTTAGCGGCTTTAAGAAAAAGGAAACAAACTCGCAAGAACTCGCAAGACGAAACGTCTTGCGAAGCAAGCCCATAGGGAAATTCGTCTTGCGGAACGACTCAAAAAACGGAAAACTCTTTCATCTTGCGCGTTTTTTGTCTTGCGAGGCATTCGTCTTACCACTGCAAAGGCCCCTTGGGCTCATGAAATTTGATTTATGGCACTTTGGATCCAGGCCAGTTTATGTTATATAAATGCTACCCCACATCACATAGGTCCTCAAACGGTGCTATCAATTATACGGATGATACTCAAAACACTCTAATGGGTGATGGCTGGCTTACCTCTTAATTATTTAACATATAAGCATGCTCAGTAATAAGCACATTTTGGATTAACTAAACTGAGTGTTAACTGCTGATCTAGTGAAAAAGAAAGACTTGATTTACACACCAGGAAAATGTCTCAACAGTATCATGTCTACAGCTCTTAATAATACTACACAGCTGTCTCTCAGAATGAGAGAACATGTCCATCCTTGTGGCACGAACTGGCAAATTTAATTAAGCTGCTACACCAACAAGATGCTGACTCAGATGTGCCTGATGTAGGAATGTCAAGTGATTCTAGCAGCTTAAATTAGCTACATTTGACGAGGAGTGGGACGGCAGCCCATCAGGATTATTTCACTGCGTGCTGCTGTCAAAGCCTTCAGCAGAATGCAAGCCTAAATCACTTTGACAGCCCCCTTTCACCTACATCGCCAGCCTGTTCTTTATTTAGACTGACCCTTTTGTCAGCAGACTCCCTTCTTCCTCTGATCACAGCTTCTATGAGGAGAGAAGGGATGCATCTCAGGTGCGAATCCACACATTCTTGGGGGCACTGTTCTTCCATCAGCAGCCTTTGTCTCTCCATGTCCTTAATGGAGGCATCATGGAATACAGACAGAGCCACATTCCTGTATTCATGAGTTCTAGCAACTAGCAACTACATTCTCCTCACTTACTCCTCCTCCCCAAGTTCTGTCCTAAACTGTTGAAGCCACAACCACAGCCTCCCTTAGATGCAGTTAAGGAAAGCGCTCTCTCTCTCTTCCCCCTCCCCAAGTTAACTCCTAAGACGAAGGGGGAGATACTGGTCCCATTTTCTCTTCACAAGTTAGGTCCCAGGTTCAGAATTCTTGCTATCATTCCCTTTCCAAAGGAAATCCTCTCTCTCCCTGCTGCTTTGTACAGGCTTTTCCCTGAAAAGCAACTAATTAATAACACGGGGACACAGTGGAATGAACTTCTGAGTTAACATGCACTGAATGTAATGTAAAGCTGCAATCACATATACTTATTTGAAAATAAGTCCTAATGCAGTGGTTCCCAAACTCACCACCCCTCTGCACGCTTGGACACTTGAAAATGGCTGAGAGTCTTGGCAGATCACTTAAATATTTTTCTGCCTGTTGTAGCAAGTGCAATATGACGTGCTAGATGATGTATAATTTAACTGTTTTTTCAAATACACACATACAATTTTATTATTCAAATTACTGTACAATATAAAAAACAATATACAATAAACCTATGTTTTCTTTTCTAGAATGTTTGTTGCCTTCCAAACCAAAGTTAGAAAGAAAAGGTATACTGGTACCTTTTTGGTAGTAACAGTAGCTCAGAGAGAGTTGGAGTCAATGAGTATTTTTCATAAATATCTCGCGAGAAATACACATCGTGACCATTTTTAGGTGGAATATCCCTGGTTTTGTGTAAGAAAAGGCAAATAATGAATTAATAACAACAATAAAATGAACTTAACATTGACTAGATGGAGATCAGTTAACTTTTATCTTGCACACTGCTTGGGTACTAGAAACATGGTTTATAAATGCTGGGAAATCATAGTTTAAGCACAAATCTGTTAGGATATTTCCGTTCCACCTTAAAAGGGAGCAGGCTTTGTGAGTCACAGAGTCTGTGCATTTCCTGTTCACAGGATGTTTATGTTTTCTGTTGCTTTCGTTTTCTCTCTCGGCAGTCATGTTTTTCTTTGTTCTGACCAACGCTGAATAAACTTGTAAATAATGCTCTCCTGCGTGCAACTTCTGCTGTGAATTATCTGCTGATAGAGTGTGCATGAGCTCTGGAATGTGGCAAGCTATTTCTGGAAACTCGTGTCGCTAATTGTTGATACTGTATCTACGGGAGATCGATGGATCGTCCGGCAGCCGGCTTGGGGGCCATGATGGACTTTGTCTCCCTGGCAGTATCCCAACAAAATCACTATCCATCAACTATTAAGTCATAACCAGGTCCCATGATGTTATTGTGTCTATTCCTAACTTCTTTGGATTAAGTATTCTAATTGAGGACAACGGTGATGGAAAGTGGGCTAAATATTCTGCAAATTTTAACAGTATTGTGGCAAATTGCTGCAACAGACTAACCATGGAAATTGCTTAGAAACTGAAATCCAGTGGTATAAAAGGCAATGGCATAATTCTAAGTGTATCTCATGAAACAGAAGAGGGAAAACTTGCATAATAACTGTACCTGCTTATATGAATGAATGAATGAATGAATACTTTCTCAAACACTAATTTTTTCATCTTAGTTCCTCTCTTGACTCTACTGATTTGCCAACCAATAACAAAACCATTTGTGTTCATTATTTATTTAAAACTGGGGATGGTTTGTTTTACAGCTTGCACAATATAAATGGTTTAAAATGCATTCAAAAATATTTCTATCACAACAAATGAGAATCACTGAGAGACCATCTTGAACACTTGCTCCTTGTGTTGCAGATCTTTTTCCACCTGGCCTGTGAGGTCAGGTCTCTGACTGACTCCAGCTGCAAAAGCTGAGGCTGCTGAACAGATTCTTGGATTGGGGTATTGCTTAGAGCAGGGGTTGTCAACCTGGTCCCTACCACCCACTAGTGGGCGTTTCAGGATTCTAGGTGGGCAGTAGGGGGTTCTACGGCATAAACTGAATCCTCCTTCCATCGAGCACTGGTGGGCGGTAAGGAAATTTTACCATCAAGAAAGAGGCATTAGTGGGCAGAAGGTATAAAAAGGATGACTACCCCTGGCTTAGAGGGTTTTGTGGGGGGCAGGGTTGTTGCTGTTTTTGATATTTTTTACATCTTTATTTTAGATCTTATTATGATTTCTATGGTAATTGTTTAATTTAGTTGTGTACTTTGCAATGCTTTATTGTTTATGACTACTTTTGTTATTTGTTTGTAATTATGGTTTTTTCATGTTGTAAGCCACCTTAAACATGGTTTTAAAAACTATGGAAAGGCAGCATACAAATAAAATTCTGTATAATTTATTCCAAATTATGCAAAGAATATCTGCAGAAGAAAAATGGGAGAGTGCAAAATAATCTTTCCTCTGTATTTTAAGGATCTGATAAATTATCCTCTAACATATGCACTAAAATGGTAAATAATGTTTTTTAAAAAAGACTCCTAATGGGTTAAATACTGCACCAGTACAAACAGAAAGATAAACCATGGTTTATCATACAGCAAGTAGCCACAGTTTATCATTAAAGAAAATCCACAATTCCCCCTCTGGTGCACCAAATAAAATTGTCTTGACATTCTATTGTTTTGGGTTGCAGCCTGTCACAGTAATCCTACACATACTTATCTAGAAGTAGCCCCCGTTGACAATGCAATTTACTTCTGAGTAACTTGAGCTTACATAGAACTGCACTGGAAGGCAGCAATTCTATATGCTGAGTATATTTTATATTATTGAGAGGTATTATTTAACGTATCACCTTGTGATCTTGATCATTATTATGGGAGAACAGCACGTATAATTTCCTAATTGAGATACAGTGGACCCTCGGGTTACGTTACCTTTGGGTAACATACCGTATTTTTCGCACCATAGGACGCACCGGCCCATAGGACGCACCTAGTTTTTTGGGGGGGAAATAAAGGAAAAAATTTTTTATTTCCCCCCCAGGTGCGCTGTGCTAAGCCCGAAGCTTGGGGCGTGCAGAGCTCAGCACGCCCCAAGCTTCTGGGTGCCGGCAAGGTCTCCTCTAGCCGTGGGAGAGCCGCAGGACTTCGCGCGGCTCTCCCAGGGCTAGCGGAGCGCTGCGCTATCCTGGAAGCTTGGGGCGTGCAGAGCTCAGCGCGCCCCAAGCTTCTGGGTGCCGGCAAGCAGTCCGCTGGCCTTGGGAGAGCCCCGCGGCTCTCCCAGGGCTAGTGGAGCGCTGCGCAACCCCGAAGCTTGGGGCGTGCGGAGCTCAGCGCGCCCAAGCTTCTGGGTGCCGGCAGCAGTCCGCTAGCCTTGGGAGAGCCCCGCGGCTCTCCCAGGGCTAGCGGAGCGCTGCGCTAATCCCGAAGCTTGGGGCGTGCAGAGCTCAGCGCGCCTCAAGCTTCTGGGTGCCGGCAAGGTCTCCGCTAGCCGTGAGAGAGCCGCGCGACTTCGCGCGGCTCTCCCAGGGCTAGCGGAGCGCTGCGCTAATCCCGAAGCTTGGGGCGTGCGGAGCTCAGTACGCCCCAAGCTTCTGGGTGCCGGCAAGGTCTCCGCTAGCCGTGGGATAGCCGCAGGACTTCGCGCGGCTATCCCAGGGCTAGCGGAGCGCTGCGCTAATCCCGAAGCTTGGGGCGTGCGGAGCTCAGCACGCCCCAAGCTTGTGGGTACGGGCAAGGTCTCCGCTAGCTGTGGGAGAGCCGCGGGACTTTTATGGCCCCCCCAGGTGCGCTGTGCTAAGCCCGAAGCTTGGGGCGTGCGGAGCTCAGCGCGCCCCAAGCTTCTGGGTGCCGGCAAGGTCTCCGCTAGCCATGGGAGAGCTGGGTCTCCCATGGCTAGCGGATAGCTTCCTGAAGCCTGGAGAGCGAGAGGGGTCGGTGCGCACCGACCCCCCGCGCTCTCCAGGCTTCAGCGAAAGCCTGCATTCGCTCCATAGGACGCACACACATTTCCCCTTCATGTGTGGAGGGGAAAAAGTGCGTCCTATGGAGCGAAAAATACGGTAACTTTTGGGTTGCAAACGCGGCCAACCCAGAAGTGTATACTTCTGGGTTTCGCCGTGCGTGCATGAACGTAAGTGCTCCGTGCGCATGAGTGCTCTATCGTGCTGTGCATGTGCGCAGAAGCGGCGCCTCTAGATGCAGACGTACGGCCCCCCAGAACAAATTACGTTTGTATCCGGAGGGTCCACTACAATTATAACTACATGGAAATGGGGAGGCTATGCATAGAAATAGACAGAACACCACAGTAGCTATGATGGCTCTGTTTTACATCCACTATTGGAGGAGGTATAAAAGTTCATGGGGAGCACAAGCAGGGAAGGCGGGGGCCGTCGTTCTCACCTCTCCTCCTTGAGAATTTCCCATAATAGGCAACTGGCCGGCCATTGTGATCCTAGATTGCTAGACCAGGGTGACATTCACTATACAGTGGTACCTCTGGTTGCGTACTTAATTCGTTCTGGAGGTCCGTTCTTAACCTGAAACTGTTCTTAACCTGAAGCACCACTTTAGTTAATGGGGCCTCCTGCTGCAGCTGCACTATTTCTGTTCTCATCCTGAAGCAAAGTTCTTAACCCGAGGTACTATTTCTGGGTTAGCGGAGTCTGTAACCTGAAGTGTCTGTAACCCGAGGTACCACTGTATGTTTAAAGCACAAAGGTCATAGTTTCCAGCAAAGAATTCTGGGAGCTGTAGCTTGTTAAGGGGAATGAGAGCTTTTAAGAGACACCTTATTACTGTCCCATTACAACTCAGAGAATTTTAACTCTATAAGGGAAATAGGGGCTTCCAAACAACTCTCAGAACCCTTAACAAACTACAGCTCCCAGAATTCTTTGGGGGAAGCCATGACTGCTTAAGGAGGTCCCATGGTGCTTTAAAGGCACGGCTCGAATGCAGCCTAGATGGGCCTTTGGTCCCATCTAGGGACCAAAGAAGGTGCTTCTTACGTTCTTATACTGTGACTCTATAATAACCATGCTATATTTAAATGTAGTTTTCTCCACCTCCTAGTTCTTTTTGTTATTATTGCTATTTCTCACATTTATATCCCACTTTTCCAACAAGCAGCTCAGGGTGGCCTAGGTGGTTCTCCCCCTCCTCGTTTAATCCCCACAGCAATCCTGTGAGGTAGGTTAGGCTAAGAGGCAGCGACTGACTCCAGGGCCACCCAGAGAGCTTCACGGCTGAGTGGGGATTTGAACCCTGGTCTCCCAGCTGTTAGTCCAACACTGTGACCATTACACTTCTAAAATGCAACCAAATGCCTGGGGGCAGAAAGAGGCCAAAAACAGGCACCCAGAAGCTGTTAATGGTCAGCATCGCGAAAGCTTCAATGGGGAGATCCATACAGTACTGGTGGGTCGTCCCACAGTGAGTCACGGGCTGATCCATGGTGGGCTGCAGCAGCAGCACTACCACTGTGCAAATCTATGGTAAAAGATTAAGAAATGGGTCCCCAGAAACATGTTTGGGTCCCAAGCGAGTGCTGGGTCCGAAAAGGTTGACGATACCTGCTGCAGGTGGCCCAAGTGGGGCCACCACTGAAAAGCACCCCCCCCCACATCGTCGCTGTAAATAGCTACACTAATGTATTTACTTAAATATGGGGCACAGAAGAACATCCTGAGGGCGCATACCTGGATGTCTGATTCACTGCAGATAGGATAGTGCCTGTGAGGGTATGGCTGCCTACAAACCTATCTGGGAGTTAAGCCCTCCATGAAGGCAACAGGACTGACTTCTAGGTAAACCTGCAAAGGAAGGCTGTTGCTAAAATGTTATAAAGGGAACACAGACAGAGAGACTTTCAGGCTACATATCCCACCCGCTTGGAGGAGCGGGCTCTGCTTCCTCAACGCTGAGAGGAGAAAAGCACTCTGCACACGCTCAGAGATGCTCTTCCCTGACTGCGTCCCACAGCGTAGCAAACGACTGCGGGAAGTGAGGGTCCCCCGCCCTCTTCCCTTCGGCTCCTGAAGGACCATCGTGCCCCGAATGCGGACGGCGGCGCCTGACCGAGGAGGGAAAAGGAGGGAGGGAGACCCAAGCCGCGCACTCACCAGGCGAGGAGGTTCCCGCTCGCCGCCATCTCGCGCCTTCGGCGGCCGCTTCGCCCGGCCTGCAGTTGGAGAGGGCAGCAAGGCCTGGAAGAGGCGACCGCATTCCCACAGTAGAGCCTCGGTGAGCATCGCTAGGAACCGCCCCTGCTTCGCGGTATTACCCAACCAGCGCGGCCGAGCTCCCCGCGAGGCAGTCACGTGGTAGCGAATCAGCCAACCGGAGTGCGAGACGTAGAAGGAGCTTAGGATCCATTTTGGGTGTGGGCAAGCGAGTTTCTCTCAGCCTTTTCGTCATTTTAATACTTCATATAAAGGCGGAGGGGAAATAAACGCTTCAAGAGGAGCTCGGGTGAGGGAAACGGCTTCCTTAGTACAGTATCTCTTTATCTTCAACCTTTTCCCGGTAGGCTTTACTGCCCTCCCCCAGCTTTTATGCTGGAAACTCCAATACGTATTAAAAATAAAAACCCACGCTGTGGAATAACGCCAGTGCTAGCGAAACAGGTGAAAAACTAAAGTAAATATTGTATGTTAATGTAAGATATTTTAATATTTTAGAACGTTTACTAAATATTTGTGGAAACTGTATTAATTTAAAAACACTTTATCTTTATGCAATAATGATAATAGATTGCCCTTTATCCTGGGCACACACTGTACAATAATAAACATTTGAAAATGGCCACTAATGTAAATTATGTGGCAAAAAGTTGGCAAAGTACATCCAAAGTCGTAGAAAATTTAAAAAATGAAAAGACTAGGGCTTGGTGTCTGAATATGCGAAGTGATTATAAAAATATCATTTGTTTCATTTATTCCTCTTTTTAAATTTACGTTTATTTCTTAAATTTCTATATACTGCACCATGGGGCACTAATAACAAAGCACTAATATAATCATAAGAACATCACATTATACGACCCATACATTTGGTGAAATAGCATAGCTGTTTGGAAATAGTTAACCACGATTTCCAAATTTGGATGTCATAACAGGAAACTATAATTAATTGTCTTTCTGCTCTGTTTCTTTACACAAAGGGGAACGAAGAGGCTGTGTGCAAGTGACAGTTCAGTCAGTAGAGCAGGAGACTTTGAATCTCAGGGTTGTGGGCTTGAACCCCATGTGGGGCGAAAGATTCCTGTGTTGCAGGGGGTTGGACTAGATGACCCTCAGGGTCCCTTCCAACTCTACAGTTCTATGACCTAAGTGCAAAAAGCTGGTTAATCTGTCAGTTTACAAAGTTCTCCTTAAAAATATTATTAATCTGATAGCTAACTATTCATGTTTAATATAAATATTGATAAACTGCTACACTTGTGGGCTGTACAGTTGTAGTCTCTTCAGAAGAGCAAAATTCAGCTAAAGAGCAAAGAACTTTCATTGGGTTTTAGTCAATGTTAGTCCCGGACCCACCAAGTGTCCCTATTTTTCAGGGATAGTCCCGGATTTACAGAAGCCATCCAAGTTTCTGTTTTGATCCTGGAATGTCCTGCTTTTCCTTAGAACGTCCCTATTTTCATTGTAGAAGTGTTGGCAGTTAGGGAATTATCCAACCCCTGAGCCACCTGAAGGCAACACTCTATAGAGAAGTTTTTTTTAATGTTTAATGTTTTATATATGTTTGAATCTGCCCGGAGGGGCTGGGGCAACCCAGTCAAATGTGTGGGGTGTAATAATAATAATAATAATAATAATAATAATAATAATTTCATAACCAGCATTTCTCGAATGATTTTTTTAAAAAAATGAACACAACATCCCTATTTTCATTGGAGAAATGTTGGAAGGTATATAGTCTGGCTCAGAGCAGACCCATTGAAATTAATGTTGAGTGGGACTAACATTGACTACAACCCTTAATATTTTGAAAGTGAAGTGTATGTACAGTGGTACCTCGGGTTACATACGCTTCAGGTTACAGACTCCGCTAACCGAGAAATAGTACCTCGGGTTAAGAACTTTGCTTCAGGATGAGAACAGAAATTGTGCTCCAGTGGCGCGAGGCCCCATTAGCTAAAGTGGTGCTTCAGGTTAAGAACAGTTTCAGGTTAAGAACGGACCTCCGGAACGAATTAAGTACTTATCCCGAGGTACCACTGTAGTAAAGTATGACATAAATATGTTTCCCTTTATATCTGAATTCATATTCTATTAATATAGGTGATCTATAACTAATTTTGTACAGAACACAAAGGATTTGGAATGGTACTGTATTAAGTGAATGCCACTAAGCCTTATGAAAATGTTCCTTTAGTAAGAGGCAATACAAAGAAGGGGAGGGGATGGCAGGAGAAAGGGAGTAGAAGGATCCCTAAAGAATCCTCAGGAAAGTTCAGCACAGCTGGATCAAATCACATCATTGTATGTTATTTCTTTTATAGGGCTCAAAGATGGACCTACTCATCTTCGGGATCTGTGAACGAGGTGGATGACTTTCACTGGGAACTGGACAAGGGGAGTGTGTCCCTGTTGGTTCTGCTGGACTTCTCAGCGGCTTTCGATACTACTGACCATTGTATCCTTCTTTGGAACTCCCTCCCTAGAGAAGCTAAACTGTGTCCCACCTTGTCCTTCCACCAGCAGGTGAAAACCTTTTTTTTAAAAAAGGTTTTTATTAAAAAATTTCTTGGATTACAAAAGTACATACATTGTCTCTACTTTCAGATCATAGAGTCCTTTGTACAGTGGATGCTTAGGTTGCGAACGTGATCTGTGCAGGAGGCATGTTCGCAACCCGTAGTGTTCGCAACCCACAGCGCCGTGTCTGCACATGCGCGGGTTGCGATTTGGCGTTTCTGCACATGCGCAAAGTGCAATTTAGTGCTTCTGCACATGCACGAGTGCTGAAACCTGGATGTAACGCATTCCGGTACTTCTGGGTTCAGGGTGGTGCGCAACCTGAAAACGCGCAACCTGAAGTGTCTGTTACCCGAGGTATGACTGTACAGTCCAGTTTTTTTTCAGCAGGCTTTTGAGAACTGACAGCTTTCAATGAAAGGGGCTGGTGCCATGCTGTTTTTCTTGTAATTGTCTGTAGCTTTTTAAATATATAGTTAATATATAGTTTAAAAAAGGGGACGACAGAGGACGAGATGGTTGGACAGTGTTCTCAAAGCTACCAACATTAATTTGACCAAACTGCGGGAGGCAGTGGAAGACAGGAATGCCTGGCGTGCTCTGATCCATGGGGTCACGAAGAGTCAGACACGACTAAACAACAACAAAAACAGTAGACAGACTGACTGGAAGGAAGGCAAGGCCAAATCAGTGAAGCAAAGACAAAGCAGGCAGCCTCTTGTTGGTAGGTGCCTGTTTTCTAATCTAAGCAGTTTTCTTGGGGCACCCTGGCCTGCACACTGTTTAGGGATTACTGCTCCTGTCTTTTAGATCCTAACCCTGAGGGCAGGGTCCACTCACCACAGACCAGTAACACTTAATGCACTTGAAGTGAAAAATGAATGTGACCAAGTTTTCCATTAGAAGCTGAAGTTTTATTACAGGAGAACAGTACATAAAGCACATCTAAAATTGATGTGTTCAATGCACTTAATAAAGGTAATGTAATATTAAAGGTACAGGTTCTAAGTACAATATAACAACATTCATATTAGAATGAAAATCAAGAGTATTTAAAAGACAACATTAAATCTCTTATTTTTACATTTGTATTTACAAAATGAGTCAAAATACTTTGTTCAATATCAGAATAAAATAAACTTGAGTCTAAGCTGACAAGTGTAAGAGTGAGCTCTAAAGAAGATCTGATAGAAGTGAAAAAGTTGGTGATAACGGGGAAGATATAATTAGTGAAGTTTTATTACAGTATTACTTTTAATATTCCTCTCAATGGCTTATGCTTTTATCATAGCTAGAAAATGAATTTGTACATACTGTACACATAAGACAACACATTTTTGCATGTACAGTACAGATTCATGATAATTTGTAGTTATTTACAGAAGACTGAGTGTGTTACTCAGTGAGGTTGGTGATGTTTATGTGCTTAATCCTCAAACCAATACATATTTATAATCAGCATTTATTTTTATTCTTCAGACATTTAATTACACAAGAAACATTACTCACACAAACTTGCATAATTTATAAAACAATGAAGCCCAAACAATTAGGGAAAACATTACTGGTATAAAGTATGTGACACTTATATTAGACAAATCAGGAGATTCTCTGTTTAAGAGGTGAATTGTATCAATAAGGGACTAGAAAATAATCATGGACTTGCATTTTTAAAGAAGATTGTAGCTTTTCTTTTAAAAAAATCAAATCAATTATCCTGAAAATGTTTGTATTTAAAATTTCTATTCATTAAAATATAGCCAGGGTGCTGATAAATACATTTGTATTTATTTCCAGAATAATGGTTTGTTTGCTAAATCAAAATACAGAAGCAGTGCATGGAACCAGGACGTGTGGCTTTAATATTAACTATCCTCTATTATTAAAAAGTGCGGTAAACAAACAGCTTCTTAGATTTCTCAATTTTTTTTTTAACTAAAGATCTTATAGCTTCAGTAATAGTACAGAAAAGAGTTGTAATAAATCCTTTAAAGGTCAGTTGTTTCCCATTTTAGATATTTGATATCCATTAGGTTTTTGCAAAAGATGATACTGGTAATGAATAACAGGACTTGAATTCTAGCTGAAATAGTCTGATTATTAAGCACTTTTTTTAAAGTTACTATTCTACTGTTGCAGTACTTTATGGTGCCAAATTCTGCTCAGAATTAGGCTGTGCAATTTGTGGTGCCATTGGGAACCACACGTGCATATTCCAGTTTACTCTTTGGCTATAATTTTCTTAATTTATAGCAAATTTCTAGTCAACAGAGAAATACACATTCCCAAGCAAATGTGCATATGATTGCACCATTAGTATGACCATTGCTTAAGTTTCTCAAGCTTTAAAAACTGAGACCAAACCTCTTTTGGCTGTGTGTTTGTTTTGTTGTATTAATGGTATTACTGCACATTGTGGAAATTCTTTATTGCATATACTGATAATTATAGGCAAGGATGGGCCAGCCCTTAGATGTGTTGGCATCCAAGTGTGCAGTGGAAGCCCAGGATTGCAGAACCAGCCTGCGGCATCATAGGCCACATTTCCATTGGCAATCCGTTGGCCCATGCTTGTAGTGTTGTGAGGTTAAAATAATCCACAAAAGCTGGGGCAGCCAAGAGAACATAACACAGTGTAGCCATGCTAACTGTTGTACTGGCGCAATCGAGGGCAACACAGAATTGGAAATATAGACATTCTAACCTTATTGAAATGTCAAGCTTATTTTACTTTTTTCAGTGAAATGACAAGTTTTATTTTACCTTCTTTGATAATAACTACTGATACACAGTAGTAGCTAGAGTTTTTTGTATACTCCTTGGTAATATTGATTCTTGTTCAGGCAGTTGTCAATCCCTGCACAACTGCTTGTGGGAGTGTAGGGGGTCACCAGTGGGCTAACATGGAGTCAGTAATTGTATTAAATCCATCATTGATATAGAGGCATATATACACAGCTGTTGTAATACACAGCCGTGGCAACATATATGACCCATTTATATGCACCAGTTCATACAATCAATGCCTTCTGGCAGTCCCAGGTGTAATATTATTGGGCCCATCAAGTGTCTGAACCCAAACATAGGGTTCATTGTGGATTGCACCTAGTGTTACTCTAATTTGTACTTTTCTCTCCCAAGTCCTTGAATCAAGACAGAACCATCTTTTCACATGAATTCTCCTGGGGGCTCCACTTCTCCCCCTCCCAATAGAATATAACTGTACCCCTATGGTAGCCCTCCCCATATAATTGCAGGGATGCTGAATTGCACCACTGAAGAATTTAGAATGTTCTGTGGGGGGGAAAGGACTACTTTTTAGTACTTTACACATTAAAGAGAAAAGTAGTTTGATACACAAAACTGAAACCACTGGGCTCTCCTTGGCATACAGGACTTGGTTTCAGAACTACAGTGCCATAGGATAACCAAAGTGTGTTGCGGTTGCAAAGTAGATGAGAGAAAGAAGAATCAGCGTAGGATATCAAATATCATTACTGAGAAGTTATTTTTTTCCTGATTAAATATGCTAGAGAGAACTTTATAGAATGATACTATATATTCAGAGAGAACATGTCCCCAGTCTAGGTACTCTGATACAGGTACTTGATTGGGCATGTGTGTAAATGTATATAAGGTATATACACATGCACACATAGATATTCAGTGAAATAGTACAAGACCCAAATGTGGTATTGCCTAGGAGTAAAACGGGAAAGGGAGATTTGTTCATAAAATTAACTTATCTAGCACCACACATCAGAAAAACACAAAAATAGCACACTCTAGTTCTAAACAGCTATTTCTAAAATAGAGTATATAGTAAAACAGATATTATACAGCGTAATGTGGTATTTGATAAACAGATAAATATTTGCACCGCATAGGCTTTTAAAGTAGTATATTTTATCTATAGAGAATGAAAGCAAAATAGTTATAACCATACAAAAGGTGAGCAGAACAACATTGAAGAGTATGACTCAGAAGCTGAGACAAAGATGACATAAGAATTAGAGCAAGAGAAAATGTGTACAGGCCATTACAAGTCCTTAAATTAGTAGTAAAACAAGGAGTTGGTTGATCAAGTTTAAGAAAGCAGTAAACAAGATATTTGCATTTACATGCAGATGTCTAAAATTTGTATTTCTTTTAAATCTATGCACAAAAAGTCATTGTTTTTATTGCTCAACATTCAGTTATGGCTAGAAGTTTTTTTTTAACCTTTATTTTGTACTTTGGAAACAAGTATATTGTTAAAGGTGCCATAAAATGGATAGCACTGAGAAAAGTTTGCAAATAAACCACCTAACACTGCAGTTCTTCTTACATTATTAAAAGCCTTGTCTGGGGTTTGTCATATGTTAAATATATTTAAACTGGGAAAATACATCATAGCTTGAAGCCTCCCATTTGGCTCAAACATCCATACAAAAACACATCTCCGAAAAAGGAGCAGGCAGACAATACAATTACATATAAAGAAGCAGCCAGTTAATGTCCTAATAGTCAAAAGAGTTACCACTGGGGCTTTTTTTTTACAAATTTGTTGAGTCAAAATAGAAAATTTTGGAGTTAGGAAAATATATATACAGTACCTCTGTGGTTTGTGAAATAAAATTCACTATATTGCTTATGAATTTTCTGCATTTCAATACGAGAATAGCAAACAGATTGTAGGGTCCTGTACATTTATGCATTTTCAGTAAAACTTTCTAAGGAGTATGGGAAAGTTCAAGTGTGCAAAGTAAACACATGCACAAAATAATGATGTAGCATAAAGCATTCTATGTGCTCAATTCTTTTCCCCCTTTTAAAAGAAGTATTCTTAAGCGGCAACGGGATGAACAGTAAAGATAAAGTGAATGCCACAGCAGTAAAAAAATAAAAATTGAATGACATAATGATTCTTGGCTTTCAGATTCACAATGCTTCAATGCACAGGAGCTAAAATTTTATATTTGGATTAAGTTTATTTATTGCTCTGAAGAGGAACTATTATGCCCTGCTACCAATAAATGTGAAAATCTAATTGACACATTTATATACATAAAGCAATGTAAAACAACATCTTCCTTTATTCCTAGATCTCTGTATATCCAAATAGTTAGAAAAGTAGACAAACAAACTAGTTTCAACATGACAAATTTTAAATGTGACACCTGCACATTCCTCTAAGAATTCGCAGTATAGTAGTGAATTATCACAATACATTTGAACCAGAATTGGCATGTGAAAATATGTTCTCAAATCTTTATTTGTAATATCATTAATCCATTAGTAATTAATTGGTTGATTGTATAAGGCTTTGGTTTGATTCCTAATCACCACTTTACCAGAAATATTAAATTGAAGAAATGTAAATGCCACAAAATTTAAATTTATTCACATTGTATTAACATTTGGATTATTTTTTAAAATACTTTAAAGTCATAAGACATCTGACTTCTAAATAGCCTGGCCCTGTAAATGCACAGATAGAGTTTGATTATTAATTTTGTTTGACTTGATAAAAATGATTGTGTGAAGACCTCCAAGTAAATGATTAGTCACACAAATTAACAGATCATCCAAATATTTTACATCAATTCTTCAAGTTTATAGATGTGTCTAAGGCAATCATCTGGGAATTGAAAACCATCCACAAATGGTTGCCTTGGACACCCACTTACAAGGAGCCAGCTTTGGCGTTAACTCTGTAGTTTTATCTCCAAGGAAAGAGGTGGCAGGAAACAATTATGATGTCAATACTTATCCATATTTACATATATTTGGGAATCTTTTATTAGAGCTCATGGTTGAATTGAAATCTTTCCAAAATTATTGCCTTAAAACTGCATCAAGAATACTTTGCACTCAGCGTTGCCCAGAATGATCACATGGCAATCATGCGTCCCTTACTGGACACTCAAAATCTGGATAATCACATAACCAGAAAAAGCATACAATTTTGTATTGGCACTGGTCCATTAATATTTCCCAAGCTACATAAATTGCGCACACAGAACAGACACTTAGGAACAAATATAAAAATAAAAATTAGATATGCTTTCTAATTAGTTCAGCTTTATAGGATTATAATCTCTTCTAGATGTACGTATTTCACCCTGTAATTTTCTGATCATCCTTTACACTTAACAAACAGGCTCACTCCTTTGAAAATATCTGAGTACCTCTTACAAAGCTGTCTCATTTTGAAGGATTAAGCTGCTAATAGATCAGAAAGGGAAAAAAACACTTTCAACAAACAACCACTTTTTAGTCTTAGAAGAGAACCAGGATGTAAGCACAACAGAACATGCAATGGATGCTTTATATATACTTAACGGTGGTTACTTCTGTATAAAAATAAAAATGGATTGCAATGTTGTGGCAATTAGGAAAGAAAGCATGAGTAGAACACATGATACATAAATTAAACAAAGTGGGGGTGTTGCAGTTGGAGAAGGGCATTCAACCACTTAGCTGAGATGATGAAATCAATTTCTCTTTGGCCTGACTGTTAAACAGAGTGAGTCTTAAATTCTAATTTAACTTCCATTTCCTTTACTGCTTCTTCTGCTTTTAATAAACATGGAAAGAGGCACAAACCTCACACATCAAGGAAAGCTTAGCAGAGCAATTCCAACTCTGGTTGGGGAGCAGCATGGCAAAATGGAGTGGCAGAGCTCATGCCAGCCGGAACAGAATGTGGGCGGGACTAGTAATGGCTACCTTTTCTGCTGCAGCAGGACCTTAATTGGGCTCTTCATTGGACCAGCTTAGGATTGAACAAAACTTTGGCCAGCCCAGCTCTGTTCCTTCCACTAAATGTTCCATTTTGGAGCCCTCCATTGGCTGATGTTAGCAGTAGTGACCAGTGGAGACCAGTAGATCCTATATCCCTCCAGAAGCAAAGACCTGGGCTTAGAACTGCAGCTTTCCTTCCACACTCCTATTAGGGCCTTTTAGAACATTTTAAATACTCTGCTCTGTGGTTTGGCACAGTGGCAGCACTACCTTCTACATATTTATATTAATTACTGAATTATATGGGGATTGTTATCATGCAGCTTACCCTCCCTTCCAATTTTGGTTTTATTTTGTTAAAGTAAAGCACATTCACCAACAGCGGGGGAGTTTAATAACCTGTTCTGGGCAGAATATTATTCAGTTTATTTTGAATTGCATGGCTCTCATTAAAACAGCAGCTTATAACAATAGTTTTAAGGATAACATAAACTTAAATTAAGCAGGAGTTTAACACCAAGGATTAATTCTGTATTGCAAAATACTGACAATGAACTTTACATAAAAATACAAATTTAGCTTCATTGTGTCTAAAAGTGTATTGGCACCCAATGTTTTTTCATTATAGAAATTTAGAAAATATACAGCACATTTGCTTTGGAAAATAAACTAGTGTATTGCCAGCTTCTTCAGCGTTGTCTAAAATCCTGCCCCAGAAGCCTCTGTGTTGGCCAGAACCACAAGGGCCAAGATACAGGCCAAGATACATGCTATGCTTATTGTGTAATATGCAGCAATGTTTTTTTTACTTAAATTACAGATGCAGAGGAATGCAGGATTCCTATCATAACACATAGTGAAAGGAGGTTTACTTCTTCTCTTCCCCAGCTTTGATCAGAATAGAAACTGCCCCTCCCATATGGCTATGAGTTTCAATGGGTGGAGAATCCCTTTGGCACCAGCCCCTTGCCATGCAGGAGGAGCAATTCCCATAAGCCTCCTGTCACCATGTGGTACATTTATGTTTGAATTTATGCACTTCATCGTGCCTGTAATTTAATTAACAAAAATCAAAGGTTTTTCACAGTAAGCATAACATGTAGTTGGTCCCAAGATGACATATAGAAGTATTGAAGAGTCTATGATTAAAACATTATGAACAGTGGCTATCTGAAATAAAATTAAAGTATTTTGTTTCATGGGCCAAAACAAGCTCACTTCTCTAATACATTAAACAAAACACTCAGAGCACTGGAATTATTATTATCTTGTGCCAATCCTTAAAAGCGTTGAGCAGTATAGGGTCTGGAAACCCAAACAACTGAAATTCACTTGGATAAAAAATGTCTCTGCCCAGTTCAGTTGTGCAATGGAGGGATAGTATGAAACTTTTGAAAAGCCATTTGTCCCAGAAGTACTGGCCACCCTGTTGAAGAGTTCTACAAGATCCCTGAGCACATTTGTTTCAGACTTTTTAACCCCAACTTCTAAACGGTAGGGCATCTATTATTGATAACAAGATGGATTGTCATTCACAGTTAAGTCAATCATAAGGTGCTTATATACCCCTTTTGTTCCCCAATTTGCACAAAGAACTGTCAGAATTTTTCATTGTGAATGGCAGGGCATGAATGATTACATGATCAATGTTTTTTGGCAGTGGCGTTAGGATTATTATCTGGCTGCCCCTTGACAACAACAAGTGATTCAATCGACATTCCTTAGCAAAAAAAAAAAGAAGAAGGCAAAAAAAAAAATATGTACAACAAATATGTATTTTTTCCCTGAGGGGTCAAGGTTTAAACCCGCAAGTGCTCTATGTACATATTGCACTATAGAGGAGTGAAGTACATGTGCAAAAAAGCAACGATGACTGAAGCTTACTAATATATATATATATATATAAAGAAAAAAATTATTATGCTATGTCCTCACACATTATGGAATGTCGGTAACACAAATAGCTTTCCTGTCATCTAAAACTTAAAAACGAAAAACCACAACCCACATCTCTACTATGGCACATTCAATGAAATAAAATCTTTTCCAAAGACAAGTAGACAAATTCCATCAACAAAAATAATACAAAGTTGGTTTGTTTGTTTTTTCTTTTTCTTTTTCTGAAAAATTACATTGCTTTCTTTCATTGTTTCACATTACAAAATCTTTTTGTTTGTTAATCTTTACACAAATCACATTTTATTGCAGGAATATTTCAAGTGCCATCAAATATTTATAGAAGGGTTAAAAAAATAGAAGTCTCTCTAAGTGGTCCAGACAAGGCTTTATATAGAATATTTTTTCCACCTTCTATTTTTGACTTAAATATCTTCAACACATTTTCTTTATTCTATGGACACTTAATGGCCAGAAGCAACCACACACACACAGTGGTACACACATTCATACCTTGATAGCCATATGATGATGGTGATGGTCTAAAAGCTCCAGAAAAGAACAACTAAACTTAAAACAGTATCTCGCATCATGTCATTTCAAAACAGTAGGAAAATCCTAGAGACGCAAAAGTATATAACCGTAGTCTAAGACTACACATCTTATTTTAGAAATAAATTCTATCTTGAAATATTCCAACTGTACCAGATGTCCAGCAAAATGAGATAGAACATGAAAATCCAAGACAATTTTTAACTTAACGGCTTTCTGGAGTGATTGATTCTAATACCTGTAGCCATTTTATATAACTTCATCAAATTATATAGTACAGTCCCAAAAGATTCCCACACTTTATACATTTGAATTTAGTCTACAGCCTGCAAGTTTTCTAATGGAATATACGGTAGTAGCCCGTCATATTGTGATTTTAGTCCTTATTCTCAGCTTCTTTTCCCCGATAGGTTTTGCCCCTGCTCTGATGCTGGCATCTGCATACTTTCAGCTACAGCTTGAGTTCTTCGGCATGTTAAAAAGGCATCAGCAACAGTTCCCATTTTACCTTTTTTCAAAGCATAATTTGCTGTTAACTGAGATGAAGAAAACATGGGCTAGTTTATGCACCAATTAACGGATTTTGGAAAAAGCTATAAGTGATTACGGTGTGTCTAATGTGTAGACCTAAAGTGCTTGGCTTTCAAGACAGGAGTGAACCTGGTGTCTGCTTTTAGGGATAAGATTGGGAATGATATGGCATTGCCTACAAGTAAGGACCAATTCAATATCTGAATATATTTTGTGTGAGCAGATAAATGTAAAATATTTACTAACAATAACAGAGGCCGTGACTGAGTCAATACGAAATACCAAAATATAACTAACCCTTTTACTGCCAGAAGTGAATACTGTTCATTTTTCATTTGAATCAACTTTATACATTTTGTCTCTAGTAAATGGCAGGCCTTAAACAGGCGCTGGCTGGTAGATACTGGAGTTTTAATTTAGCTGAACTTTAAAACTAAATTAGCATTTGAGGGAGGTCACATTAAAAAAACCCTCATTTGCTAAACAGCCTGGATTTAAGCTTGGACTGCATCTATAAAAAGACCAGAATTAACATTTACTACCAGTTACTCCAATAAAATAAACAAAACTTATGAGGATGGCGAAATTCTGTCCATGTAGCTAGCAGGATTTTCATTCTTTAGAAACAGCTCCCCTGTACTGGGGTAGAGGAAAACTGAATATTGGGATGCTTTCAAAATTCCATTCACTGGATGCAATTAAAGTTTATTGTGATCAGGGGTTTCTCAGGCTTTTCTGGGAATCTATTTGCTATCTCTTGGTATGCATTAGAGGGTTGCTTATAGAAAGGAATGGGTGAGCTTCTATATGTGCAGAACGCCAAGAATATATCTGAGCCAGTCATAGCTCTTCCTGTGTTTGTTGAAACTGTATCATAGATGCCTTCTTACAAAGTACAGTGGTACCTTGGTTTACGAACTTAATCCATTCCGGAAGTCCGTTCTTAAACCAAGGCGCGCTTTCCCTAATGAGGCTTCCCATCACTGGTGCCCTTCCACCGTTCGGATTCCGTTCGTAGACCGAGGTAAAGTTCTCAAACCAAGACACTATTCCGGTTTTGCGGAGTTTGTAAACCAAATCGTTCTTAAACCGGACTGTTCTTAAACCAAGGTACCACTGTATCTGTGGTCACTTGAAAGGGTAAATGGCAAGAGGACTGCATTTGAATTTCCCATTTCTACATTCCCAGCCTAAGTGGCTCAGGAGCATAGAGATCTGCTGCTCTGCTCACAGATGGGAGGTACATACATGAAGGCAGCCATGTGTGTAACCTCTTACATAGAACTGCTGGTATATATTACTAACATGTCTGCATGAGTAGCTCCTGTCTGCAAGCCCAACATGGCCCTAAAATGTTTGTATGTTCACTTTTGTTTGCACATTAGATCCTTTCAGAACTAATTAGGCCTTGATTTCCCTAGATGCTAACAAGCTGCCCTGGGAGTGATAGAGATGAAAGATTCTGCAGCTATAAGTTTGTTTCCTGTCTGACTGAACTGGCTTCACAGTTCTAATGCCTATAGAAAATTTAATCTTACAGTTTGCACTGGGCATGTAGGAACCCTCAAAGATGAGAATTTTCAGCTCTTTATACTACATTGAATGAAGACTTTGGGGCTCAAAACAAAGCGGTCCGACTGCATAGCCCCTCATGCACCTTGCTTAATAGGAATTTTGTATTACCTTTTACATGTGAATTACTACTACACTGTATGCTAGAATGCACGTATACTCCAACAAGTAAATAAAATTTTTCATACCTTGCAAGAGGTCATTTTGAAATAAAAAAAATACTTAAATAATCATAATTTCAAATAAACGGGAAAAAAAATTTTTTTTGAGATTTTCTTTAGGAGCCTGAAAAATCCATGTCTAGACACCTGGATTTGTCTTTTGATGAAAACTTTCAGGCACTGAGACAAGAAGATTACATCAGTCTGTATGCTTTAAATTTAAATCATCAGGATGCTAAAAATTGCTATATTATAAAATTTATTTTACAAAGAGTCATTTGAATAAGTTAGGTGTAGTTTGAAGAACTCCCTTGCTTTACAAGTTATCCTGAGAAGAATCTTTTACTCTTTGATACATTTTCTCAATCAAGGGTGTTGGTGGAATCAGGGTTAGAAGTGTACTTTGGAATAACTGAGTTCTTGACTTGTCAACACATAAAAAATAGCACATTTGCCACCTCTAGCTGAGTAGGATTTAGGATTTGTCACAAAAACACAATGACCTAAGACTTTTTAAGGTTGAATAAAATACTCCAGATGGTATGTAAATAATTCCTAAAATAATGACTCAAATTAGAACTCAGGTTCTAAAATGTTTAGGTTTGTACATAATTGCTACATTTTGAATGAAGCCCCAGTATGCTCCAGAGAAATCAGGTGGAGAGAAGCACTCCCTAGCCCTATGTATGTCCTTTTTATTTTCTCTTCAGTAACAAAACAAGATTTCTCAAAAGGTGTGTGATTCACTTATACTGGAAACCACATTTGAAACAACACTTGGAAAATTCAGTATCACATGTATGCATTGTGGTAGGATGTGGCCTAATTCAAAGTCATGGTTTATGATCCATTTGCTACCAGGAAAGCAAACTGTGCTGAGATTTTTCTGTGTGGAAAGCCATCTGTGTAACATAGCAGCCACGTGGTTGGCATCCATTTTAACTACGCCAGTGAAATGAGGGTTTTTGCTGTTTGTAGTTAAACTGGGCCCAATCAATATGGTGTGCCTTATCGGTGGCAATGGTATTGCCAGTTTAATGTATGTGGGCCTGTTTTATTCCTTGGAAGGTGGGAAAATAAGAGAAGATTGAAAGGGCTATTCCTAAATTAATTTCTTTAGAGTCAGATACTTCATTTCATTTCATAATCCACTATTCACATAACTGGCCATCCTGGACAGCTTATTGAGCATACCTCTGTGGCTAAAAAGTGCAGCACTCAGTTGAAATCAAGCTTTAGGCCTTTTTCTCTAGGTGTGGGGACCCGCTTAAATTACACTGTTTAGTTTATGGAGTAAGTAGCCACATGTAAACCCACTTTTACTAAATAAAATAAACAACAGTGCCACAATCCAGCAAACAGTTATTCAGTCTTAAATATTAAAGAGATTTGGGCACTCTTAACTGTACGCTGGATTTAAGTCAAGGGAGACAATTCACCAGGAAACACTATTACAATTTGGAAATCTCCCATTCATTTCAATCAGGACTACACAAAAGAACTTCGTGATGGATTGTACCCTATCTGTCTCAACAGATGACTAATGGTGCACATGCACTTGCTGGACACACACACACACACACACACACACACACACTTACTCTCACACACACACTCTAAATGTAAACAAAAGTATTAGGACCAATATTTCTAAAAGATATGTATCTAAATTTGGTTTTCTGAATCCATATTTAGTCACCTAAGGAATTGGCTGACTTTAAAATGAGCTAATTTTTCAGTAGCACCTTTAAAGTGATTAAATATAGATTTTCTCTATCCCTATGTCAGCAATCTCTTTAAGAACAGGGATTGTTTTGTTTATATATTAAATTGTCTTTTAAAAACACAAGCTAAAACTCGCAGTTTAGAAACTTGTCTTCCCCCCTCCCCCCCTCGTCCCATTACACAAAATCACTGAAGGTATTTCATGATATGACCGGCCTCTCTTTAAAAGTAAATGTGGAAAACAGCAGCATAAACACCTTGCAGTGTCCCTATACCTTCCAAACCTCCCACAGTTAAACTTGAAGTTCTGGTGCACATGCAGCACAACAATGAACACGCTAGCATATAATTTAAAAGAAAAAGGTGCAAAATGAAAGTGCCTTATCAATTCAACAATAAAAGCTATACCAGTAACTACATTTTATATTAATTAAAACAATATTATAAACAATATCTCTTTTGCTATATATAGACTTCGTGCCCATTTACCCTGTAATAGATTATAATGCTATTGTCACTATTGCTATGGACCCTTTTCATGCCATTCCGCCTACTGGCAATCAACGGTAGGGTGAAAAGAAATCGTCCTTCATGAAACAATGAGCAAGTTGTGCAAACTGATGCTGAAGCCTCTGCAATGCACACCAGTCGCTGGTTTCTAGCTGGAGATTCTGTTCTTACTAACAAAACGTCGTTCTGTGAAAGTCTGTGGGCAGTGAGTTTCAAGGAAAAGGAAACCTCCTGATTTTTTAGTACCCTCATTCTGCATAAACAGAAGTCAAAGACAGAAGTCAAGACAAAAAAAGGGTCCATATCGGTAGGGATCATGGAAATCATTTGTGTGAGAAAAACAAGTTCAACTTTTATGTCATTTCCCCCATTTTTTCTGCCTGACCCCATTCGCCAGAAGATGTGCAGTGTGTTGGCTCCCTAGGTCTATGCCGGACCATATAAAGTGTCTTGGCTTCTATTATCTTTTTTTCCTTTTCTCTTTTAAAGTTTGTACTTCAGACATTCTAGAAGTGCTTAGGTGATACGTTTACCCATCCATTTGCATTGCTGGCTCAAATTCTGAAGTGAACAACTCCTTGTACAATGGAGGAAAATGAAGTCGCACAATGTCCGGGTATATTGCTCTAAACGCCATAAGCTTTTCTGTATGTCGCCCGCACAGTGCTCTTAAAGTAGACACTTTGCATATTAGCTGTAGGGAGAGAAAAGCAAAATGAATTAGATGTACAGGTATGAAAATGCTTTGGGGTCTTTTAATTTTGTTCTTCAAGGTAACAAATCCTAGTTTCCTTGTAAGAATGGGGCTAGAGAATGCCTGTCTAACAGCATCCATCATCATCATCATCATTAACCATAACAACTCCTTCTCTTCCATAACTTAGAAAAGCCACAGGGAAAATAAGGAGAGACTTCGTTGCAACTAAATTCTGCCTTTCAAAGTGTTCCATATGGCTATTTGTTAAGGGTGACTTGTGAAGCCTGTAAAACTAAAGTAGCAACAATTATCCATTTTAAATTGTTCCATTAACATCAGTAACAAATAATACGTACCTTAAGCCTGTATTTTTTGTATGACTTAATATAATTTGTATAATTTAAACATGTATCAACAAAATCTTCCATAACATTTCCACAATCAAAGCATCATACTTGCAGCCTAACTAGTACTTAATTTCTAAAAGGTGAGCTGTTGGAGTTTAGATCCTGCTTGAATGGCATACACTCAGATCTGAAAGCCCTTTGCCTTAATCCCACATGTGTGCATGTGTGAGGGTTGGTGGCTGGCAGGCTGTAGTATTTAGTAGGAAAAGGAATGCACATGATCAAAAGTACCTTACTCCTGTTCCTTTGTTCCACAGCAAAGCTGCTGCATTGCAAACTGGTTCCTAAAATGAAATCAGGTAGCCCTAGCTTAAATTAATCCTTGAGCGCTGATTCAGTAGTTTATGTGGAATGAATACATCAAGCAGAGGCAAACATAATCTATTTTTGTGAAGGTATGTGGCTAATTTTCCACTCTTCAAAAACAAAATCAATTTCACTTGCTCAGCCTGTTATGTCAGTCTTGGAAAATGGTACAAATTTTAAGCAGACCTCACAAAACACATCATAAACTAAACTGCTAATTACATTGAATGTATGTATGTATGTATGTATGGGACGCGGGTGGCGCTGTAGGTTAAACCACAGAGCCTAGGACTTGCCGATCAGAAGGTCGGTGGTTTGAATCCCTGCGACGGGGTGAGCTCCTGTTGCTCGGTCCCTGCTCCTGCCAACCTAGCAGTTCGAAAGCACTTCAAAGTGCAAGTAGATAAATAGGTACCGCTCTGGCGGGAAGCCGTGCGCTGCTCTGGTTTGCCAGACGCGGCTTAGTCATGCTGGCCACATGACCCGGAAGCTGTACACCGGCTCCCTTGGCCAGTAAAGTGAGATGAGCGCCACAACCCCAGAGTTGGCTACGACTGGATCTAATGGTCAGGGGTCCCTTACCTTTACCTTTTATGTATGTATGTCTGTATGTATGTCTGTATGTATGTCTGTATGTATGTCTGTATTTCCATTTATAATCAGCCCTTCACAGTATCTCAGGGCAGATTACAACAGAGGTCAAAATAACAATTTATTCCAAATAAAACAATCTTCTAAAGTTATAATTTAAAACAACCACCCAAGTAACAAAGCACTGCAGAGAAGGGAAGATCATTTGGTGTTCATCCTCAGCACCAAAGGCCTGGGGGGGGGGGGAGTTGTGTCTTGATCTGCTCCTGGAAAGGACATAATGGTGGGACCAAGCACACATTGGAGGGGAATGTTTTCCATGTCACACCACAGAGAAAGCCCTGCTCTCACATGCCACCACCTCTTTGAGTTTCACAGGGTGGAGGCACCATCAGCAGGGTCTAATTAATATTCACCAGAAAAAGGCGTGTTGCACACAACACAGTAAGCCAAAGCCTTGCTTACTGGAACTGTGTAAATGCATGGGGTCCTGAAGAGGAACTTGCAGCTGGCTGGCTTCTCCTTGGTTACAGCTTACGGTCAGTGAAGACAGAGCTTAATCACAAGTCCCAATTCAGATGACACTCTTAAGTGGCAGTAAAAAAAGACCAGGGAGGACACTTACTCTGTCGTGCAAACCAGGCCATTGTCAGACTCTGTAGTTCTTACCTTTGTTAAGATTCCATCTTCTCGGTGATTCTTCTGTAATACATGTTGAAGTGCTAACTGAATCTTCTGTTGGAGCTTTTCTATTTTTACTTTCTCCTGAAGCCATGATCGGTCTAAAATGAAAATTACTCGTGTTGAAATCTTACAAATAAAAACATACAATATGATTAAATCTAGTATTCAAAATGTTTTTGAAACTACCTTCCACAAACTGCTTTCTACAATTATTTCTTCTCAATGCACGACTACATAAAATTGTGCAACGTTTAACAACACCCAAAAGGGATACACCTGCAATTCTGCACACTGGTAGGCATATTTCCTTTCTCTTTACTTCAGTCCCATGTGTTCCATGTGTACAAAATGAATGGGACTCTACCATACCAGAGCATACGCTTGTGTATAGTGGGGTTTCCTACAATACAGTAAAATCAAGTCATGGTGACATGAAAAAGTGATGTATTGTCAAGTAGAGAGTTGTCAAGTGATATATATGCATGTGTGAATCAGCCCATAAAGTCATGTTTTCTGGTGCTTCTCCTAAGCAACTAGCTATACATTCCATACTAAGCATTTGTTCTTTAGCACAGCAAATCCTATAGTTGTCCTAGTGTTCACACACCATTCTTAAATAGTCGCTCTTGGCTATGTGCATAATCTTTAGGATTGTGAATCAATTATAAGATTTGGGTTGGATTCGAATTTGGCTCTTTCGAAAGCAACCCACTTTGGTTTGAAGTGCTTCAGAGGCTCCCAGGAGAGTGGCAGTGAGGAAGGAAACTTTGTCCTTTCCAAAGCAAATCTGCCTTGGAAAAAACAAAGCTCTGTTCCACTTCACCACCTTCACTATTATGGAGAATAAAAAAATGGCAAATAACTTTTCCCTTTAAATAGAAGTGGTTGGCATTTCAGGCATAGTAGCCCCTCCAGAGTTTATAAAGCTTGCCAAATTACAGGCAAACAAGTCCAGGTGTTTTTGTGCTAAGCACATTTAAAGTTTGATTTTTTATTTTATTTTAAGGAACATTCTATAACTTTTTAATCAGCATTGTATAGCATCTGCAAGCATGGTAGGCCATTATGTGGCGACAAAACCTGCCAAATTAAGGGAAAACCTTTCCAGTTTGGAGTGTAGTGGATAAAAGAAAAGGATCTTAAGTGTTCTGGGGGGCATTGGTCTAAAAATTGCAGAAATGAGAGGCTGAAAGTTACAAAAATGAAGTGCAAAGCTAATTTGATATGTGGATGTAGGCAGAAATACTTGAACGTCCAGCATTTCCCAAGTAGGTCCCACTAGCAGAACCAACCCTTCCTCAAAGCACCATGAGTAGTAAAATCGTTTCTTCCATGGTAAAATAATTGCCTCTGCACTGTTGTCACTTTCCTGTAACATGGAAGTCACTTTCACTATCACAGGGATTGTTTCTATAGAGTAGTTAAACGGTTTTCAGTACCAGACCTTACAGAACTGACTGCTGAAAGCAGCCAATTATATTTCTATTCTGCTCCTTCCAACAGTTATCTAAGTATAGGATTGGACGATAAACAAGTGCAGAAGATATTTCTTTCTTGTGGAGTATAAAGTGATTGTTAAACAAATCTAATAAAATCAAATTAAACTTTTTAATGCAAAAAGTAGTGGATCCCGCTGCTGCCTACCAAATACAGTGGATCAAAACTATGTGTACCCTCTATAGTCACCACCACAGGTTATGTTTTAAATTTAGTGTGAAGGAAATCTTCGATACAGCTTAGTTTATGAACAACTTGGATTAAGAATGCTGCAAACCCGGAAGTAGGTGTTTTGGTTTGTGAACTTTGCCTTGGAATAACAACATGTTTTGCTTCCTGTTGAGTATGTTTCATTTGTAAAGGGAGTCCCCCGCTGCTATGGGAAAGCACGCTTTGGTTTAAGAATGCTTTGGTTTAAGAACGGACTTCCGGAACAGATTAAGTTCGTAAACCAGGGTATCACTGCACTTGGTGACTCAGGCAAAAGCTGAACATATAAGAAAGATTTATTATATAGAACAAAGTGGATAAAACAAAGGATGTATCAGAAGATAATGTTCTTTCAGGAAACAGTCAACCTATTAATAATGATACTGAATCTAATGGATGCTACAGGCATCTAATCAAGCACAACTTCTTTTAAACCTCAGTTGCTTATGTTCAGTTATTACGCTTCAGTTAGATGTTACAGGTTTCTAGACTAGTTATTTTGAGTTATTTCACTTCATTTCCTTAATTTTGTTCCAGCATAGGTGTTACAGCTGAATACTTTGCTTCTTAAATAAGATGGTGTCAGCTACCCAACCTTTTAACAATCACACTCCTGAGGTACTTCAAATAATATAACAGACCCCCGAGCTCAACCACACTGCTCTTTAGGGGTTTGGGAGTCTTCTCTTTCTAGACGTCTCCCCTCCTGCCTAGAATGAGACCTAAGTAGACCTCACAGCTCCTACTTCTCCTGCTGAAGTTCAGCCCCCAAGTTAACTCCTGGCCTCATAAGATGCTAAATTCTGTTGTTCACACTAAGCTCAGAGACTCCTTTCTCTAGCTGTAGATACTTTCATCAGAGTGGATGTTTCTACTCAGAACCAACTCCCTCTCCTCACTCCAACTCTCTTCCTTAAACCATCCCACCCCCTCAAACGAAACCCTATCTCTATCCATATTTAACTATCTCCCTCAGAAGCGGCTCCTTTTATTCTATCTCCCAAGGTGCTGGCTCCACCCCCCCCCCTGTGGATAGATGTCTGTAGCCAATCAGAGAGAGGCTCCAGCCCGGGGGGGGGGGGGATTCAGAGGGACTGCATCCCCACACTCTGGTCTGGCTCTGCTGTCCGTCACACAGGACTAGAGAATGCTTTTAGATACTTAATGCCTTACCTGCAGAGAGTAAAACAAAAGCTGAAAATAATGCAATCTCATCTTCAGTAAGGTGCATAGAACATAAGCTCTTTCCAAATTCAAAAACAAAACTAATGAAATCTTCACACCCTGCCAAAGGGGAAAAAACAAGCAGCAAATTACACAGGGCCTCTTTCAAAAATATAAAACAATACTTTTCTTTTTTAAAAAAGAACAGCGATTATATGGAGAATAACTTGCCAGAGCATTTATTCACATTAGAGTGGACTGTTAGTTTTACCATGACAATATCTATGGGTCTGCTTTCCATCACCGTAATTCACACAATGAGGCAGCAACGGCATGTCCACGCTAAATCTCATGTCATCTACATGTGTTGGATGTGCAGTCTGATTTAAGTAGCCTCACAGTCATGACACAGCCCTGGGCCCTCTGAACGTACATATAAGAACATAAGAAGAGCCTGGTGTATGATGTCAGTGGGCAGCATCCTGTTCTCACAGTGGCCACACAGATGCCTCAAGCAGGACCAGAACACATGAGCCCTCTCCCTCTCCCCCACTGCAGTTTCCAGCAACAGGCATTCAGAGGCATTACTGCCTCAGACCGTGGGATTGCTGCCTCTAGGCATGGAGTAATATTAAAACAGTTGAGCAGGACAGATGATAATCCTGTTACTTCTTTGCACATTGAGTACATGCATTTTAAAGTGGGTACAAGGCTTGTGTGTTCAAATTGACTAAAGTATCTGAATCAATGAGATGTCTTAATTATATGAAAACTAGCCATTTTCCAATTGTGTCTAATAAGCAGTTCCAATATTTCAAAGGCCAGCATAGTTTTGCACCAAAAGAGCACAGAAACTACTTTGTGTATTTCTTGGTCTTAAAACTCACAGAAGGGCTCCTCACAGTCTCCATTATTCTCCATAAAAAACCACAACACTTGGTGTCACAAGCAGGACTGAAATCTTGGTTAATCAGCCCAATATGAAACTTCCAGAATTCATTAATGAAAAAGAAAAAGAAAAAGTACCTTATGGCACTAAAGAGAATTAACGTAAGCAGTGCCTTCAGCTCCCTTCCCCATGTTCTACACTGTTATATCCAAGTGTCATTGAATCTCAGTGTTAATTAGTTAATAATTCCAGGCAGTTCTTCACTGCTGTACTGTCAACATCCACTTGCTGTTACTTCCAGATATATTTAAGCTCATTATATAAATTTCCAAATGCTTCCCAGCATGAACACAAAACTGAGTAATTATTAGATTACAACAATAACAGGGCTTCACTTTGGGAATCTTTTAAATACAAAGGTAGGGCTTGTGTCTGACGTGGAAGCCCCATACAGGCATGTGAGAACTTAACAACAAGGAACTTATTATAGGAACTCAGTTGCAATCAAATCTGATATTTTTTTCTGTTAAGGAAACTATATATAATTTTTGATTAATGGTAGAAAAATAATTGGAATTATCTCTTTGGAGGATATAGCTCTTGGTATAATAATAATGGAGCAAACATTTATTGTGCTCTTATTTTGCAGCTTGCACTATAGAGTCCAGATGACATGTTTTCTAGAATGCCTAGTGAGCTTCCCACTTTGAACTCCAAAGTGTTGAGTAATAATTAACAAGCTGTAATAAAAAAGTATAAATGGGTCTAGGCTACCCTTAGTTTTTAATCTTTTGAAAGGACAAAAAGTACATTATTAAAAAATACAGAAGGTGTAACTTATTTAAATCACCAAAATATCCTTAATGAAAAATCTGTTAAGTGATTTGCACACAATCCATTTATTATAAGAAATTAATTTAACCAAATAGTTATTTTTAAAAGTATGTTTTCTAATTAATTACTTCATTTCCTTACCTAATGACTTGAATACATCGGGGCTAGCATATTTGCCATCGAAGTACACTGTGTTGTTCTGGGAGTCAAAGGCACGGCACATTCTGATAAATACAACCTCTAAAGACCCTATAACCAAAGAAGAAACAATTTTACAATTGAGACTAAGAAACACAGTGGCTCACAAACAACTGTTCTTATTCCATGTCTTTCTTAAATAAACAATAGACTGTACATCTTCTTAAAATATATTTCTAGCTCACAAATGAGGTTTATGTGCCCTCAGAAAACAGAAAATAAATTATATCTGTTAAGCCAATTTTATGACTTTGAATATACAAAGGTGGTAATAGAGGAATATGGCTCACACACTGAGCCAATTCAAAAGTAACAATAAACCATAATTTAGCATTATAAGGATAAACTGCAGTGAGTCTTATGCTTGTGTATCTTCAGTGCTGCCCCAAGAAAGAGTTTGGAAGCCTTTTGCTTCCATGAAAGATTAACCACAGCTTGTCATGTCATCCAAACAATAAATTGTGGCTAATTTTTACTGTGTTTTGTTGACACAAGCCAGCTTCAAAGCATGGTTTTAGAAGATGACTTGTTTCAACAAACCGTCATTAAGTTTAATCACAGCTCTGGGCTTTGGTGTAATGCTGAACTGTGGCAAATCTAAAAGGGAAGCAGAGGCTTCCACTCTCATGGCTGCACTAGACATGGAGCGGGGCGTGTACGACCTCAAGGCTTGTGTGTATGACCTCATAAGTGTAAAACATTACAGGGCCAGTATTAGGTAATGAAAGCTTTGAGAAAGCCCTTGTCCTGGCAGAAATATTTGAGTGGCTGACGCAAATAAACATTCATTCATTCAAGCTCATGTTTGAACCTCGAATCTTTATTTTAAAAAGAAAATATTTCAGAAACAGAAAAACAGGAGAGGCACTGGAAACCCAAAAATAAGAGTCAAAGCCTCAAAATGATGTTTGTTCTAAGTACAAAATATGTTGGAAAATATGGAATTTCTAACCCATTTCAACATATTGTCTTCAAGACAAAAAAAAAGTTCCACTTATTGTGCAGTCTGTTCAGAGAAGTCACATTTTAAGGTCCCCCCCCCTTTTTTGCTTCAATTTTCTGCACAAACCAGGTTTCTTTTAGTTGCGCCCCTCTAGAAAACTGGGTTCTTGTTTCTGTTTAATGCCTGGGTTATCTTAAAAAATATTTATTTATTTAACAAAAAATTTATACTGTTAAGCGATTTACAAGAAATATCACAATTAACAATAAAAAAAACTGTTAGAACAATTTAAAACATTTACAAATTACAGTATTTTTCACCCTATAGGGCGCACCGGCCCATAGGGCTCACCTAGGTTTTTTGGGGGGGGGGAATAAAGAAAAAAAAAATATTTTCCCCCCAGCTGCTGCACTCCCCGGGCTTCGGGCTGCAGGCAGCTATCCGCAAGCCTTCGGAGCCCGCAGGAGTTCCCGCCGGGCTCCCCAGGCTTGCGGAGAGCTTCCTGAAGCCTGGAGCACCGACCCCTCTCGCTCTCCAGGCTTCAGTGAAAGCCTGCATTCGCTCTATAGGACGCACACACATTTCCCCTTCATTTTTGGAGGGGAAAAAGTGCATCCTATAGGGCGAAAAATACGGTAATTAAAATTAACAGTAAAAGATATTAAAACAAAGTAACATATATGTGTCTGAATAGTTTGGCCTTAAAAATGTTTTTAAACATGTGCCAAAAAGAGTACATCAAATGCGCCTGCCTAATGTCAACATCAACACCAACAACACTTTAGCGGTATTAGTTCTCTTAGAGTGATTCTGGAATTAACTTTATTAATGAAAGAAATGTGAAGGCACATGCCTTATGTTCAAGCAACAAGCTATTCCTCTGACATCTTCTACATTGCCCAACATTGGCCCATGATTGCCCAGGACTGAACTGTACAACTTGTTGACAGTATGATTATGTAATGAACGAAGCATTAAACATGTTTAGGTGAGCCACAGTTTTGTGAAATACACTTTTTATAATGGAATTACAATGTTAAGTAATAAAATGTGCACTTGACATTTATTTTAAAGGGTTCAGTTTTGCCCCCCAACCCACATACCTGCTTTTAAAAGCACAATTTGATCATTTTGACACAGTTCCATAAAGCCATCAATGCGTTTGGCAAACTCCACCACGTACTGTATTGCTTCTGTTATTTTCACGGCACACAATTGCCACATTACCTCCCTCTGCTGTTAAAGACAAAAAAGAGTGCTATTTCCAGACTTGCTAAACCTTCTTAAGGGAATAAGTTTTGTTTTTTTAAAGCAAAGCATTAATCATTAATCTGTACAACTGATTGCCTTGTGATTTGCCTTGTGATTGCCTTGTGATTTGCATGTCAGGCTGTGTTCCCATTTTGTATTTCAATTTGTGATACGTGTGGTATGGCAATTCAAGGGGCTTATGGCAGTTTTATGCCTGCCTACAGTTTTTCTAATGCTATACTAGACTATAGATATTAAAGGCGAGAGCTACAGAGAAATAATAACAATGACTAGTTTACATAAAATTTACAATTTATGTTTTAGTTTACAAATAGGCTCTAAGAATGACATTTTAATAGTAAAACATATCTTGGATGCTTGGGTAAAACTCTTGTTCATTTCAGTGAGAGTTCTGTGTAGAATTCTACAAAATGTAGAACACAGAAGCAAAATCCACACTCTGCTCAGCTTCTTATTTAAACATCAGAAGTTGTAAGTGGAATATGTTTTACAGGCGTTCCCCCCCCCCACTTACGCGCAATCAACTCATGTGCAACTGAGTATTTGCTTAGCACCAGGAACTAATTAAATAATTCAATTCAAACCCGGAAATGGCAGGAGATAATTGGAGCGTCTTCGTGGCTTGCGAAGAGACCCTCCCCAAAGCCTGAATACACTGGAGCCACAGCTGGGCTTGGTTAGGCTGCTCAGCCTCCCTGCCTAGGAGCCGATGTGCAGCGTTGCGCAGCAGCAGACACATTCCCACACACCCTCCTGCTGGCCCCAGTGCTTCAGTTCTAGCTGTGAATATTTTTGGAATCCGTATGTTTGGTATGGATTGCAGAAAGGGCATTTAGAGTATTTAGAGGGTGCTCCCCACTCCACGCAATTTCACTTATGCACACAGGAGCCCAGAATGTAACCACCACATAAGTGGGGGGATGCCTGCAGATTTATTGCAACTCATGAATCATTAGCATATCTCATGTGTGATTAGTGTTTTGAGATAAAATATTCCTTAATCCCACTGAACAATGTTTCTTTTGCCAATAACTATCGGTTGTCTCTAAAATTACATTTTGGGAATGTGCTCTAGTGATATCTGATGCAAAATATTTTTTACTCCCCCATTTGAGGTGTAATAGATCTAAGGCATGACGGATCTTGTGATATTGCATTATTTATGCAAATATACAAAGCATTCAAAATTAGAAATAAACTCTATATGGGTTTGAACCTTCAACAGAACTTAAATAGCAATGCTAACCATATGACGTTTTACAAGGATGTGAAACTGAATACTGCTTTCCTCTTTCCAAATTTGTCAGCGCATTCTCTTCTGCTACCATAATCATATAACATTATTATATAGGCTTCAGATCCATTTGCCCAGTGCTCCAAAGTATAGCTGTAAACGAAGGCAAAGGACCAAACCACGCAGGTGCATATTTGCTAAACAGGCACTCACCATGTTGGCCATAAAGCAGAATGGGGGAGTTTGCTTTGATCACTAAATGGAATGTGGGGTGGTAAGAAGAAGGAAAGTCCATTTAGTGATAAACGTAGACACCCCCCAGCCCCACTTTACAGTCAAACTGGCAGCAAGAGGTTGGCAAACACGTTTACATCTGACATGGCCCAAGAGAATGTATTCCATCCACAAGAAGAATCACAACCTCTAGAGGCGAGCATGAGGAAAAATAAATATACATATCAGACTGATAGCATTTTCTCTAGGGCAGCAAATCAATACTTTGTAAGAAAATTATTACTACAGTAAGTTTTCAACTTACTCAGGGGCTACCCAGGTCAAAGCTAGCTAGTCTGTCATTCTGTGTTCGCAGGGACCAATCAGATACCCATGGGAAGACCACAAAGATGACGTGGGACCAATAGCTCTTTTCCACTGGTGCCACCCAGCATTTGGTACTCAGAGATTTACAGACTCTGATCCCGGAGGCAGCTCACAGACATAGTGATTAGTATCTGTTAATAGCCACACCCTCCATGAATTTCTTTAAACCCGCTTTGAAACTGTCCAGGCCATCACTATATCCTGTGGTAGCGAACTCCACAGTTTAACTATGCATTATGCAAATAAGCACTTCCTTCTGTCCTGAATCTCCCCATGTTGTTGCTGAAAGGAGGTGTATACACTTTGAAAATAAAACACACCTTCACTTATCCATGATTTAGCCAGAAATAGTTATAAAAATGATGCTCATTTCTAAAGTGCTTTCATATGCCTATGAAAGAGATGAAATAAACGCAGAATTGCAAAGTCCTTTGAAGGTATAAAAAGTAAAGGGGCCCCTGACCATTAGGTCCAGTCGTGGCCGACTCTGGGGTTGTGACGCTCATCTCACTCTATAGGCCGAGGGAGCCGGCGTCCAGCTTCCGGGTCACGTGGCCAGCATGACTAAGCCACTTCTGGCAAACCAGAGCAGCGCACATAAACGCCGTTTACCTTCCCACCAGAGCGGTACCTATTTATCTACTTGCACTTTGACATGCTTTTGAACTGCTAGGTTGGCAGGAGCAGGGACCAAACAACAGGAGCACACCCCGTCGCGGGGATTCGAACCGCCGACCTTCTGATCGGCAAGTCCTAGGCTCTGTGGTTTAACCCACAGCGCCACCCGGGTCCCTCACCAGACCCTTTATTGAGGACAATGGTTAACATATAGCTTCAAACCAGCATAAGCATTCTGTGAGAACTTTTTGCCCACCTTCAGATACTTTGGGAGGTGGAACAACTTCAAAATCTACCCAGAGTTGAGGTTAAAGGACAGCAGCATTGTGGAGATATTTGGGGAGTTGATGTTTGTGACCAAAAGGGGTACATTTACATGTAATGTCGAATCATGTTTGGGCATTATGTAAATGAGTGTGGAGGAGGCTCATGTATAGCAGTTAGTAACTTCTGATCCTTGTCTGCCTATTCGGATGAAATAAGGATTGGAAATTGCTAATGGCTGCATGAAAGAGGAGCTGGCTGCATGTGAGTTAGAGGCTTCTCCACACTTATTCACGTGATACCAAACTGTGGCACCTGAATAAACTCTTACAGCTTCACACCAGCTCAGGTAATACTTTTGTGGACTATAGATGCTATCTCCTGTTATTGATCTCTTGCTGCGGTGGGTAGAGGAAGTGTACAAATAGGCCCTTTCTTTCAATGCTGGTTATCCTGAGGCTCAGACAACATGTGGTGTTGCATGAATCTTTTAAGAACCCAAAAAACTAAACAGTAACCACTAGGGGGGGTATGTTGGAAATAGGCAGTACAACTCACTACACACACACACACACACACACACACACACACACAAACACAAAAATCATTTAAAACTGATTCGCAGATTGCACAAAATGCTGTAGTCCAAGAAGTGTTTCAGAATGGGCAATTTAAAAAGCGCTGTGTGCTATTTTAGCATATTTACCAAGATAAATACCTTGCTCTGGTAGTTCTCAATTTCTTCCTGTAGAAAAGTTTGCCATGTTATTTGCTGCAACTCCTCCCTCAAGTACTGGCAAGTTTCCATGTGTGATTTGGAAATGTTCTGTGCGAGATGTTCTAAAACAGAATGAGCAAGAAGTGGCATGCATTTAAAAAAAAGGCCATCCTCGACTTTCATTGTACATGTTCTGTCTAGCCAATCATTAAATTATAGATGTTTTCAACACTAAATTTGTACAGTGTTGAAATGGGATTCTAACACCCATTTCCATTTCCTTTTATTTCCATTTTTTTAAAATTATCACTGATTCTCATCCCTGTAGGTGAGTGGTTACTAGGTTTGATCTGGATTCTCAGGAGATTATATTGGCTAAGTCAGTCTCTCAGCCTCAACAAATGAACACAGAAAGCTGCCTTATTCAAGAGTCAGATGATTGGTTTATCTAACCCAGTACTGGCAGTTCTGCCTTGGGGTGGTTCCAACTAAGTGTTCAGAATGGAATTTCCATGCTTTGTTTACTCGATGTTTTAAGGGCGTACACATGATGCTATCATTCAATCATCATCCTGTATTTTCCCTATTTTTTTCCTGTTTTTTCTCAAACTGCAGAAAGTCTGCCTTTTTAAAAAGCGAACTGGAAGAAGCAGAAGCTCCACAGGTAAAGATACTTTCTAGCACCACACTCCCAACCTTTTTATATGGGCATTTATATGGGCAATGACTTTATGGGGAAATGAACAAATTAATCATAACATTTGCGGTGGATGACATATTTTTAAACCTTTGTTCTTTTAAAAAATATTTTGGTTACCACTCAAAAGCTTCTCCATCTCTATTTTCTGAAAATGAAAGAAATGTGTAGTGCTTTAGCACCTTCTCTTTCATAAAAAAGCTGGGAAATTGTTTAGTTGTTTTTTTTAAGGCTCATAAAATGGCACCCACCACACAGGTTATAGTGAATGTATGCTGAGCTGCAGGTGACGCTTTTCACAGCCGCAATATTCTCTCCACTTGAGTGGCCAGAACATAATGTGATGCACAATACTCCCAATAGTGTGGAAAGTCAGCTGCGATTCTGCTCATAGCTTACAATGGAAAAACAATGAATGGGCAGCACTTTGGGCCATTTGTCTAAAAGCAGCCCCTCCAAGGTCTCAGTATTCCCCCCCCCCAACACCAGCTACTAGAAACTCTTTTAACTTGAAATTCCAAGGCAAAACTTACAGTATTAGAAACTATGTGTTCTACTATACGTTTTGAGTAATGGTCCCTGCTCAGCTCAAAAGGTATGTGGTATTAACAGCACTTCACTCAAAGGGTTATTGTGATACTTTAAATATTTTCACACCTATCTGCTATTATCTCATTCAATTTTTCTTTGGAAGTCATTCTATGCAGCCGAAACACCAAAGAGTCTTGTGGCACCTTGAAGAGGTGGGTTCATGTATGATATGAAATGTAAAACGTAGGTTTGAATTCTGATTTCTAACTGGAGTCAGCTATTTTTTTTTGCCTATATATATATGTATGTATGTATATATATATAGCATCCAGATGTCTGGGCCAATTAGCCAACCTGATCAGGGATGATGAGAGTTGTTCATAACATGGAGCTGGGAAAGGCACTTTTATATCAACTGTTTCTGGGTAAATAAAAAAGCTTTTTGACACATTACTAAATATTTAATGAAACGAGGGCACAAACCTCTATAATTATCATTGCAACAAGTCAATGTTTGTTTACTGAAGAAAGTCCTCACAGTTTTCTACACATGCTAGACATGAACAAGTGCACTTTTGAGGAAAGCACTCATTAATAAAGATCTGTGAACATACAGTGATCTATCATTTCTTGAAGATAAAATCCATCTGTGTAATATGGATGGATAGGAATTCACAGTGCTTTCAGTTTTTCTAGACTGGGCTTTTAGTAATTTTCAAAAGTTTTTTTCCTATATTTCAAAAATGACATGGAAGTATAGGCTAACGAAGAACATGTACTATATTTCCTTGAATGTAATGCACACCTTTTTTGGCCAAATTACGTTGTGAAAATTAGGGTTGCGAAAATTAGGGTGCCCATTATATTTGATGGCGTATTTACATTTGCCAGCAAATACTTTTTAGTTTCAAGGTTTTGAAAATTGAGGTGCATATTAGATTTGCCGGGGCATTAGATTCACGTAAATAAGGTACTTCCATATAAGGTCTCTCTTGCCCACTAACTGTTTCTTTTATTTTCATCCCAGAATATGAGAAATAAGATTTCATTTTAGTGTAGAATAGGAGAGTGCTACTGCTACTTTGATACCAAAAAAGAAAAGCACAAAAGAGGGATGGGTTGGTAAACTCTCCACTGCTCGTCATGCACAAGTTGTTCTTAAGGCTCTTTTCACACATGACAGATCCTTTTCACAACTCCCGACAAAGTGGACTTCCTTTAGATGTTACTTTGAGAGAGAACCACATCTAACTCGTCCTCAGCACGTACTAGATAACTGACACCACAAATGGAGAAAACACAGTTTTGAGTTACCCAGATTTACCCTGGTGAGTTGCCAGTTCTGGAGCTCTTAAGGGTAGCAGACAGACAGATCTAAACTTCTGGAGTGCAATTCTTTCCAAAGTTTTTATGTGCAAGCCCAAGTAAATGAATAGGAGCTGTGCAGGAGTACAACAGTAAGTTACGTCTCATTTTAGTAGGAGAAATATTTAGATTTTTCACATCAGACACCAAATAGTCTTGGGCTGATGCTTGTTTCTGCTACCAGCGTTTTACATTTCATTGCCATTTAACTTTTTTTTTTCTGCTTTACACTCTTGGCAGGTATATGCCACCTGAATATCACAGTTCATGCATCTGATAAAACGGACTTCAGTCCATGAAAGCATGTGCTGCAAAGAATTTATTATTCTTTAATGTGTCAAAACACTCTTTGTTACTTGGTAAGTTAGCCCTCATTATAAAATTATTACTTCCCAATTAAACATGTGCTTTACATCATTGTTCAGCTATATACTGAGGCTGGCTATTTATTAACTAAATTAATGAATAAATACTGTATGCTCTGGTCACCTATGGGGAGGAAATCATTATACTGTAATCAAGCGCAAAATTCATGTAACTTACCATTGTTTAGTCTTGCAGATAAACAATATACCAGCCTTGCTAAATTACACAAACTTTGTAATGGGTGTCTGTGATCCAGACCCAGATCCAGCATAGTATAGAACAGTCTTTCTCAACCGTGGATCCCGAGAGGTTCCTGAATTACAACACCTAGCATCCCTGATCACTGTCCATGCTGGCTACGAATGATGGGAGTTGCAGTCCAACAACATCTAGGGACCCCAGGTTGAAAAGGGCTAGAATAGCAGTTGGACTGTTGAACAAGGATAAGAGAGGCCAGGATTAAAATCTCCGCTCCAGCCATTAGGTTCACTGGATATACTTGGGCCGGGCACTCTCAGTCTAGCCTACCTCACAGGGTGGTTGCCAAGGATAAATGAGACAGTCCTTGAAGGAAAGGCAGAATAGGAATGGAAATAATAAATACAATAAAAAAAAACTTGTTAATCATCTCAGGTGACTGACTAACAGCAAGTCTGGTTTATTGGAATTCAGACCTAGACCAAGATTATGGACTTGATGAGCCCCATCAGTGCTGCCTTAGTCAAGGGGCAATGCACTTCCAGAAAGAGCAGCCCTCACAGCTACAGCCATACACAAAACACAAAAGGTGACATGTAGTTTCAGTGATGAAAAGCCACAGAGTCATTGTTCTTAATCCAAAGGATAGCTACTACAGCAACTACATGGAAATTTCCCCCTCTTTTGTTATTACCTAATTCTGCCATGGACACAGTAGGAGAAGTCTCTCCATTTGTAAAAGAGCAATAAGGAAAGAAGCCCGATGCAGGTGTGTAGTCGCATATCGGTTCTGGTTTGATTCCATTAATATCAAGCCCCGACTGATCTGGAGAAGGCTGTATGTCTAAGTAGAAGCTGCTAACGGCAGAGTCTGCTTTGCTACCTTCAGGGGTATGCCCATCAATGTAATTACTGAGGTCATCATGCAGTTCTGTGAGCCCATTGGTAGTGATATTGTATGTTGGCGTCAATGGCTCTGCCTCGCCGGGTTGCTGTTGGTGATCTCGCTGTTGTTGCTGCATCCGGTGTTTCTGCACTTCTGCATACAAGCTGTCCCTCTGCTTTTTTGACATTCGACCAAACTTTACAGCTGAAATATATCCATAAGCAATATGTTTTATCACCACCAGCTGCAGCAGTAAAATGCTATGTTAGGACACATCATATGTAAGTCTTGGGTAGCTACTAAGCAGTTCACAACATCACTACAACACACTTTTGCTTGATCCTACAGGTGAAGTCATATATTAGAAGGTGAGAAGTTAGGTATTATCCTATTGGGTCAGCCTCTTGAATAGGTAAGTCATGTGTAATATACCGTATTTTTTGCTCTATAAGACTCACTTTTTCCCTCCTAAAAAGTAAGGGGAAATGTGTGTGCGTCTTATGGAGCGAATGCAGGCTGCACAGCTATCCCAGAAGCCAGAACAGCAAGAGGGATTGCTGCTTTCATTGCGCAGCAATCCCTCTTGCTGTTCTGGCTTCTGAGAATCAGAATATTTTTTTTCTTGTTTTCCTCCTCCAAAAACTAGGTACATCTTGTGGTCTGGTGCGTCTTATAGAGCAAAAAATACGGTACTTAGGGCATGTATGAGCAATAGAAGAATTTAAGGAGATGTCTTTTAGGCAAACAGTCATCAGAAGGGCAATTTTAATAAGAAAAATAATGAACATGATTAGATTTCAATCATAGGGGCAAATATATTTAATTTGCATAATAGTCTGTTCCATATTTGGGCTTCCTTGGTGCAAAATGCAGAGTTTCTTTTACTTAAGAGAAGTTATAACTTTGATGTTGGCCTGTCATCCAAGAGAGGAGTATTTAACCCTTCCTATGGTGACACTGACATCTCTTAGCAGCAGGATTTCATAGTCTCTGTACCAGTAATGGGGGAGGAAGAAGGTGGAGGGAATATAAAGATTGGTTGGAGGAAGAAAAATACAGGACACCCATAATGTTGTATGAATGGAATAAGGAATGTGAAAGAAAATTAAAGTAGAGCTGGCCTAGTGACACCAAAGGCAGGCATTTACTCTGTGTGTAGTGTGACTGTGTAAGCAGCAGAAAACAAAACCCTGGAAGCCACCAGCTGCATCAGTCCAAAGTAAATTCAGTGACTTATGAGGCACAGTATATTTCAAGACAAATATTTTAAGAATGGGATGAGCAAGCAGAAAGCTAAGGAGTGTCGCACATACAAGACAGCTGACCTGAACTAGTAAAGCTCACCATCTCGAGACATCCCCACAGCAAGGCATTTCTGTAAACGACAGTGTTGGCAACGATTTCTACTGGTTCGATCAATTAGACAGTTCTTCTGTCGGGGACAGGAATAGGTGGCGTTACTTTGCTGACTCCTCCTGAAAAAGCCCTGTAGCACAATGACAAAATGCAAGAGGAAGATTTATCGATGGCTGAATCCAAAGTGGTCGCACACGACACTTGCATTGAAAGGACACCTTGCTTCAGCTATATTCTTATCGAGAAAATACTACCATAATCAAGAGTATATTTTTCATTCCATTTTGTTACAAAATATAAAATACTTCACAATGTATGATTATATATTTGAATAAGTTCAGTAATAAAAATTATTTCAAATACATTTTATATATAAATATGTAGGAATAATATTAGAAAATGTTAGCGCATTTCAGCTGTATCCAAATGAGGGCTGGAGAACCCATATCTTTTCTCAACTGGATGTCTCCAAGTACTTGATGAGAAATCCCAGTTTTTAAGAGATGAACGTGATTTAAAGAGGCACTGTTTCCCATTGTATACACACAATTGCCCCAAAATGATTCTGTAGGACTTTGAAACTATACAAACAGCAGCAACCTAAAAGAGGCAAAGCAGAGATAAGCTTACAGACACCACTGCTTCTTCCTCTTCCCTGTCATGCTGCTGTTAGCAAAGTCACTTAAAATAATGCAGATGGAGTCCAGAGAGAAGTCCTTACTACAGAAACTGAACAAAATGCTGTATAATTTGAGGAGAAACACAGAGGTTTAGTCTCTCTTCCCTCATGCCTTCTACATAGCAGGAAGACATATTCAACTCAACATACTGAGGATAAGCTGCCTCAGAACTACACATCTCATCAGAGCACATGTTACTGCAGTCAGGATCATGCCACTGACTGGTTGCTAACTGACATCTCTCCGTGTCCCACTCATGGCTAGTTGCCTGTAAGTAACCCTTAGGTTGCACACCGAATTATCTCTGCTGTTGCACTTCCAGCAGTTGCTTTCCCCCTCCTTGCCCACAGCTACCACAACACAACTGGCCTTCTGGATCCCTTTCCTGAGGGCCACACACCTCCTTCAGACACGGCTCGCTGAGCCTAAAGGACAGGCTCCTAAGTGTGTCCAGCCTTAGGGGTGGCGGACTGCTGAGGATCAGGGGAGAAATGAACTGACTTGTGGAAGGTCAAGTCCAGCGACAGCCACAACACTGTTTTCACTACCAGAGCTGAGAGCAAAACTAGATTTGATTGGGACTGACAAATATCTGACCAATTTAAGGGTATTGTGTTTTCGTTTATGCAACTATAAATACTGAAAACATGGTATGAATGACACACAAATCAGCAGTGGTTTAGGTTGGAAAAAATACACACCGATAATGCCCCCAACAGATTAAATCTTACAAAGTGTGCCTTTCATTTCCTGGTCAGTCTGAATGAACAATTTCTACAAAAAGCTAAATTTAATGGCATTAATGGGAGTTTTCATAAAACCTATTAATAGCATCAGTGAAGTGTTCTGTTTAGTTTCCTTCCTCAAAGAAGAAATAAATAAATGTTCATCCATGTCTTGTGAGTGGCAGTTAATGCTCCTCTCACCACTGGTTTCTGAGCCTGCCAGAAACTTGAACTACTAAGCTCATATTTTGTCTTTTGACAATTTTCATTTAATGAATTGATTCCTACAGTTCATTAACATGCCCACTTCTGTATACACATATGTCTTAATTAGCTGCTCATTGGCTGTTTAATTACAAGAAAACAGCTGACAGCTGCCTTGTTGCATCCTAATGACAGACACTCTGGAAGGGATACACACCAGTCTGTGACAGCAAAGATTTATTCATAATACCATGATTTATTGCTAACACTTACACATTTCCACGTATCATTACACTTTGCAATATTCTAGTAATTGCCAATTAGGAATCAGAGAATTGGTCTCCCCTGGCCACCCCCACCCCCCAATACCCTCTCATTCTTTTGCATTTTGTAAACTGAACTCACTGAATTTATTTTTAAAACAAACAAAAATCAAAAACACACACATTCTGACTGTAGAAATCTGGGTTCTTGCTCTCATAAATTTGGGATTATATAGCAAATAGTTTTTAAGTATTTTACTCAGAATCCTTAATTCCAGGTGGGTGGAACATCAGTGACTGTTTATTGCTGTGATTCTGGAGCAGTTTGCTTCAGTTTTGAATGGTCTTACTCTTTTTACTAGTATCCTAGCTTTTGTCAGGCATTCAATATGTATATGTGAAAGGGCTGTGAAGGGTTGTATGCATACAGTCATCCAGGGGTTAGGACTAGGCTGTCAGTTAGAGCCCCTTCACACATGCAAGAATGCCTTGTGGTTCACTATTGTGAGTTTAACCTTTACAAAACGAGTGCACATTTAAGTAATATCTTAATGTTTTGATAGTTAAGATAGCCAAACAAACAAAGTACGCGCTCTTACTTAAGAGCATAAGAAGTGCCTTCCTGGATCAGACCAGAGACAGTAACCGCTCCATCTTCTTCTCACCTTCTCGCACAGCTGAGTGGCTGGTTTATTGTGACTTGAATCTCTGTAGGCAATAGCCCAGCTGAAAGTTTCATGCAGCGGATGGGCCAAGTAGGTTGCCTATGCATCTCTTATTCTTAATCCCCTTTATCCCGTGGAGCACTATCCATCAAATCAATATCCATGGGATTGAAACCCCCAACTGGAAGAGCATTTTTTCCCCCGGCATGATTGTTGCCATAGACCAAATTCCAGGCATGCGTGCAAACCATGCAAACAATAGACCTCCCACACCTCATCTCCAATTTCAGACACTGTGATATAACGGAATATTGCGATGTTTAGGTGCTGGTATATCACAATGTTGAAAATGAGGTATTGCTCAGCCCTAGTCTGCTTTTAGTATACCTAAAATCCTTTGCTTATTAGGGGCTACCCCACATTTTGTTCAAAAAATTGCTTTGCAGAGGTAACTACCATAGAGTCAACAGCGTAGCAAGCTGCTGGGGCACTTGGGGCAGGGCGTGCCACCCATGGGGACGGGGCAAGCTGGGGCAGGGCTGCTGAGCGGCAGTGTGCACGTAGCCTGCAGGGTGTCTGCTCACCGCCTCCCCCTCAGCCTCCCTCCAGCAGGTGACACGATATGGCAGCTCTGGCCCCTGCAATCACTCGGCTGAGGAGGTGGCGGGTGAACTGCTTTTTTGGGCAGCGCGGTGCCTGCAGATGCCCCAGCCACTATATCACCCCCAGGAGAGATGCCGTGGCTCAGGTGCGCTGCAGGGCCAGCATGTAACAGTTGCATCCTTCTCGGCCACCCTCTAGCAGCTGGGGGGGGGGGGGCGCAGGAGCTCAGCACACTAAGAGCCCAGCCCTGGGCTGCACTGCTTTTGGGAGCGGTGTGCCGGGCTCTGGGGTGCTTGGACTTGTGCTTCACTTTGGGCTCCAGTGTGTTGCCCCCAGGATAAGTGCCGCCCAGGGTGCCCTGCCCCCTAGCTATGCTAGTGCATAGAGTTATCACAATTTTCAAAAGTAGGGGGTCCATGGCTTGGCTTTTGAAAAACAGGGGGTGCTCAGTAATTCACTAATTGGGAAACACTGATCTAACCTATGTAGCCAGGACCTGATAAACTTGCTGTGATTGACATAGTGAATAACAAGCATACACTCCCACGCCCCACATACAATCCTGCACATCTATAATGCACTAGACCACAGGAAGCATTAAAGTCTGTGGAAGTCTTGCCAGGGGAAGGCTGGAGCAGGGAAGCATCACCGCTGTGATAACAAGGCACTCCTGTTCAGAAAGAAGTTTCAGGAGAGCAGTGAGGGAACAGACTAGCCCAGGTGGCGAAGCTGCTGGGAAATCAGGAATCAAGGAAGAGACAGAGGGCCTAACTCCACAGTACATTAATAATGGGATTAGTCAGTTTTTTATTATTTGTTACTATTGGCCGTCACAATATAAATCACAAACAGAAAGACAGTCCAAGAGTTTGTTAAACATAAATTTTTAGAGCTGCAAATTGCATTTAAAATGGCAAAGCTCCCCAAATCATTTGGACCTTTAAATAAACCCTTGGCAGTGAACATTTTTAGTCTTATGAGGTCAAAATAAGTAGCACATAATCTTCTTGCTGCTCATGCACATAAAGCCGCCCTATAGGTAGCTAGATCTACATCAGTCCCAAATCATCTCATTTTGAAATCATCTGACTGACTTAGAAAACTTTGTAACTTTGAAATGAATAGTGAAATCTGTCCCTAGGTGAACTGTATAAGAGGCAGTACAGGATATGCAATTTATTTGATGTGGCTTGATCAGCATGCGTATCTTCTGGTCATCTTCTGGTCTGTTAAAGAGTTTACTAGTCAGATATTTAAATGCTAAGCTGAGTAAAACACATGTCTAACAGGAAGAAAAGTTCTTTCCAGCAGATAAGCAGCCCTTTTATAGCTGGATTTAATTTTAATATGCCAGTTTAATTTTAATTGACTTCAAATATATGCAGACTTCTAAAGTCCATTTCGGCATCTTCAGCAAAAATTGCATTACTGATCTTCAAGTCATCAATGTCCTAAGATGACCGTACAGGGGGAACTGCATAACTCAATATCAAACTGCTACAACATGCGCAGTCTTCTCTATGCTACTGTTCTAAATGTGATCAGCAACCGTGTTATGGTTTAAAACAATTAAATACCAGGTGTGGAGGTGGGAGAGCAATCGCAGCACAACAGGGAATTTGAAGCCTTCCCTCTCAGTGAAAATCCCCCTATCCAGCAGCAATTAGCATTAAAACAAGCCTTCCACTGATCAGATAAAGGCAGCGGCAGTCTGGAAGTGGCGGAAACTGTGAAGCTTACCGTCCGTTGGCAGAAGAACTTTTCCCTGCTATAATGCCTAAAAATTTGCACAGGAACGCACCAAAAGCAGCAGAACAGAATCAGACAGGAGGATGTACAACACTTTAAACAAACAAAATCTGGGTTCTCATTGTGTAAGCTGCAGTTAATTTTGTAAACTGAGCTGCAAATTTATTTTATTCGCCTCTGCTGGAAAATATATATTTAATGTGTATTTTTGGTGTTTTTAATTGTAATCATGCATTTGAATAATGTATTTCATCTCATTTTGTAAGCTGTCCAAGGAATGTGTGTTGAAGGATGGCCGTACAAGTAGTAATAAAGTATTTTATTTTATTTTTTTAAGTCAAAGATATGACTGGGACAAACTTTGTTATGTTGAGTTTGCATTTTGCACAATTTGTATACGGTGTCTGTTTGATAATGTGTGGTTTGCTATGCCTAATAAAGGATCTTGATTGATTGAGAGTTTTTTTTAAAAGTACTACACGGAGCAACAAAAGTACTGAAGGTCTTTACACATTTTGAGCAAATTTGTCAAAGAAGAAACCTGCGAATTCAAAAATTATTTTCCCATGGTTATTTCTGTTAGAATAGCAATTAACTCGTATCACTTTGGGAAGCAGAATGGCTTCAATAAATCTTTATTTATTGCAGGAATATGAGATGGATTGTGGAAAGTGAAGGCTATGTGGACTTAGGAATATGATTGAACTGCTCTCCACTGGTCATGAAAGTGTCAGCCAAACAAGCCTGAAGAAGATATTCCATAACCAAGACCACCACTGAAGGTCCCTGGGAATGTGGAGGTGCCCTGAGAAGGATCTCCACCCTAGATCTTGCTTTTGGGGCATATTCATAGAATATAATCATAGAATTGTAGAGTTGGAAGGGACCCCAAGGGTCATCTAGTCAAACTCCCTGCAATGCCTCTGCTTAAAAACCTCCAATGAAGGAGAGCTCACAGCCTTCCGAAGGAGTCCGTTTCACTGTCAAACAGCTCTTGCGGTCAGAAAGTTCTTCTTTCCTGTAACTTGAATCCATTAGTTCAAGTCCTGCCCTCCACAGTGGGAGAAAACAAGTTTCACAGACTTTCAAGTACCCAGGTCTCAAACACATTTAGGATCCTCTTTTGTATTGGAGAGCATTGTCTGAGGAGGTACTAGTAAATATTGTACCCATGTTTTTTACCAAACAGACCAAAACTGCAGGGTTGCGTGCCTTCTTGAAAGCGGTTCCAGACCTAGATTACCAGAAACCTGTCTGGAGCAAAGGGGAGGAGCGTGCCCCCTATTTATTCTTAAAGCTCCCTTATGTGCGTGCATTTTTTCTTCCTAAGATATAAATTGTAGATACGTACAATAGTACTTAAAACGGGTCCTGCATAGACTTCAACTGAGAGTTTTGCTTCTGTGCAAAGGCTTAATAGTAGTAAAAGCAGGAGAGGGGGGAGGAATGTTCATAGGAAAGCTTCTGAATTTGTATTTGGCTCTGTGCTCTCCATATCCTTTTTATAAAGGAAGAAATACAGTAATGGTCAGTACTGTTTGCATAGTTTTTAGGAAGCGAAACTCAGAGGGCCAAATTTTACTGAAATCTCTCCCTGGAGAGAGCACAAGATGGAAAAATCACAACACTGTAGGAGAACATGAGCCAGTGAAGCCCCCTGAAAGGAGTTAGAATTTTGAGACCCAGTTTAGGTTAAAAGAGAGGCTATATAAGGGCCTCTCCATACATCCTTTTTATTGCATATTCATAATCGTCTGTGCTCATTGTGATGCTGTTGAGGCGGCCATATACAATTCTGATTTCATAGAATGATAGAATCATAGAACTGGAAGGGATGCCCCGGGTCCTTAGTCCAACCCCCTCAATGCAGGCGATGGCTATTCAACCTCTGCTTAAAAACCTCCAAGGAAGGAGAATCCACCACCTCAAAAGGGAGAGCGCTCCACTGCCAAACAGCTCTTACTGTCAGAAAGTTCTTCCTGATGTTCAGTCAGAATCTCCTTTCTTGAAGTGGTGGGTTCAAGTGCTACCCTCCAGAGTAGGAGAAAACAAGCCTGCTCCATCTTCCACGTGGCAGCCTTTGAGATATTTGAAGATGGCTATCATATCTCCACTTTTCCAGGCTAAACATACCCAGCCCCTTCAAATGCTCCTCATAAGGCCTAGTTTCCAGACCCTTGATCATCTTGGTTGCCTTCTTCTGCACATGTTCCAGCTTGTCAACACGCTTGCTAAATAGTGGGGCCTAGAATTGGACATGGTATTCCAGGAGTGGTCTGACCAGGGCAGAATAGAGTGGTACTATTACTTCCCTTGATCTGGACACTCTACTTCTGTTGATGTAGCCTTGAATAGTGTTAGCTTTTTTGCTGCTGCATCACACTGTGGACACGTTCAGCTTGTGGGCCACCAAGACCCCTAGATCCTAGCAGAGTTTGTATTCCAGCAGATATTGGGGAAATTGAAGACTTCCTCTCTCATTTTTGAATATTTGGTAATCTGCTCTAGGAAGGCATCATCCAAGACCTCAGTCTGACTTGATGGTCAATCTGCTTTCTATGCTCCAGGCCATGGATTTCTTCACAAGTGTACACATATTTTACATATAATGCTACTTCTCCCTATCTATTTGGTCTATTCCTTTTGAAACACTTATACCTGTCAATTTCTACATTTCAGTCATGAGTCTCATCCCACCAGGTTTCAGTACTGCCTACCAGGTCATATTTGCCATCCTGTATTAAAAGCTCCAACTCATCTTCCTTGTTTCCCATATCTTGTGCATTTGTGTAGAGACAACTGAAACCATGAGTTGTTCCCTCCAGCTGCTTCCCTCTTGTAGTTTCCTGCCCTTTAGTAGGTTTCTGGAGCACCACCTCAGTTTCCTGTGCATCAATGAAGTTATCCCCCATACCAGGTGCTCTTCTGTCATCTGTAATGTTGTCTCCCTCCCCCTCAAGATCTAGTGTAAAGCTCTCCTGATCAGATTCTCAAGACTCTTGGCAAACACATTCTTGCCATTCTTGCCGTGAGGTGCAGCCCATCTTTTGCCAGAAGTCCTTCCTCAAGGAAACAAGAGACCATGATCCAAGAAGCCAAACCTTTCCTGATGACACCACTTTCAATACTGTTTGTGCCCACATAAGTGCTGGGGCAGTCACACCACCTAATTTCCAATCAGTGACTATCCGATAACTTCCTGCCGAAATCCAATTCATTTTTTTGTCCTGGTTTTGTTGTAATTTAGGCCCTCCAGACAGCAATGCTGTGGTAGCAGTGGGGAAGCATCACAGAACAAAGAGAACAAATCCACCACTAGTGGACTATTATTTTGACAAGAATATGCTACAGAATACACCCACAAGAAAGCATCAGTCTAGAGGGACCCTAAGTTCCTAAACAGGTACCTATTTGGGTCTTTAAAGCTATAAGAACAATGTGAATTTAGACAAGTGTCCTTTAGTGGAGAAAAACACAACAATGCTTTATTGATAATTAGTGTCAACTAGCAAACATGTAATCTTGCAAAAAGACACGTTTCCAAGTCAAAGATTGAACACATTTTTTTGACTCTCGTATATAACTTTTTAAATATATATAAAGCTTACCTTACAGCCCTCACAGGTAATGACACCATAATGGATTCCTGATGATTTGTCTCCACAGATCTTGCATGGAATAATTTCAATTTGAGCTGCAACAAAAGCACACAACCAGTTAATTATATTTTCTTTTAAACACCTTAGAAAAGCATTCCCTGATCAGCATTTGTACAATGAAAACTAATAACCTGCTCAACATTCTACCACATTAACTATTCATTGCTGAACTGTGAGGGTCCCCCTAGGGCCTTGTACTAATTTATGGTTACTTGTTATATAATAGCTTTCAGGTTATTAAAATGGGTCATTTGAGAAAGTACTTAAAAACTCACAACGTCAGATTTAGCATTTTAAAACCAAGAGGCATTGGACCCAAGAGTTTCTGCTTTGGCCAAATTAAAAAAAAATGCATTTCATCACATGGCAAGATTCTGCATACAGCATACACCAGTTGTCATCTGGCCCCCGCCTGCCTTGGGAGATAGCGGAGGAGTGCGTCTTCAAAGGGGAAGTCAAGCTGTTGGTAGGTTGCGGCGTCTGCTGTGGCGGCAGAGGCTGACGTGAGAGAGACATGCTATGTTGCAGCGGAAGCAGATTAAGGCATCCAGTTGTGCTGCTGCAGATGCACCATGCCTTTCTCTGTGTGTGTGCTCCTCCCAGCGGTCATTTCTTCTCTATTCATTGCCATGGACTTGGCTACCTGTCTCCAGGCGCTGAGATCATCTGCAAGGGATTCCCACATGGCAGGATTGACGTTGCCAGCCTTCATGTCACATTTGCAGATATCTTTGTAACACAGAGTTGGTCTGCCAATTGGCCTGCTGCCAGAAGCCAGCTCCCTGGGGATCCTGCCATCTTCCATTCTGTGGACATGACCAAGCCAGAGTAGACGTCACTGAGACAGGAGTGCAAACCTGCTAGGGGTGTGGGCTTGGGAGAGCACATCTTTGCCTGGAATTCTGTCCTGCCATGTGATACCCCAAATCCTCCTGATGCAGTGAATGTGGAAAGTGTTGGTTGTAAGTTGCCCACAACTCATTTCCATCAAGCAGCATGCTTAACACGCAAGTCTGGTAGACCTTCATCTTGGTTTTGGACATTAGCATCACATTCGCCCATACCCTTTTGGTGAGGCAAGCCATTGCCATAGCTGCCTTGTCAATACACTTGTCCAGCTCAGTGTTGATGACAAGATTGCTGGTTATGGTGGAACCCAGACAGTCAAAATTGTCTACCACTTCAAGTGTGTGCTCATCAAAACTGATGTGTGGGGTGCTGGTGGCATCCTGGTCTTCATCAGACTACTGGTAAGATCAAACTCCCTGCAGGCTTGGGCAAAACAGTTGATGGGTCTCTGTAGAGCTTCTTCGGAGTGTGCTTTCAAGGCAGTGTCATCTGCAAACAACATCCTTCGGATAAAGATCCACCACACTTTTGCCTTGGCATGGAGATGTGCCAGGTTGAACAGAACTCCATCTCTCCTTGTATGGATGTATAAAGTAATCTATTGCAAGGCAATTCCTGACACATTTAAAATATGCACGTTCATTCTTTGGCAAAAAATTAAGATGCAAAAGTAACTGCCTAGTTATGGTCACCACAACAATATGTCTAGGCATGTTTCCCCCCTACAAGATTACGAATCAAATGATGACAAGATGAGGGAGCTAGCTGAAGATAGAATAAATGCTGTGCACAAAAGACAAATTCTTTAAAACAGAGAAGCAATCAAATGGGAAAGCAGTCTAGAAGAGATGTGACTGCAGTTTCATTCTAGCAAACGTGAAAACCAATCCTCTTTTACAAAATTACAGGGGGTAATTTGCCAAAACCTGTATCTTTATAAGTTTCTGAACAACTTTGCATAGATAATTTATTTGGTTCTTTTTGCAATTTGTGGTATTTGAAGGGTTGAAACCAGCCATACTGAAACAGGTCATACAGAGGGCTCAGTGGGACTTAAATTTAGGCATGTAAAGGACAGTAATATCCAGTGAACTTCATGGCTGAGTGAGGCTTTGAACCCGGGTCTCCCACATTCTAGTCCTACAGGCACTCTAACCACTACACCACACTGGCTCTCACTAGGGTGAACCTTTTCCTTTCAGTCTGCAAAATCACAGCTTCTGTGAGAGGAGGAGCTGCCAGTGAAGGACATTGTCTCATTCTGTCCATCATGCCCACATAACATGATTATTTTTTAAGTTCTAATGTTTTTATTTCTGCAAAGGAAAGCACATCCCTGTAAATGGTGCAGGAGCACACACAAATATTTTAAAAAACTAGGGTGATGCTCTGCCATTTCTTAAAAAAAATCCAGCATTATAATATCCTTTAAGACAGGCATATCCAACTTGAAGTTGGCTGTAATCTACGATCCAATATAAAAACTGGCAGTGATCTACCACCCAGGGATGGGTGCAGAGTGGGTGGGTGATGGCTGCTTCTCCTGAGGGGGCAGGGATGGGGGCAAGGTGGGCAGGCAGGCATTGGCTGCTTCTCCCAAGGGGGCAGGGATGGGTGCACTGTGGGCAGACGCGCACTGACAGGGCAGGGGTGGGTGCATGCGCAGCGTCAAAATAGCTCCTCCCAACGTCTCCAGTGGAGAGTGGGTGGTGATCGACTAGAATTCATTGCAGGATCTACTCGTCGATCGGGCCTGACGCGTTGGACATGTCTGCTTTTAAGAGATGTGGTGACAAGAATTGGACACAGTATTCCAAGTGCAGCTGCACCATAGACCTTTATGATATAAGGCCTTTATGATATTTCCAGTTCTATTTTCAGTCATTTCCCACAACCTGGGTTAACTTCTTAATTGAGCTATCCACTGGGACCCTAAGCTTGGTCAGCCACCACCAGCTCAGACCACATTAGCATATATGTAATGTCAGGATATTTTGCCCCAGCATGCATCACTTTACACTTGTTAACACCGAACTGGATTTACCATTTTAATACTCATTCACCCAGTTTGGAGAGATCCTTTTGGAGCACCTCACAGCCACTTTTAGTTAAAAACTACCACAGACTTTGCTAACTCATCTCCCAGAAAGGCTAGACTTGGGTTCAGAAAGCAGGCAACACACTAGGACTGGATGATGTCAGGTTTTCAACATTGCAGTGTATCCCCAGCTTCTCCTGCCCAGCCAGTTACAAAGCATGCAACTGCAAATCTTGACTTGGGCACTAGGTGGCAGCTCTGAGCTGCAAAAAGTGACTGGCGACGGGTTAATTTCGAACACTGCTTGCACTGCTTGGAGATTTGGGTGAAATGGAACAATAAGTAAATAATCCTTTCCTGCATGCCCTGCTATGCTACTGCTAAAGTTGTGTTGTGGTCTGCAAAGGGTTTCTTCCAAAGGGTGTCTGGTGTCCTTTTCCCTGGCCAGCTCCACAACAGCCTGGGGTCACAAGTCATCTAATTAAACCCATGCCAGATGTTCCTGCCCCTACTATTTGCCTTGTGAATGCAAATACATGTTTCTGGTCTGATGAATGTAAAAGTGCTTGCTACTTTTCCTTTTAAAAAAAAATCAGGAAGGGGTAATTAGGGTGTTTTTCCACTTATCAGTTTCATCTTTTGCATGCAAATAAGTGCTTGCTCAAATCTTTTTTGCATGCAAACAAGACACAGTGAGAAATGCAGTGTCTGTTCAAAACAGGACATGGCATAGATAATGACAGAAATTTCCAGCTTTGTTTCGCTATTACTGAGTTAGAGCTAATGGGCCCAAGTCCACCCACCCAGGCTCCTCCAGAAATGAGCACAGATTGCAACGCACCACTGCTTAGTCAATCACACCTCAATCAAATTGGCTTGTTATTATTGAAACAGTAACATTTTCCAAGCTACACTGAGGATACATGAATTGATAAGGCATAAATAAACATATTGCTTGTGTACTGTGTACTGCATATGAAACTTAATGTACCACTGGACAAGTTACTGTAGTTCTATGTTGTTCTCATATTTACATGAAAACCAATAAAAGTTATTTGGAAAGAAATATAGCTTCATTCTAGGTAAAATAATAAGGATAATATAATGTTAGATGAAAATTAGCCTGAATCCTAGTTCCAATATGCCTAGTTGGAGTATAGGCTTATTTCAATTCACAGATTTTTTTCCCTAAACATATATTTACAGAGGCACTCTCACACTAGAATTCTTAGTCTTTATGCAAGGGAAATCATCAGATTCTAAAGGACCCACTTGGAGTATACGGCTTACTCCTGACAAGGAGAGAGATGCCACCAGCCACTCACCCTCCAAGCAAACCCTTACTTTTTCTTCAACAGAGAAAGACACTAGACAATAGAGCTGTTCTCTTAAATACAGGGGGAAAGTGGCCAGATATAAAAGACAGAAGAAAGCAAAACCAGGTCCCATGTGCCTGACTTCGTTCTGCCTCTCTGCTGGACAAAAAAAGCAAGGCACCAGGGGACTGAAGGAGCAACAGTCTTCAAAAGAACTACCCACCAACAGAAACATTTAAGTTAGTGGTTAAACTGTGGTAGGGTTGGGGGAATCCACACAAGTGCAGAAAAGCACAGGATGTGGTACTGGGCTCAAACTCTTAGCTTATGAAGGTGAAGATAGCATGAAAGTGCATGGGCAGCAATCTGCAGTGCCCAAATAGCAGTTGAAGGGAAGTTCCTGGTGTGGTACATTGATGACCAGCCCTAATCCTTTGCCTCTCTCCCCCCATGACTACTTTAAAGAGAAGAAAGGAGAGATAAATTCACTCAAGCATGTTGTGGGATTCAGCTCTTTTCAGTGAAGAATTTGGGTTATCTTTCCACGGCATTGTAATTTTTATTTTCCCTTTCGCTCTGTGTACAACAAGCTAAGTGAGCTTAGCTATCCCTGAGCAGGTGCTCCAGAAGTTTGCTCAGTCAGTCAGTCTAGAACAGGAGAGCGTCTCATAAAGTGCTGCAAGACTTGGCTCCTGTCCTGGAAAGCACTTAATCGTACACTCCAGGCATGCACCGAATTTTATTTACGGTTTGAGCTAATCATATGGTTAGATTGAAGCTTTAAGCAGATTGTTATGTAACACCCACTGGCCACACAAGATCGCTATGCTGGAATGAGGAATCAAATATCCAGGGCCGGACCAAGATATTTTGACACCTGAGGAGAACCACAAAATGGTGTGCCCCGCCCCCTGCCCCCAGCCAGGGAAGACGAGGAGACTAAGATCTACATCGGGAATAAGGTGGAGGAAATCAAATGAACATTACCTGATGGCTGAAGTAGAAACCAAAGGCTGTCATGGGAGCGACAGGGAAGGGGTCCACTCTGAATCATGCTGAGCGGGTGCAGACTTCAAAGGGCAGCCCCTGCAATTTCCTCCGTAGGCGTAAGAGGAGACCAACCGCCAAGAGGCTGCAATAGAGGCAGCATTGGAGGCGGAGGGGGGCTGCTGCCAAGAGGTGGCAGCTCTGGCCTCCAAGGAGTGTGTTGCAGCCATCATTGTGGCAGTGGTGGCGGCAGCAGCAGCAGCAGCAGCAGGTGATGCCTGAAGGACAGATCTGCTGTTCCTGTGGATCCTGCCACCTAGGGCGGTCACATCACCTTGCTTCATGGGTGGACTGGCCTTGCAAATATCAGACCACAACTAGATCGACATGCAAAGCCATCATGCTATTCTTTGTACAAATTCAGTCTCAGGACTGGGTCAGGACCCACCCACCAACCCACCCTCAAAAATGTACAAATGGAGAGCTACAGCTACAACAGCAGGCAGCGAAGACTATGTAGCTCAGGTGACACAAATCTTGTCTTGAGGACAACCTTAAAATAAAGTTAAAAATACTTTAAACTCTCTCTTCATTACTCACGTTGTCCTAGAGCAGGGGTCGGCAACCTAAGGCCCATGGGCCACAACCGGCCCACGGGGGTTGTTTAACCAGACCCCGAGCTGCCCCTGAACCGAGCCGCCTGCTCAGCGTGTCCCCACGCACTGTGCTAAACCAGCGCAGTGCGGCGCGGGGACTCACTTTTGCGGTGCTGGAAATTGCATCTGCGCAGATGCAGAAACCAAAAATTGTGTCTGTGCAGACAGATGCCAGAAATCGCAATCTGGCCCACAGAGGGATCTCCGCTGGAAGAGGCCCAGACAAAGTAAACCTTGCTGTTCTAGGACCAGGCACATCCCCATAATCTTCCTCCATCTCTTCCTTCTCAATTTCACTGTTACCTTCACTGGAGGTAGTAGCAGAACACATAAGCCAACAAAAGCTGTTGTCCTAACAGCTGATACAAAATATCTCATGCATATGGTAGATGGGACAGCCTTCAATACAGACGCATCACCAACTTCAGAATCTGTCATATTTTAACAGCTCTCGTTTGAAGATTTGCCTCCAAAAGAAAAGCAGCACTTGCCATGAACATCCACCAGACCCAGAAAGCACCATGAGAAGTTGTCACACAAGGAAGCGATACTGATGGTGACACAAATAAAGAAGACGGGAGAAAAATCTGACAGTCATTTGGAAAGCAGTTTGTCTGGTAGCACAAGAAACTTCCAAAATAAGAAGGGATATATTCATAAGGAATGTTTGTTCAAATCTGGGATGGTCACTAACATAAACACATTCTGTATATAAACTGGTAAATGCTACAGTTCCAGCACCTCTCAGGTGAGCGCCATTGCTAATATAAGGGAGGCATTTATGGTGAGTTCCGGCACCTCTTTTTCTAGAAAAATAGCCGTCATCAAAGACTACCATTTGCAACAGAAACATTGCTGTTGCTCTTTCTAATTCTATTGATTAAACATGAAGCTATACATAGTCAATGACACTCATACATATTTAGTAGCACAAACAAGAATTTGCATTGAAGCAGAATTAACCAAGGAATTATTTGACTGCATAACATTCTAATCCCAGTGCATTTTCAGCTCCATTACCTAAATAATTTGCTCTCCTGTGCACCCTAAAGTAATTCATGATGATTAAGTATTATTCACCTAAATCATTTGAAGCTTACAACAATATTATCATTTTGACAAGTTCCTAGATGCCAGGTTCACAAAGTGTTGGGGTGTTAGGGGTGGTGGTGTCTAGCTACAAATGCACAAGCAGTTCATAACACAAACAGCCTCCTAGTCAAACACAGATTTATGGATATCTAGGAGGGCTGCAATGTTTAGTCAATTAATTGTTTGGGATAACCAATGTTTTCAAAAATCAAACAACTAGAAAATGCCCTGATTGATAAAGCAGCAAAAAATCTAAATTAATTTTCAGGCAAGTAGTTATGATTTATTTATTATTTCAACTGATGCCCCACCTCTCTGCCTCTAACACCCAAGGTGCCTAACAGCCACAATAATAAGTACTTTTTAAAAATTGCAGATGGCAAGCAGTATCGAAAGATGAAATCTCTACTGCAAGAGAAAAAAGGAAGCACCTCTTCTATATATAATTACACTTGTGCTTTTTTTCATTAGAAATATTTTGTCACCCCCCCCCCCCTTGCTACCCATACACACATTGGTGCAGATTTAGTGCATCAATTAATAAATTAGAATCCAATGTTTAATCAGCTAACAGCACACTCCTCTGCATGTCTGACTCAGTAGGGAAGCTCCATCAGGTTCAGTAAGATTTACTTTTGAGGAAACACCTATAGGATTGCACTGTCAGATGTCCCTCACTGGGTGACAGATCTAATTTAAGCTCCAGCACTGTACACACAGCATCACATAGGGGGGAGCAGCCCTTATCTGCCAGCCTTCATTGCTATGTGAAGCAAAGGCTAAGCATTGTTAGGTACATCCTAGATGTGCACAATCAGGGCTACTCCGAGACATTCTGGTACCCAGAGCAAAATGTTCACATACATCCCTTCTTCCTTTAGTTAGAAAGTTATTATTCATGTGCCACAGCTTCAATCTACTATTACTATAATTTCTTTTAATATATACATTCTGCCTTTATTTCCAGATTTCCAGGACAGGTTACAAAAAATATTAAAAACAATAATAAAAACACTAGAACAGATTTTATAAACATATACAGCAACATACAATCAAATAAATAACCAAACCAAACGGTAGAAGCTTTAGCAGAGTAGAAGATAAGTGGAGTAAACAAAAACCATTGCTTTGGGGAGAGTTTTCCAGAACTGAGGTGCCACTACAGAAAAGGCACTGTTTTCACCTGCTATATGTGGGGGATGAACAGACCCAGAGAACAGCCTTTGCAAAGATAGTCATGAACAAGCAAGCCGATATATGAGCAGGCAGTCTACCTGGCTCATTGCAGGAAAATAAAGACCCCACCCACCAAAAAGCACATCCTTGCCCGGAAGAGATTAAAGTTGAAATATATACATTAAAAAATGATTACTGGAATAATGGACAACTTGACACACTTTAATGGCCCCCAAATTGGCTGCCTGAGGCAGCTGCCTTGCTCTGCCTAAGAGGGAAGACTGGCCCTGTGAACCACTCTCAGATAAATGACCTCCTGCCAGTCTGTACAGGTTCAGCTATCTCAAACCTCAGGCCTCATGTATACAGTTATATTTTGACGGGATTAGTTTGCAAACCATGAGCAGGGACTTGTTTGTACAGCATGAAGGTGCAACAGGAGGTACTTGATCAATAATAAGCCTTGGCAGTGGCGGCACACATGCGCCAAAGTGAGGGCGCTCTTTCTTCTGTGTGTCGCAGCAGGATTCCCAAGAGGAGATCATAGAATCATAGAATCATAGAGTTGGAAGAGACCACAAGGGCCATCGAGTCCAACCCCCTGCCAAGCAGGAAACACCATCAGAGCACTCCTGACATATGGTTGTCAAGCCTCTGCTTAAAGACCTCCAAAGAAGGAGACTCCACCACACTCCTTGGCAGCAAATTCCACTGTCGAACAGCTCTTACTGTCAGGAAGTTCTTCCTAATGTTTGGGTGGAATCTTCTTTCTTGTAGTTTGGATCCATTGCTCCGTGTCCGCTTCTCTGGAGCAGCAGAAAACAACCTTTCTCCCTCCTCTATGTGACATCCTTTTATATATTGGAACATGGCTATCATATCACCCCTTAACCTCCTCTTCTCCAGGCTAAGCATGCCCAGCTCCCTTAGCCGTTCCTCATAAGGCATCGTTTCCAGGCCTTTGACCATTTTGGTTGCCCTCCTCTGGACACGTTCCAGTTTGTCAGTGTCCTTCTTGAACTGTGGTGCCCAGAACTGGACACAGTACTCCAGGTGAGGTCTGACCAGAGCAGAATACAGTGGCACTATTACTTCCCTTGATCTAGATGCTATACTCCTATTGATGCAGCCCAGAATTGCATTGGCTTTTTTAGCTGCCGCGTCACACTCTTGGCTCATGTCAAGTTTGTGGTCAACCAAGACTCCTAGATCCTTTTCACATGTACTGCTCTCAAGCCAGGTGTCACCCATCTTGTATTTGTGCCTCTCATTTTTTTGCCCAAGTGCAATACTTTACATTTCTCCCTGTTAAAATTCATCTTGTTTGTTTTGGCCCAGTTCTCTAATCTGTCAAGGTCGTTTTGAAGTGTGATCCTGTCCTCTGGGGTGTTAGCCACCCCTCCCAGTTTGGTGTCATCTGCAAATTTGATCAGGATGCCCTTGAGTCCATCATCCAAGTCGTTGATAAAGATGTTGAATAAGACCGGGCCCAAGACAGAACCCTGTGGCACCCCACTAGTCACTCTTCTCCAGGATGAAGAGGAACCATTGATGAGCACCCTTTGGGTTCGGTCAGTCAGCCAGTTACAAATCCACTGAGTGGTAGCATAGTCAAGACCACATTTTACCAGCTTCTTTACAAGAATATCATGGGGCACCTTGTCAAATGCCTTGCTGAAATCAAGGTAGGCTACATCCACTGTGTTCCCTTCATCTACCAGGCTTGTAATTCTGTCAAAAAATGAGATCAGGTTAGTCTGACATGAGTTATTTTCAGAAATCCATGCTGACTATTGGTGATCACAGCATTCCTTTCTAGGTGCTCACAGACTGTTTGCTTAATGATCTGCTCCAGAATCTTCCCTGGTATTGATGTCAGACTGACTGGGCGGTAATTATTTGGGTCCTCTCTTTTCCCTTTTTGAAAATAGGGACAACATTTGCCCTCCTCCAGTCTGCCGGGACTTCGCCTGTTCTCCAGGAATTCTCAAAGATGACTGCCAGTGGTTCTGAGATCACATCTGCCAGTTCTTTTAATACTCTTGGATGCAGTTCATCTGGCCCTGGAGACTTGAATACATCTAAACTAGCCAAGTATTCTTGTACTATCTCCTTAGATATTCTGGGCTGTGTTTCCTTTGCTGAATCATTTGCTCCAAATTCTTCAACATTGCAGGTAGCACAGAAACTTTCAGAAACTGGGAGCATATGCTTTTTGTGCTCAAAAAACTTTCACAAAACAAGTGTGTGAAGAATTATGCAGGGAAAATAGCACGTTCATGCAACTCTTGAAATGGTAAGGTACCAATCGCAAACATACACAAGAACAGCTGTGTTTTTTGTTCATTTCCCATTCACACATGCAGAGAGGAATGTTGCAAATATGTATAAATGTATTTCAATGTAAAATGTATTGAGAGAGTTAGATCAACACTCATCACAGCACCATTAAGACCTCCCCCTGCCCCTCATGATAGCTGGTTATGATAATTCTTTAACACTGTCAATGATACCAGAATGGGTTAAAAAGGAGCAGTGATTAGTTGTTTATTTTCTGCTTTTTTAAAACATTTGCTTCCACTTTTACAAGGGCAGCTCTACTCTTACTTAGGCCTCTGGGTGTAGTGCATGGAGTGCCATACATACGCTTTTTCACAGCATTCCTTAACAAAGGATGGCATGGCCCATCTAAACAACCAGTCTTACTGCAGGGCTTTTGCTAAGTCAGCAGGACAAGGATCCCAGAGCGTATGAACACCTAGGGGAACAGCCATTCAAGCAACATTCAAAGGCTCAACAAACAGGTAGTCTAGAGTGACCTTTGTGAGGAAAGTGACTTGTGATCAGGTGTCATCACAGCTATATACACAAAAATCTATCCTATTGCACAATTCATTATGTGGAGCTGCCATTAAGGCTGCTATGATACAGATGACACTAGTTGTATCTAGTCTGCCCTGTATTTCTCCCCATAGGATAGTAATTCCCAAACTGCTGTCCTGGCTCCTATCCAAAACACACAGACAAAAGCTCTTACTTGAAACCAAGAAAGAGATCTTTATTCAGACAAGTAATGGTACAGACTCGGCAGCAGACGTGGTGCTCAGGAGTTGCAATTCAGGAACAGGGCAAGAAGTTCAGAACCACACAGAAGTGACAAGGATGTCCCAGCAAGTTCCCCTGCCCACCAAGTTGGAAAGATGAGGTGGAGCACACTGACTTGCAAGACTCTCTTCCCTTCTGGGAATGTCACGTTTGCTGGCACACACTGTAGGTGCTGGTGGGTTTGCTCCTATCTGCAAAGGCAGCACCTGGTTATAGACAACAAGGCTGGGCCCTCCTGTTCAGCCAGACTTTTATCTGTAGTGGTACTGAACTTCAAGGGCGGTTAGAATGCCTGGGAAGCTCAGTGTGAGACCACAAGTAATGCCACTTTCCTCTGGGGGAGGCTCAGTCTTTCTAAAAAACAACAACTCCTAGTTCTTGTATCAAAAGTCAGGAAATCACTGCCCTCAAAACACACACACCCACCTCTAATTCTTACTGGCAGAAGCTCAAAAGCAGCCTTCTGTCCACAAGTAGCTTTTTGGTGCCCGGGGTTGTAAGAACCGCAACACATCCCATCTCTGATATTACTGGAGACTAGATCCAATCTTTCTAGAACTAATGCAAGTGTCAGGCAGCTTATTCAGAGGATGAACTAGGTATGTACTAACTCAGTGATAACAATCTTACATTGTCAAGAAAATCAATTGAAAAAGCTACAGAAATACCCGTTGAATCAGAATGACAGGAAAGATCGGAGGAAATTCTGTCCATGACCATTAGGTGTCACTGCAGTCAACAGAGTTGGCTAAGAAGAAGAAGAAAACTTAAATCAATGTCCAGTTCTTAGGTTTTAAGTGGTGCTTGGTCCTTATGGACCTTCACTGCCTAATAGCAGTAAGACCACAGCAATTTCTAGATTTTACACCACCCATCAGTCATCCCCCCCTTTTTCTTTTGCAAAAAGGGCCTTTTTAGCCTTGTTTCCAAAGTGCCAAAGCCTAGCGGATATGAAGCTTTGGGCAGCAACACTTCAGGTCCTGGGCATCACACATTTAAGAGCAAGGGTAATTCACAGGTCTGGCTCAACCTTCTGCTGCTTCATGTTGACTCATTATGTAACTCCAAAGGTGCACCTCAACACCTGTGACTTGGCAAGAGATTCTGGAATACACAATTCCAAAATCAAATGCTGCCCCAAAGGCAACCACTTGGGTTTCCTATTGTCAGAGCTGGACTGTAAGTAAAGAGCAAATAAAGACAGAAGGTTCTAGCCCAGGCAGAAGTGGGGGGGGGGGACACTGCACTGAAGGCCTTAGGAGCATTGATGGCAGTCAAGGGTTTGAGGCTTAAGAGACTGATCCAGGCAAAAGACAGGCATAAGAAACCAGATTGTGTGTCAGACTGGAAGTACAGCAGGTAGGTAAGCAGCTACTGAAGACAAAACCAGAGCGCCATTCAGACATGATGGGGTCTGGCAAAGACCTAACCCTAGCTTGGAAGCATTCTCAGCCAGGCTGGAACCAGGGCAGTCCATACTGGCTCTTTACCCCGCTCTCCAGTCTTGAATAGCCCACCACAAGAGGAACCATCGCACAGAAGAGGCTCCTGATTCAAATTCGTTGAGCCTGATACTTGGCCCTGGCTGCCCCAAAGGCCCACACCACAAGTGTAGGAACTTCTGTCTGTTGTGGGTGTTCAACAGGCATAGGCAAACTTGGCCCTCCAGATGTTTTGGGACTACAACTCCCATCATCCCTAGCTAACAGGACCAGTGGTCAGGAATGATGGGAGTTGTAGTCCCAAAACATCTGGAGGGCCAAGATTGCCTATGCCTGGTCTTCAATGACAACCAGGTGGATGTCAGGAGGGATTTATGATGTGCATCCACCATCCAATTCTGGCTAAGACCCCACTTTCTTTAGCTTTTCTCCTCCCTCTGCCTCACTTCCCCCCACTCTCACTTCCCCCTAAGAGCCAGTTCCGACAGAGCCACACCAGCGTCCCTGCCCAATAACTTTGCCACACACTGTTCTAAAACATTCCAGTGAATCATTCCTCAATTACTTAAAGCTATGAATTCGAAAACTTTTCAAGCAAGAATTTCATATTACAGTTGAAAAGAAAGAAGTGCCTTAAGGCTTTGGAGAATTCCTGAAAACATGAACTCTAAAATATGAATGCAGTTAAAACAAAACCAAAATAATTATTTTTAACATTGATTTCCCATAATGTTGAAAAGCCTGGGGCTGGTAATGTCATAAAGGTTTGACTAAGTGAAAGTGCCCATCATTTTTCAATCTCTACTTCTTTCAAATGCAAAAGTAACTCTTCTGTACCCTCAACTGCCTGCAATGCCACTTTTCCTACAACAGCAAAACTATTAAAGAGGATTTTTTTTCTCTTCAGTTCTGAATTAGTTGCAATTTATAGCTTGTAAAGTTAAGCTTGTACCATTAAAACTGTTGGGAACATCTAACTAAAAGAAGCCAAGATGATGTTTTTACTTGGACAAACTGTAAGTGGGGGTGGGGAATCAAGTTGTAAAAATCTTGAACTTGTAATAAATGGTTGCTCTCTAGCACAAACAAACAAAACAGACAAATATCAGCCCCCCAAATTAGAAAGCTTTGGGTATTAGGGAAGCTTTTAATGTTTAATGGTCTATTGTATTTTAATATTTTGTTGGAAGCCACCCTTAGTGGCTGGGAATTTATTATTATAAATGATAAATTATTATTATTATATGAGAAAATGAAGTGCTCTAATAGAAGTGAGATGCAAGTCATAGCAGGGAAATGTTCAACCCAGAACACAGCTTACATCGGGGAAGAATAACATTTCTTTAGTTCAAGAACCACATTCAAGTGTGGTCATCCTCCCCCCCCCCGCCCCCACAGCTGCATGCCATTCGCATGTGATCACACACCCAAAATCGAGCGCACATAAACCCCCATTTAGGATCACACACACATTCAGGGATACACACCACACTCCTCTTGATCACAGTTCTGGACTGCAAGAGGGGTTTAAGCCTCTCAGCTCAGCACTGTAAAAGAAGAGGGGTCATCTGCAGCGCGTTGGCAGGCTGGATCAGGGCCGCAAGTTCGCCACCTCTGACCTAAATCCTAGGCTTGAGTCCTACAACCAATTGAACTTCCTTCTGGAGAAATAGCCCCACAATGGCATACTGCCTTGGGATTGAACACAGAAGCCTGGTATTCCAGGAAATGGACGAGAGACTTGGCTGAAACGCTGATGTGCCAGATTCGAAAAACCCAAGGGAACCCCAACCCCCATCTTCTTCTTTTTTACAAAGCATGGCACTTGTTTTTGGACCGTAGGCGTCAAGAGGATTGTGTTTATAACCCCCCAAAATCTCATTGCAATATGTGGAAAGATTTTTTGGACTGAAGTCTGTGAATATGATTTGATATTTCAAAGCAAAATGGTTGATGTGTTGCGAGTTATGTAGTTTATGTACAATGTGAAAAAATAAAATAAGATATAAAAATGAAAAGAAAAAAGAATTTCCTTCTATGAAGTGATCAATGGACAGAAAAGCATTGCCAAACACATTCTGGGAGCCTAGGCCCATCCGTGTCTCTTAGCCATGATGGCCAAATGAAACTGCCCTGTCCAGAACAGTTGCTAGGTGTTGTAAAATATTGGAACTAATTTTGGGCAGCTCTTGTGTGTTATGAGAACATAAACAGAGCACTGCTGGGCCAGATGGAAGGCCCATTTTGCCCAGCATCCTCTAGCAAGCCCACAAGCAGGGCAGGAAGGCAGATCCTGCCAGAGATAGACCCAGCCTCGCTTGAGTGAATGGTAACAATACAAGCTGGGAGTGGGGAGCCCTCAAGGCTCCTCTGCCTGCCCCTTGGAGCCCCCCCAGGCCCCGGCCCCCACCAGCTCTGCTCCACACCTTCCTCAAGCGCTCTTGCCTGGGCCAAAGGTGTCCTGCCTCTCTTCCTTGCCTGAGTGGAGAGGAGCGTTGGGTGTGTGTTTGGAAACCTCTGCCTCCGGCATGGCTAGAATGTGCTGGCAGTTGAGAAGGGAAGAGTTGTATCCATTGTTCCTCAGAAGGTCGATCACAAGGGAATCCAAATCCCCTGGGATGAAAATGATCCCCTACCTCAGCTAGGAAGAAATCAGGTTGGTGACAAGAAGCATGTACATGATTAACAGACCTGCTTACATCAGTAGTATACCATCATTAGATTAGTTCTCTTTCTTAATTCTGGAGGGTGTTTTTTTTGTTTGTTTGTTGGCTGACAGTCCATTTTTTGTTTCTATTTCTAAACTTTCAGCAAAAATGTGCAGCTAGGACTGTAGAACTGAAGACAAGCATGCTTTGGCCCCAGTCACCAGCCAGAGGAATAAGGAGTGCTCTCTCTCTCTCTCTCTCTCTCTCTCTCTCTCTCTGTGTGTGTGTGTGTGTGTGTGTTTATGGCAATTTTGTCGTTCTATGTATTATTACCTCTTGTTTGTAAACTGCCTTGAGAATCATTGGATTGAGAGGCAAGGTATAAATATTTTAAACAAGTAAATAAATATGTGAAATTTTTGACAAATGCCACTGTAACCGCAACAAGAGTTTCAGATGTTTGATAAACTTTTCTTTTTTCAATTAAGTTAAAGTTAACTTTAACTTATTTAACACTAACTAAATCTGTTTAAAGTCTGTCTCCAAACTGACAGTGGTCTTGTAATCTGCTTTAGATAAAGAAGTGCCAAGATTAGTGATTACATAAACCCATCACCAAGCAGAGAAAGAATAATCAGATCAACTTTTTTTATTTGTCCGCAAAGGCTATTAGAATCAGCTGACTCCTTGAAATCCAATTTAACGTTGCTAAAAAACCCTTTACAGTACGTAGAACCCATTTGAGATGGGCCAAACTAGACATTTGCAACGAGAATTGCTTTTGTTTCCTCAACTGTATTGCCTCTAGCCATCATTTAATAAAATCTGGAGGGGGGATAATACTTAAAACAAGAAGCTGAATATTTATTGCTGAAGGAATAATGCAACCACAATCTACTCATGTAAAAGCAGTAACACAACAAGTAACTTGTAAATATTCATTGAGTAGAGGCTTAGAAAGAAAGCAGAGTCATTTTATAGTCGCCTAAAGGCAGAAAGAAATCATTGTAACTGGCGTGGGTGGGGGAAATGTTCTAGCCAAAATTATTTTTGATTTGTGATACTCCACATGCTTTCACTGAGTCAATATTTGTGGCACCGTGGCTTGCTATGTCATCATGTCAGTGGTCAGGGTACCTAAGGTTTGGTCCATGGCCCACCAACGCCACAGGCAGAAAGCATTTTATCATCATCATCATCATCATCATCGTTTCTTAATTTTTTATACCACCCTTCACCAAAGGCTTACAGAATGGTTTACAATATCAAAACCACAAAAATAGTAACAAACAAAAACAATAACCCACAAAGACACAGTTTAAAAGGATCAACCTGTGTGGCAAAATAAGCTCTTCTTCTTCAGGCTGCAAGAAGATTTGCATTTAAGGACATAGAAGATTGCACTTAAGGACAACTATCAAAATCCTCATTAAAAGAGAAAATTTTAGCATTTATAAATTACACTATCCCTGGTTCTCTGGACAAGATAGAATTGGATGTGCAAGAACTCGATAGGAAAAGTTTTGTTTCCTTTACAGAAGAATAATTTTCCATCTATAGTCTCTCAACTGAAGAGGGACCCGCGGTGTCTAAATCCCACCTATTCCCAGGGCTCAGGGTCCTTTCCCTTTGCCTCTTCTCCAACCTCTAACATTCAAACCCAAAGCATTAGAACAATTTAAATCTCCTTCCTCCACTTTGGCTGTCTTGCCTCTTAAAATAAGGAAGTTCTGCCCCCTCAATACTTCTCAAAACAATCACAACTCCCCTGACACACTAGCTCAGAATGAGTCCCGTCTCACATTCTGTATTCCTGGCTCTTTCCTCTTCCCCCGGTCTTTTTTTCATTTTCCCAATCAATGCTTTTCCCTATTATTAATACTCATTTTAGTGCTTTGCATGAATTCTCTGTTACAACTGATTGCACAGATCAATGGTAAGATCCCATGAGCTACTGCAACAGAGAGCAAACTGAACTCTGATCACGGCACAGACACACAACAGCACCACCACCTTGGAGTAGGGATCTGGACCCCCTTCTGTTGAGTAACAACTGAACATTATTTATCAAAAAATCAGTAGACTGAAAAGGTCTACCACCAGAAATGATAGCTTTGACATGCCACCCAATTATACTAATAAATATGTATCACACACACACAAAATTGCTGTCACAAACATTATAATGCCTTTAGCACGGAGCAAAAAGTTAGCTCTCGAAGAATCAACTTTTTATAGACATCATTAGGAAGAATATATGCAATCGATCAGTGCACTCTGTGGGTGAGGGCCTCTTGCAGTCACCATCTAACCAGAGAGGTCAGCTGCATCCGAAATAGGAAATGGGTCGTTAGTCTGGTGACAACTACCCTATGGAATCCCCTCCAGTTGCATATATTGTATACAGTGGTACCTTGGGTTACATACGCTTCAGGTTACATACGGTTCAGGTTACAGATTCCGCTAACCCAGAAATAGTGCTTCAGGTTAAGAACTTTGCTTCAGGGTGAGAACAGAAATCATGCTCCGGCGGCACAGCAGCAGTGGGAGGCCCCATTAGCTAAAGTGGTGCTTCAGGTTAAGAACAGTTTCAGGTTAAGAACGGACCTCCAGAACAAATTAAGTACTTAACCCGAGGTACCACTGTATATATATGAAACCTTTTAATTGTTTTTATACTTCTTTTTTGTTTTACAAAAGTCTTGGCTACACCCATGGGTACATGTACTAAACACAGTCATGTGCCTAACTCTGCAGATTTAAACTCCCTCACACTGGATAGGACAGGCATGAATATCCCATAGAAAGAACTGGCACTCAGTGTCTTGAGTCCTGGATGCATTATTTGCCTTACAGAGCTCAACACCAGATCTAATTGCGCTGTGCCAAACATGCCATTAAGTTATCAGTGCAGTTTCTTCCTGCCTATTTCACATTCACCCTCTCCAAGACATTCAGAAAAATGAAAAATGTGCCAGGTACATGCATAAGTAATTATATGTGTGCACACACACGTCACAAACTGCCAGTTACACAACTCAAGGCACACCCCAGTTAAAGATGCATCAACACTTCACATTGACAATCAACATCTTTGCCAGTATGGCACCGCGCTCAAACAAATGGGAAATCCCAATTTGAATTTTTCTGTGGGAACAAATATGTCTTTACATTAGCTAACACATCAGAGGTAAGAAATAGTTTTGTCTGTCTTATGCAACAAAGGAAGAATGATTGCTCCCCACCCACCTGTCATACTTTACAGCTAACAGGGAAATTCCCTATTACACTTTATATCTGGTCAAGAGCTTAGGGTCAATGGCTTGTGGTTTCAATCAGTTCCTCATGGAGAAGGCATGTATTTGGCTGTGAACAGAGAGAGGTAACAACTGCTAATGTTTGTCAGAGAGCTTACGAAGCGCCTGAGCCAATAAATCAAGAATACCAGGTCCAGTTCCTCCAACCTACAAAGAGATGCTATCCATCCCAGATTCAAGACTCAATGGCACTCTCACATCCTGAAGTCAAGAGATGTTGAAGTAAAAAGAGCACAGGTGGAGATGGCAACTAGGGCTGGGTGATATCAATGTATGAAATATGGAGAATGAAATAAGGTGGGGAGAAGGAACCAAGATACATTGGCTAACCCTAGTAGCGGCCCCACACTTGGGGAGCATCGAGGGAGAGGAGATCACAACGCTGGGCAGGCAACACTGCCCCAGGCAGAGCGCATCAGCCAGGATGCCACATGGCAACCCACACACAAATGAGGAGTTCCGGCTCACATCAAAGACTGCCCCACACCTGTGTGAGGCACTGGGCTGAAGCGGTGGCTGTTCCTGCCTGGCACCCAGCGTGTGGAGGGAGGAGGAAGGAGCACCAGCCCTGGGCCACGAGACACCAGGGTGAAGCCACCACCAGTTCCACCACCAGCAGCATCCAGCTGGTGGAGGAGAAGGCAGCTCACCTGCTCACCAGGTGAAGGAAGTTAAGGCACTGGCTGGCTGGCAAACCCCACCCACGTTATACAGCCGGGTCAAAAATCAACTAAACACCATCGTTTTCTGGCCTTCATGCTGGTCCTGGACAATGTTTTGATACATCACTCAGACCTAATGGCAACATAAACTTTGTCATCAGGTTATTGCCTACTGAACTATGTTCCTCTTCAACCAGGCCTTTGACTGATTAACAGTCTATGTCCTAAATGTGATGGGGTGGGGGTGGTGATTGTTTTGTTTTCTTCTTGTTCTTATTATGTACTTTTTTTATTCCGTATTTTATGCTGTGAACCGTCTTTGCATGAAGGGTGGTATGCAAATTTAATAAATAATATAATGAAAAATGAAAATTTGAGATTCTGCCCTTCTCCCCTCATCACACCTACACGCAGAGACAGACACACACAGACACGTAGAATCAGTCATAATCACTCTCCTGTCAGCAACATGGAATTCGTTAAAAAAACCAAACTTTCCAAACTGCATTTGAATTGCTCAGTACTAAGGTAGTCTTCCAACCACTTCAACTGAAGGAATTACCGTAGTATTCCAGTATTCAAACCAGGCAGATCACAAATGCATCCCCTCACATTAGAAAACTATTTATCAAATGAATCTGGATGCCAAATTTATGGCTAAAACATTTAGCTTAGAACAAAATCTCCTTACATGAAAGGAGGGAAATAAAATGTGGTTCGTTAAGGAACGGCATGGCTTACATAAGGCTGATCGGGCAACTAAAATAAAAGTAGCAGGACAGCATCTGCAGAGAACACAAAAATATTTTGTCATTTCATTGGGGTAGAGACAGAAAATACATGACAATCTAAGGGTCTCCAACTCCTGTCAACCCCAGTTAGCATGACCAATTCTGAGGGATGATGGGGATTGTAGATAATCTGGAAGTCCACAGATCTCATCAAAGCATTATTTCTTCTATTTTCATACTACTGGATTTGAACTTTAAAAAAAATCTAAAATAGTTTCATGCTGAATATTATTATTATTATTATTATTATTATTATTTTTAAAAATTGTGCTGAATACCATTGTGTAAGGCCATCAAGTCAGGCTTGCAAATAAATCCACAAAGTTTCTAATTTGTCATATACCTATGTAAGTCACATGGGTAATTTGTGACACACCGATGACCCGAAAGATGACACACACAAATTCTGCTCCAATTTACAAAAGTTTCCTTGGTGAATTGTCTTATTTACCAAGGAAACGAAGTGAGGGATTATTCATAAATCTGGTCTAAGCACACTTTGTTTCACTGTCCTTGATAAAACCACAAGAGGTTTAATTAGATTCTCATGTAAAACACAGAAAACAACAACCAGTGCAATCTCCCATTATTGCTCATCTCTGAGGAACTTGCATTTCATCTCTGAAACCTGAGAAGGCCAACCACTAGGCCAGTATCTTTGGGGTCTACCAAGCTGGGCCTCAAGTGTGCCTGGAATGATAATGCATATAGTTGGGCCAAGAGTGGAGACAACAATGTGTAGTGAATGGAATGCTATTCAATTGTGTTTGTGCAGGAGAATTCTGCATCCGTAGCAACATAGGAAGCTGCATTTGGCTCAGTACTGTCAACCTTGAGTCCCCAGGCACTGTTGAGACGACAACTTCCATCAGATCCAGCCAGCTTAGCCAATGGTTGGGGATGATGGGAGTTGTAGTCCAACAACATCTGGTGACTCCATGCTCTGTGCTAACTGGCCGTGGCTCTCCAGGATTTCTTTCTCAGTCCTGCTGGAGGTGCTACAGATTGTACCTGGCACCTTTTGCCCTATAGCAGGGGTGGCCAGTTCTCAAGAGACTGTGATCTACTTTCAGAATTAAAAACTGGCAGTGATCTACTGGGGGGTTCAGCTCAAAGTTGTTGAGCATTTTTAGGGAGGGGGAAAGCCCTGGTTTTTTTTTGGGGGGGGGGGTAAAAAAACGAAAGCTCCGTCTTCCCTTCCAGAGATCATACAAGAATAGAGGGTGGGGCAAGGGGGCGGGGCAGGAGTAAGTTTTAGCGATGCGAAGGAAAGGGAGCCAGGGATCGACCATGATCTACCAAAACCTTGTGGGGATCTACCAGTAGATTGCGATTGACCTGTTGGACATCCCCGCCCTATATCAACAGAGTCCAGAAGAGGCAGCATTTTCTAAATCCCAAGCATCTCCAATGGCCCAGTAAGAATTTACATTTTACATCTTCAAAAGAACCAAGATAAAGAAAAAATGGTATTAACTGAGGCTCGCAATAACACTTTTAAACCTGTAATTATTTATACTCTGCAGATTTGGAAAGTCTATAATTACTTCTTAAGTTCTTGCCAATGTCTAGCCTATTTCATAATTGCCAACACAGGCTCAATTGAAATGAATTAGCCACAGTGTTAAAATCTGTTCTGCATTAGCTTCTGTTGGAACAAAAGTACACATCTCCAAGATGGAAGAGGAGGGAACTCCTCCAGGTTAAGACCCCCTCTAGTGGGATTGTCAGTTTCTCTGGACAATTCTGTCACACTTCAGAAAATAACAACAAGGTTATTTATTTATTTGTATATATTATATATTTCCCTTCATCATACGATCTCAGGGTGGTTCACAGATTTCAATGCAGCCCGATTCAAAATAGCCCACAATATTATCTGACACCCTAACTGCTCTGGGTGGTAAAACCAAAGAATAATCACTTCAGGAGTTTCTAATGCTACAAAGACTGCAGAAGGCTAAAGGTTCTCAAACCTCCTAATCACAGAATTGTAGAATTGAAAGGGACTGTGAGGGTCATCTAGTCCAACCCCCTGCAATGTAGATAATAAATGACAGGTGGCCATCCAAATTCTGCTTAAAAGCCTCCAAGGAAAGAGAGAAAGAGAGTCTAGCACCTCTCATGGGAGTCTCTTCCACAGTCAAACAGCTCTTACTGTCAAAAAGTTCTACCTGATGTTTAGGCAGAATCTTTTCTTGTAACTTGAAGCCATTGGTTCTGATCCTGCCCTCTGGAGTAAGAGAAAACAAGCTTGCTCCATCTTCCATGCTTGCTAAAGATACTAAAGATTACTCAATTTGCAGCAGGCTCAGAACTGAAAAGAGGAAGCACTTTGTCATTCAGCAGACAATCAACTTGTGGAACTCCAAATTAGTTGGATTCAGCTCACAGAAAGATAACTGAAAACAATACGATATAGCTAAAATTTAAACAAAAAACAACAAAAATGGTGCCACCACTGAGAAGGTCCTGTCTCTCAAGTCCTGCACACACACACCATCTTACTGGTAGCTCAGAGGCCAATCGTAAAGGCTGGTTAAGAATCCTGGCATTTAAATTAAATTTAGCAAAATATCAAACATAACTCTTATTGTATTGGTGATGTAACTAAGGCCCGCCCCATCTCTTTCCTGTTTCTAACAAGTCTTTAAGCATAAAAGCATGAAGTATGCACATTCTGCCAAAGTGGAGCACAATATATACAATTATCTGCCCACTTTAAAATGGTGGAAGGGTGATAAGGGATTAAAAAAAGAGATAAAATAATGATTTCCTAATTATCAATTGCTTCTGTTTAAGCCACTATAAAAAGAAACGAATTGGGTGAATGTTGGGAAAGTTTAAGAAGACCCCATTGTTCACAGTGGATAGCTTTGGCCTGTTATATAAGAGGTCAGTGTATGTCACCTGGTTGCAAGCAATTATAGGGTGCCACAGATAATTTGTGGGTTGACACCCATCAGCAGTTGAACAGCTGTTGCCCAACTCTAGTCAAGCTCATGAGATATGATGGGCTAGTCCTTCCAACTATGCAAAAACTAATTGCACCACAGAGACTCCATCCATAGACCTGCCTGGGATGCCTGGCAAATGGGACAAGGCCATTTAGAGCTGCTTACACACATTGTATGCTAGAGAGGCAACACTTATGCTAACATCCCTATAAAGTATCCAACCATATGCAATTTAGCCTGGATTAGGACAGGGCTAATTGCTCTCTGCCCTGCTAGGATGATGTAAATTTAATCCAGGCCACAGGTTCCTGAAGTACAAAGTGGGCTTTCCCTGGGACCCACAAACAGATGCTACACTCCAACAGGCCTTTCCCATAATGCATCTTAATCAGCGCTGAGGCTTAATGGAGTAACCATCCATCATTTTTTCCGGAGTCTTTTTTGTCCTGGCTCCCTGAAATACTGCTTCCTCACTTCAGTGATGTTCAAAATGGGTTCTGCTGTAGGAGAGTTTAGACAAACCTCAAAACTGTGACTTTGGCTGAAGTTTGCACTTGGGTGCACTTGAGGCAGAGCTCAAAAGAAAGAGCAGCTCCCTCTTGGGCTTCATCACCAGAGCAGGTATTTTGCACTTCTGTCAGAACTGTAGCACATAACACTGCTCCCAGAAAGAAAACAATAATAATCACCAGCCTCCTGGACTGGACTGCTATTCTCCCCCCACTTTGTGGCCAACCAAATGCCTCTGCGAAGCTCAGAAGCAGAATTACTGGAGAACGAAACAAATAGTCTTGCAGCACCTTAAAAAGCAGCAAGTTTTTTACAACATAAACTTTTGCATTTACAGTCCGCTTGATCAGATGCACAAGGTGTTATCCTGAGTATATGGCATGGGGTCCTTGGGGTGAGGGGAGGAGAATTGTAAAAAGTGAGGTCAGATGAAAATAAAATGCAGAAAGTACAGGCAGTGAGAACCATCTGATTAAATAGTTATCTTTCACACAAAAAACAGTTGTTAACACAGACATCTAGGCACAGGGGAGGGGGGCAATTAACAAATGTTGCGTGATTAAAAAAATACCCATACTTTTGTCTTGATTTAGTCCTCAAGAGATAGCACTATACCTCTTGATGAACTGTATTCCAGCAGCAGGGGTGCCAACTTGAATAAAATATTGGGGAGGCCCAGGTAAACCCCGCCCCACATAATCACATGATTATGCCATTTGAATGGCAAAGCCCATCAACTTGGGGGAAAGTCAAACATTTTACTGGGGAGATCAAAGGGACCTCAGCCCCCAGGAATTGGCTCCTATGTCCAGCGGGTTTGACACGGCAGTCTTCCTTTGAAATTTGTATGTTCCAGTATGACAACTTGGTCAGTGGTTCAACGCCCTGGGAGATAGAAAAGTTCCTCCACTGGGTGTTTGGATACTGCAATTTCTGAGGTCAGATTTGTGTCCAATTATTCTTTTTTATCAACAGTGACCTGCAGAAAGGCATTCTAATAGAGATAAAGTAACAAAGAGAGGCTTCTCGGTTTTCCAGCCAACCAGTATAGTTCTCCTTGTTACATGCAAACATTTCAAGGCAATCATGCTATGAAAAACTTCCCCAGTCAATTAAAGGCCTAAGAGCAAACAGGTGTTTTTCTGATCAGTTGTTAACCCCAGATGGATGGAACCACCTCTCTGCAGCTTGCACCAAACAGCAAGCAAATTTGATACTGTTGGAAGGGAGGAACGGTTCTGTTTGTGTCGCAAACACCTGTGAGGGTTAGCAGGGACCCAATGGCCTTTAGAATCCAGCATCCTTAAAGGGAAGCAGGATAGTGTGCAGAACTATCAATTGCTGGGCTAATTTATCAAGGTGTTATTTATATAATGCAAGATGAATTTGTTTCTATTGAAGACTTAGTACAGGGTTTTCTTTCTCTTTTTAAAGATAGCTTCAGTTGACATGACAACATTTTCAAAAGCATCACCTCCTGCACAAATACAACATCAGTCAGAATAGGTAATACCAAGCATAATGATGGTATTCCAAAGGCATATGAGACAGAAAAAAGCAAACAAATAAGAAAACGGAAAGATCTTGACATGTTATTTAGATGCCTTTGCACGGCTGCAGCTTCTGCGACGCCTGATTTCATTCGGCTAGCAGCAACATTTCCATATGAACACAGCCTCCTCCAGCAAATATAGTAGCCAAACTCAGAAGGACAATACTGTGCTGGCAAACAGCCATAAAGAGAGAATGAACTTGCCTGCCCTGTATCAAGTATCCTGGTAGGAACATAATCCTTTCTCTGTTCTGCAAATATCTAGGCATGGAGGGCAAATGAGGACATGTCTTACAAGAGGCCAGAGGCTACGCAGCTCTCTCGAAGCCTGGGTGCAAAGAACTCATTGCCTCGATTCTTTGGGTTCAGAAAAAGGTGCGGGGCCAGACCAAATTTACTGTGCTGATGCTCCTTCCTCTTCAAGAGAATTCACGGTGCTTTTTGAGAAAGACATCTGGCACAGAACCTCTAATTTATATCACCACAATCATCAGATGCCTGACACTGGGGAAATGTTAAATGAAACAATTACATTTATAAAACATCTGTTCTGAATCATTTAAAAAAATAAAAGTTCTTTTTTGAAAAGACAACAACTAATTTTAGATGGTGAAATTATAGGCAAAGATATACTAAGCTTCATAGCTTTTATTTCATTACACTTGGAGATTTTGTTTGTTCAAGTCTTCATACATGAGAAACAAAGATCTGGAGGGATCAAGGTCCAAACCAAGATGTCCACAGCAACAGCTAATGGAAGATGCACCACAAGATGGCCAGGCAGCTCCACAAGATGCCAGGAGGAGGTTTTGAACTGACACTTCAATTTGCTTTTATTCAGGGAATTTCCCACAAATTCTTGTATAAACAGACACAAGAATAAAACAGAAGCAAAAGCTTTAGCAACAATAAAAAAAACCCCACACTAACAAACAGCACAATCCTTCAAATGCCTGGGAGAAGGAAGTTTTTACCTGACACCAGAAGGATGTTAATAATGATGCCAGGCAGATCTCACTGGGGAGAGTATACCATATGTGGGGAGATGAAAGCCTGAGGGTCTTAGGTAAAGATCAAAGTGTCTGGGTAGGTTCATATCAGGAGGAGAACTCTGAAAGATATTGGGGTACAGGACCAGCACTTGAAACTGGGCTCAGAAATGTACAGTAAGTTAGTACAGCCATGCCAGGACTGCTGTCCTATGACTGGCTAGCCTCAAGCCTACCAGCAAACCAGGCAACTGCATCCCGCACTTGTAGCAATCAGATATTGACCTGACCAGAGCCCAGATTCCCGCACCTGGGTTCTCTCCGTCCAGAAAGGTTCATAGTTGGGTCACCATTCTAATCTAGTGGAAGGATCCCTGTGCCACTGAAGCCACCTTCTTTCTCAAATGACAACAGTGGATCCAGAAGAGACCCCATACTATGAGACTACAGTGGTACCTCGGGTTAAGAACTTAATTCGTTCTGGAGGTCCATTCTTAACCTGAAACTGTTCTTAACCAGAGGTACCACTTTAGCTAATGGGGCCTCCCGCTGCCACCACGCTGCCAGAGAACGATTTGTGTTCTCATCCTGAAGCAAAGTTCTTAACCTGAGGTACTATTTCTGGATTAGCAGAGTCTATAACCTGAAGCGTCTGTAAGCCGAAGTACCACTGAACTCCTTTAGAGGAAATGTGGCCCCATCTAGAACAGGCTGCACCCACCCACCCCTAAACAAAACACTGAGATTAGGAGTACATCCTTGAAAACAATCTAAAACACCATTCCAGCCTGTGGGCTTTGCATTTCAAGGCCAAACTGCCCTGGAAATTTTGCATTTTGAAGGGCAGTATAGAACTATTTCAAAGGGTGGGGGGAATGCGCAGTTAAAGAGGAACATGGAGGGCAGCACCAAAAAGAAAAAGCAATCGATTACAGAGAGGAAAGGACCTCAAGAGGCACCAGGAAGCAAAATGAGTGCACCATGTTCCTCAGGAGCAACAGTTCAGAAGAACTAAAGAAAAATAGGCAACCAACCTAAATGGCTTTAGATGAGGATTAGAGAAATTCAAGGAGGAGAGGGCTATCAATGGCTCCTGGCCCTGATGGCTGTGCTCTGCCGCCACAGTGCAGGCAGTCATGCTTCTGAATATCAATTGCTGAAAGCCACAGGAGGAAAGAGGGCTCTTGGGTTCAAATCCTGTTTTCTGGTTTCCCACCCGCATCTGGGTAGCCATTGTGAAAACAGGAGCTGGACTAGAGGGGCCACTGCTCTGATGCAGCAGGTTCCATTCTTATTTTCTTATCCATGAAATTACAGAGTATTTATTATTATTAAATTAAAAACAGGGAAAACAGATTATAGTCAGAGGAGCTGGATATGTTTATGCTGCAGAAGAGACGATAGAGAGGGAATATGATCGCCATCTTCAAATACCTGAAGAGCTGCCACATGGAAGATGAAGCAAGCTTGTTTACTCCGGCTCTGACGGGTAGGACTCAAACCCAGGGCTTCAAATTACAAGAAAGGAGATTCCGACTAGACATCAGGAAGAACTTTCTGACAGTAAGGGCTGTTTGACAGTGGAACGATCTCCCTCAAGAGGTTGTGGACTCTCCTTCCTTGGAGGTTGTTAAGCAGAGGTTGAATGGCCCTCTGTCATGCATGCTTTAGCTGAGACTCCTGAATTGCAGGAGGTGGACTAGATGACCCTTGGGGTCCTCTCCAACTCTAAAATCCTATGATTCTATGAAAAGTGTGAGCCCTGAAAACACATTATCTCGGCTGTCAAAGGTCAGGGTAAAGAGGTGTGACTTTAGCATTCACTGAAAGCTGTACAAAGAAGGTGCCAGGTGCGCCTCTGTGGGGAGGGAATTTCACGGCTTAGGGGCTGCCTCAGAGAAGGCCCTACCCCACTCTCTACAAGCTAACCGAGGGAGGTGGAACTACTGAAACATCCCCCCCTCACCAACCCTTGCTGATCTTAATATCTGGGAAGGTCTGTGTGGATGTACAGATTTGCAGAGAGCTGCCGGCAGAGGGAAGACCCAAATTCAGACCAAGTTGCATTCTGTTGCCAGTATACATGATTGCAGTTCCCTTCTTCTGCAGAATTCACTCTGCTTCTACTAGCCAAGACGAAGATAGAAGATGCAATGCGCTTAAAGTGCACCCTGGCCACTGGAAACCTACCCTAACCCTAACGCTTCCTTCTGACTCCTGAAATCACATCAGTCATCACCCATACATTTTTTTTCCAAGCATTGAAGCATTAAATACTATATTGGCTTTTTGGCCTTCCCCAATCAGCTTGGAGAAAGCTGATTCAATAGGCCACATTACCTGCACCCCTCAGCCCAAAGCCATGACATATACATAGGGTTGAAAAATGTTCAGGGTTTGTTTGTTTGTTTGTTTTTGCACATGCTCAGAGAGCAGGCAAGCACATCAATTAACCAGGTGAAACTTCCCCCATCATTTGTGTCCATGCCCAGAAGCGTTGCCTGCTTCACTTCTGTGTGCTGGGCTGTGGGAAAGCGTTGCTATGCCTAAAATAAATATTTTAAATATATGTAGAAGATTGACCTAGCAACTTCCAATTCTGCTCATTATCAAATGATTTGGCGATCTCTGAACAGAGCAGAATTTTGACCGACCATCTGCCAGAAGCTATCTTAGTTCTTATTTCTAAAAAAGTGCTTTGGATCTCAAATTATTTATTTGGACCATAATATTTTGCAGACATTTGAAAGAGCTTATTCATCACAAAAAGGGAAATCATTCTCAAGACTTGGCTGCTATTGTGCCAGATATACACATCAACACTTTCTTCCCCTTAAATAATTCTTCCCCTTAAATAATTTGCAGCCAAGACAATTATTAGAAGTAGTCCTTCTATATGCCAGTAGAAGTGGTTTGATCACTTTCTTCAAGGGAAAAAAACCAGAAAGTTGGTTATGGAGAACAGAAGACTGTCTGGAAACAGTTTATGGCCTCCAGGTCGGCTACGGATGTCACTGCATTTTACTTACACTAAGCTGCCACCTTTTAGTGGGGAAATGTTGGGTCCCAACTGCAGAGGTGGCTTTCCTGTACCACAGACAGTGGGTCTGGGATCCCATTAAGGATCCATAATGGACGGCAGGCGGACTCCACCCACAATCAACTGCAAAATTCTCCTGCACAAGCCCTATTGGTGTGGATGGACGCAGTGCAAGAAAACAGCACTGGGCATTGCAACCTAGGCCAAAGACAAAATTAAGCTGTGTTCTGTGCAGTGTTCAAAACTCCCATCATTCTAGGTGCATTTTGTGACAGGGAATTTCATTAGCGTGAGCAGTTTCTAAGCTTTGAGCGCAGTACTGGGCCTAAGATTTCAGATTAGAACTGCAGAGTGGAAGAAAAGGAAGAACTTTTTCTGCTTCCCCACTTACAGCTACTGTCTGAAGACTGGAGAAGAGACCCTCTTATAATATTAGGGGGGTGGGCAGGGGAAGGACTGACTATTTGAAAAATGAACATAATACTTTAGTTGCAGTTCATTCATTTTTAGCTTTGTATTCTTGTTATAAAAAAGTGCACCTAGACATTCCGTTGTTGTGCCCATAACCTCGGTTTAAGGTGCCATTTAGTTCCTAGCTTTTGTATTACAGTTTCTAGCACTGGTTCTGTGGTTCTGCGCGCCATATATATTTGTATACCTTATTTCATGCTTTTAAATTCCTGGCATAAAGCAATTATAACCTTGGCAGGTCCAGAGTACTTTGTAGGGATTATAGATAGATAAGATGATGATGATGATGGTTGTTGTTATATCAAGTGGGTGGCAGCCAAGAAAGGGCCTTTTCACTGGTGGCACCCAAATTCTGGGCCTCTCCCTCAAGCCTAGTTTGACTGGTCATTTTAATTGCCATCTTTTAGCCACAGGGCAGGTGGCCCTGTTGCCATAGGCTTCTAGTGGCATTCAGGGGCGTTTATAGCTAGTTTTAGCTGCTGCTGGCCAAGGAATGAGGCAGTAAAACCTCCATTCATTTCAAGAAAGCCTTCGAGGGAGCAACTCCCAAGCCACGCTGTAATGAATGGAGAACACACAGCGGCAACACTTGGCAAAGCACCACCCTAAGAAAAAGGATTGGTTACATCAACCTTAGAATTAAAACAAAATTGTTCTGCTTTGAGATGACGTCTCAAAAAATAGAAGAGCAGGTTTCCCCCACAAAAACGCCTTAAGTCTTGGCCTGCTTGCTAGAACGGAATTTGGTTGAGATGGGAAGCTTTAAATTTTTTACTAATCAAGTGAATTCAATTTGCATGCTAAACAGAAGGGACTTTGGAAAGGGGATTTGAAGAATCCAGTGCTATCCTTTCCAAGAGTTTGTCTTTCCAAGATTTAAGTCAACAGAGTTGCCAGATTCTTGCCAGGGAGATGGAGTAAACAATTTTGCTAAAACTTTTGTTTTCCCCATCAGTGTATCTTAAAAAGGAAAGGCTTGACCCAAATCCCAAAGCACCTTAGCTAGCATGACACAAAGTAGATCTTCAAAAGGGGAAACATTGTTCTTGCAAATGAAGCAGCGACTACCATTCACTCGTTTCAAATCCTTAAGAAATTAGCATACTTGATGCACTGAATTATTGGGAAAAAACTTGCGGGACACTTGTGCTCTTTTGTTGACTCTGGGCACCCTATCGCTTCCTATCAGCATCCCTTTTCTTCTTGGCTGCCCTCACCACCCTCAGCCTCCTTTGCCTTCACTGGCCTTGGTGACCTGCTTTGTTTGCAAGCGTCCATGAGGTCATCACATAAAATGTAATATGGCACCCACCCAAATGATGTGACTTGCGGTGACCTGATGGAACAGCAACGAGGGAAAATGGGAGAGGGAGCAAAAGGACAGTGATGGCAACCAAGAAAAAGGTCATAGAGAAGCCACGTAGCCAAAGCGGCAGCGAGCCCTGAAATAATCCTTGTATGTTTACGGGTATGTTTGCAAGAACCGTAAGAGGAGGAAGAGATGAAAATCTCAACACTCATGAAAATAGTCACAAAGCTGGACAAATTGTTTCAACTCAGCTCCAGTTTCAATCTTTTTGAAAATCTGGGAATGGAAGGAACTAGGAAGTAATGGATCAAATACTTCAGAACATAAATACTGCCCTTGTGAATATCAAGTGGGTTTGGATATGGAAGAAAAGCTCCCCCTACCCTGTCCCAGGAGACGGTGGTGGCGCTGTGGGTTAAACCACAGAGCCTAGGACTTGCCGATCAGAAGGTCGGCGGTTCAAATCCCCGCGACGGGGTGAGCTCCCGTTGCTTGGTCCCTGCTCCTGCTAACCTAGCAGTTCGAAAGCATGACAAAGTGCAAGTAGATAAATAGGTACCGCTCCGGCGGGAAGGTAAACGGCATTTCCGTGCACTGCTCTGGTTTGCCAGAAGCGGCTTAGTCATGCTGGCCACATGACCCGGAAGTTGTACGCCAGCTCCCTCGGCCAATAAAGTGAGATGAGCACCGCAACCCCAGAGTTGGTCACGACTGGACTTAAATGGTCAGGGGTCCCTTTACCTTTACTTTACCCTGCCCCAGGGAGGAACCTGGCAGTCGGCCCTGCCCCTGTCGCATGCTCCCTTTCCCCATGAATCATGCCCGACAACAGTTTCAAGATATCACCCCACGGTGGAAATTAGCACATCAGTGTCTGCACAAAAGACACTTCACACAACTCCACTGTCCACCACAGAGTGTGCTGATGCAACCACCACCACATGCAGCTGCACGTGAGACTCAACTCTGGAAGGCATAAACATGCAATCAGCATCCGCCCACAAGGCCAGGCAGCTCCATGCTCTTGAGCTTTGCTTAGTAGATGGGTGGCACAATAGTCCCGCCCATGGCATGTGTTCTTCCACCTGGGTCTCAAGTACAAGGCGGCTACAGAAAGTCACTGTTGCATAAATCCCCAAAACCCAAAACCACTGCAGCACCGTGGCTAAGAAGCTGGGCTGGGATTCAGAAACCATCTCACTTTTGACACTGGCCAACCCACACTCTCTCAGCCATGGTCCAAACAAGACCTGATGTTAAATGTGCCTTCATACTTTAAAAAGAAAAGAAAGAAAGAAATGGCAGCTGCTGGCATGTGTGCGTGTGATACTTAGCTGGATTGCAGCCAGTGCTAGGAGTGGGGAGTAAAATCCCTTGTTGCAATTTTGATGAAAGCCACTCCTCCAACACTGTGATTTGCACTGAGAAGACAGCTCCCATTACTGTCAGTCCCTCATCTGAGAGGGAAGATTTGCCCATGGCTCAGGTGCGTGAGCAGAAAGTTTGCTGACAGGTACGGAACTGAGGAGGCCTGTGCAACTTTGTGGGATGCCAAGCTGGGTGCAGCCCCCAGCAGCTGGGTCGTGGTTTTGCTACCTTCCTGGGAAACAACAACACATAAATGGGAGCAGGGTTGATCTTAAGCTGCTGGCAGGTTTCATTCGCAAGTTGCAGAGGCTGGTTCTTTAAAGTTCAGACACTTGTCTATTAATTTAAATATCAGATCAGGAAATCTGTATTTTTCTCTCTCTTTCCACACCCACACCGCGCACTAGGAAGGCTGAGTCAGCAAAAAAAAAGAAACACAGATGCCTGAGTTTCCATTCTGCAAAAAAAAGGCAGCCAGTGTGGGCTTTGGTAGTGTAGGAGCCAGACATATTTGGGCTGACTCTCGCATAATATTGGATGGAACAGTAACTAAGAAAGCATGCAAACAGGAGCTTTGGGGGGAAAGGCCTCAGGGATTTTTGTGCATGCATTTTTTTTTATTTTTTTTTTACAAAACTTCCACATGGACATTCAGCAGCCGTCTGAGATCTCCAGAGAGATTTTTAGCATTTTTTAAAAAAATTCTCTAACCCGTAATTGGGCCAACAAACCAGGTCTAACGTGTAGACTTATTCTGGGATAGCCTCCTCGCCAGCTGCACCAAGGGCAGACAACTGGGGCTGCATCTGGCAAAGGGCATTTGGAATCTGTCAAGTCTGAATTGTTTCCCCCAAGAAGCCCTGAAAGTCAGACAAATTTGCCCTGCTCTTCATACCACTGGCTGGAGGAGAGAACTTCAAGCCATGATGCTAAGATGATATCCCATAACCCATGTGGTCCTGGAAATCAGGTGGTCCCAGATGACATTCCATGCTACAGCTGCCAATATCTACTGGATTCCCTCCATATGATCAACTTGTTGGTGCTGGACTAATTCTCTGGGGCTCCTGGCTGCCTCCCAGCCCCAGCTAACCTAGGGACTCTCCAGCAGTTGTGGCAGAGCTGGCTCTCACAGTCATATTTACTGCTGCTGCTGCTGCTACAAAATTGATATCCCACCTTTCCTCCAACATGGTTCTCCTCACTTCATTTTATTCTCAGAACAACCCTGTGAGGGAGGTTGGGCTGAGTGCAAGTGACTGGCCCAAAGTCACCTAGTGAACTTCACAGCTGAGTGGGATTCAAACCCTGGTCTCCCAGTCCTCGTCTGGCACTCCTAACCAGTGCATCAAACTGCCGTTATTCCCCTATATGCCACCTTTTGCAGCATGCCACACCCAAGGCAGCTCACAATACAACATCCAATATCAACAGCAACAAAGCTAAGAATGGCACTGGCAACATTATAATCAAGGATTTAAACCACGGCTCCCCAGAAGCACATAAAAAGCCACTATAAAAAACCAAAGCCCACTATAAAATATAGCATCAGGATCAGGGCACTCCTTTATTGGGCCAAATCCCTTAGAAAAAAGTACTGAATTTTTTAAAAAACTATAGCACTGTAGCCACGCACACCTCTGAGGGGAGTGAATTCCACAATCTGAGGGCCACCGCAGAGAAGGCCCCATGTTTCATTAGTGAATGTGAATTCCTGGTGGATGTCATTCTTTGAAGGATGGCCCCTTCCACATATGCAATCCATGCCCTTCACGCCACAGCAACAACTGTGCCGGATTCAAGGTCTCCGCTCTCTTGCCTCTTGAACTGGGAGTTCCTGTCCAAACATGCTACAGGGGGAAAGGACAAGTGTTCCAAGCAGGGGTCATTTGTGCCAGCACTTGAGAGAATGTTGGGAAATGTAAGCAAAATCCCAACAGAGCGTCACTTCTTAAAGAAAGGATGCTGGAGCAGAAACCTACCTGGCCTGGAAGTCACTGACCCTCCATCAGAGGTGGGCAGGTTATGAATACTCAACAAGAGAGTATTGCTCTCTTATTGCTCTGGACATGAATGATTTCACAGATGTTTCAGCTCCAGAGTGAAGCCCCAGCTAAAACTTAAGCCCTGGACACCAAGGTAACATAGGAGAGGGAAATAAGGACAGCCAGACTCTGCAGAGCCAAGGCAGGAGGATGTAGTTTAGAGACTTTACGAAGGGAACCAAAAATGACTCAATTTCTCTCTCTGTGTGCTCAGGTTTGTTGTTGGCTTTCACACAAAGCCTCGAGAATAGCTTCAGAATCCCTTTCTTTAAATGCGTCTTTCCCTTTTGTCATAAGCTGAGAAAAAGGGGCCCATTTTCCAACTTTTTTTTATTTTTAAGGTTTCTGTTCTCACCCGCAGAGACCCAGCTGGTGAAACTCAGCTGCCTCCCTCCACAATTCTTTGTCCTGTGCCGATGCTTTGATGTATTTCCCTGCCACAAAGTGTGCTTTGCTCTCTTTGATGTCAAACTTTATGTGGCTTGATTACTACTAGCAAGATGACAATGCAGCCAGTCTTCCAAGTCCCCTCCTGTCTAATACAGCAGATTCTTTGCAGACCCTAGCTGTGTCCATGCAGATTTGCTTAACAGCACTCTGTTGTGACAGCCAAGCAGACATGAACTTTAGAAGGGGCCCCAAATGGCTCTGAGGGCCAATTTACACCATCCCCAGACTCAAGCAGCAAAGCTAGTCCTGGGCTATGCACCTAAAGCTGTGCATGTGTGAATGACTCTTTCTTCAATAGGGAACTCTGTGCAGATAAAAAAATACTGTCTTAGGAAGAAAGTTCAGCCCACGTGTCTCCCTTAGTATGCCACTTTTCTATGTGCATGGAGTGCCCCCACCCTGGCCTTTAAGGGAAGTAGTCAAACAAGCAACAGCCACTAGCAGGTTCAAGTGGTAAAATCAAGGAAAAGCTTAGATACTTATTTTATTGGATTTACATACCACTGAATATTTAAAGAAGAGAAGGATTTCAAGGCAGCTTTCAATGAAACACATTCCATGTAACAAGCAAAAAAAAGATCTACAGGACCAGCATCAAGAAGGAGCAAACCGGGTATAAGAATTAGCACCCCCACAAAAACTGCAAAAGAGAAGTTTTAATAGACAGGCACCTGGGACCTAGGGAGGGACACATCCAAGGGCAGAGGCCATGAAGGACTTTCCACACAGCTCCACAGTAAAGACCCAGACCCTATCCTCAGGGAGACCAGTCAGAATATGATGGAACCTGAAGCCAACCCTTCGCAGGTGGCCTTTGGAGAAATTCACTTCATCCTCCTTGATTATATTAACTAGTCCCAAGTGCAATAACTTTCAGCCATAAAACAACAGCAACACAGGCATAAAATTTGGGTGCAAAAGTGTTGAGTTTCCAAGCAATCTTCACTTCTTGTTTGCTGTGCAGCTCTGGTGCTTACACAGTGTGGGTGAGCTGACTGAAGCTATATCCCGAAATGACTAAAATAAAAATAGTTGGCAGGATCAATGTCCAGGATGAGGACAGAGGAGAGCTGGAATTCCCACTGACTGCTCCACTGCTAAGCTCCACTTAAGCAGCATGACTTGCAGTCAAGTCCTAAAATGATTCAGACAGACATTTCTGAATGTAAAAGGAAGATGTACTTTTCATTCAGATTTTCCAAGTACTGGCTTTTATGAAGCGTCTAACACAAACACTCACACTTTTTCCTAAGTAAACCTGGAGAGTCAAATCTGGTAGGGGTGTTTGTGTGCATGTCTGAATGGACAGGTGGCTGCTTTCAAAAACTCAGGGAAAATAATACAGAAGGTTTTTTTCCAAATAGAAAATGAGCTTACAGATTTGCAGAGCAGCAAAAGGCAATTGTTGCACACAACAATGTACAGGAACAACTTGCTGCTTTGCTACTGATCTTTGCAAGCTGCTCTAGGAGTCTTTTCAGCCTAAGAGCATGGTAAAAAATGTTTTAAATAAATAAACATAAAACTTATTTTTGGACAATAAACACCAGGTAACAGACCCCATAAATACATACTAAACATAGGAAAGGTTACAGAAGTTCCCAGTCCAGTGGCAACACAGAGCAGAAACAACTCAAGCAGCTGTTTGTTCCCTTCCATACCGCAGCATAAATTGAATTTATACTGGGCTAACTTAAGCTGGGCCAGCCTTCCCTGAACTGTTTGTGGTTTTGGACAACAGCTCTCATCAGCCTCACCTTAGAACAGGACTGGAGGGCACCAGGTTGCAGAAGGCTGTACTAGAGTGAGACAAGGGAGTCCTGCTCTGCTAAGATGAGATGATTTTGTCTTGCTAGAATGCAGACCTCCTACTGGACCATGTGGTTTGCAGTTGCCTGGAGCTCCCAAGATATTCCTGGAGATGGAAAATCAAGAATTGGGCCACCTTTGGGGAATCCCTGTTCAGAAGAACATCTAAGCATCTTCCAGCCTGGTGGGAAGACTGATCAGCGGGAAGCCGCCTGCTCAAAACAGAGGTCTGCCTTGCTTGATATGCTCAATACTATAAAATCCCCATGTCCTGTGCATTTTCAGTCACAGTGTCTTACCTGCCTTACCTGCAGGAAGAAGACCTGCATAGTCACAGGACAGGAAGGGTGGTGGTAAATGCAAGGCAGTTCTGACCACTACAGTACTGACAAGCCTTTATGCATATGATTCAGCTATGCTTTGTTTTCATAGTTATGTTCACACAGACTAAAGACAAACACTGGCCACAAATCAGAACACAAATCCATGGTTTCTGGGTTTCACAAAGCATGGCTTCCATTAACCATGATTAAGCGTACATTTGCACCCATAAGCCATGGCCAAGAAAACTGCCCCATCTTGCCAGCCTCTACTGGCATGGGAATGAGTTGGTCTCCATGTTGCAAACTGGTGCACACTTTCCAGGGGCAGCAGGGCTTAGTTTGGCAAGTTAAGCCCCACATGTAGGGGCTCTTAGTTAAGGTTAAAGCCACACACCATGGGCAGGCACTCCAAAGCATTAGAAGAGAAAGTGTGAACTCAAAAGTCTTGGTTTCCATTTCGCAAGGCTCAGACGGAGAACAACGAAAGACTTTTGAGAATCAAGAATCTTTCATCAACCACAACAGGCCTGAGAGGCGAGAAGAGCTTCGATGCGGCGGCAGAGGAGGTCCCTGAGACAGCTGCAGAACCATTTGCACAACACATTCCTCAGCTATAAATCTTCAAGCAAAAAGGCACATCCTGAAAGGAGAGAGTGGGCTGCTCACTTGATCATTTCGAGTTATCAGCTGCAATTGCTAATTGTAGTTTGGGAGATAAAAACTGTACCAAAAAGGTGAATGCTTTAAAGTTATGCTCTGACTGCCAAAGTAGAGCAAAAGGAGGAAATGAAGAGAACCTTTCAAATCATCCAGATTGGCAGATTTTATCATAATTTAGCCGACCATTTCTAGAAGTCTCTTGGACACTTATAGCTGGGCACAAAAAAATAACGTGCGTTTCTCTCCAGGCTCTGCCAGGAAAGGAACATTCAGAATCCATTTTTTTTTTCTTCCAAAAAGATAATGATATTTTTGTATTGTTCTAACAAATTGTTGATACAGAGACTGGGAAAGGTGGGGTTGAATGAGGCTTTGAAGAGTTGGGAGGGAGGGACTCCTGAAGGAGCCATGCCTTAGTGTGACCCAGACTGGTCTTGACAGTGAAGTACCACAAGGATGCAGCTGCTCTGAACATCCCATTCCCTTACTCAACTCAGAACTGGATTTATAGTTTGAACAAGGAATTGCAGTGTACACAGCTATGTGCCCCAAATCATACCATCTCAGGACCTGTCCTTTCAAGATGTCACCTCTCTGGCCACTGCTTGAGTGCCAAGACCCTGATGCAAATCAAAAGGCGGCCTGCAAGTTACACAAGGGCACTCTCCATTTCCCCTGCTCTCTTGAGTACATCCTGAATTTGTGGACATCCAATGGAGCTGAATGTTCGAAACTGCAGGACAGCTAAAAGAAAGAACCTCTTCACAGAGCACACAGTTAAACAGGACGCAGTGATGACTACCAACTTGGATGGCTTTAAAAGACAGCTAGAGAACTTCATGAAGGATAAGGCTATCAATGGCTATTAGCCACGATGACTGTGTTTGGCCTCCACAGTTGGAGGCAGTAAAGCTTCTAAATACCAGTTGCTGGAAGTGTCAAGAGAGGAGAGGGCTCTTGTGCTTGGGTGCTGCCTGTGGGCTTCTCCCAGGCATCTGGTTTGCCACTGTGAGAACAGGATGCTGGACTAGATGGGCATGGGTCTGATCCAGCAAGCACTCCTTACGTTCTAAATATTTCTTAATGGAATAATAGCACACAGTCCATTGACTCGTATCCTGATCCTACACCCAGGAGCAAGGACGAAACTGTGCCCTGTTAGTTCAGTGTTCCTTGCAGGGCTGTCTCCTGGGTTGACTGTTTGATTTGTCCAGTGGGTGGGGTTATCCTCGGTAGCAGAAAAGTATGACGCCTTGGAAGATGCAGGACAGAACGTGCACAGCGTCAAAGAACATTCCTTACATCTCCCATTTCACGAGGTAATCCCACCTGCTTCCCAAAAAACCACAAGAACAGCCTGGGTGCTGCCATTACCTAACATGCCTCTGAACTGCAGGTATTTCCAGACAGGTGTGTTCATTAATGTGCCATGAGAAACAACAACACACACACACCCCTCAGCCAAGGGCCTGATCCTGCCACATTACGCACACTCAAGAGTTTTCATTGACGTCAGTCAAGCCTCTGTGGGTGGAGTGCCTACACCAACGTGTTTTGGGGATATTTCCCCCCTCTCTCAGTGTTGCACAAGTTAAAACAGGCTTAACATTTTCAAGTCATGAAACTGCCAAGCACAGCAGTGAACTCACATAGCAGAACATGGTCTCTTTTGCTGCGAGTTCTTCACCGGCAACGGATCAGTGTCCACAGACATGGAAATCACTCAAGAGCTGAAACTCCTTGGAGACCACCAAGGGCTGGGTCAGAATGAGGGGTAGATCAGACCACTGGGAAGACCTCTGGCACAAACCCCTCCTGAAACGTGATCTTCCACTTCTTATCAGCCACAGTTTTTCATATTGGTGAAATTGGTAAACTGTGGTTAATATTAACCAATGGTTTGTTTGAAACATGGCCACTTCAGTCCATGCATTATGAAGGTGGCTTGCTTCAACACAGTCCAGATTAGCCACGGTTTATAGTTCAGATGTAACACTAAACTGTGGTGAATCCAAAATGGATTTGAAAGCCCACCAGCAGATTCCTTTGTGGTTGCACATGGATAGCTAGAACTGCCAAGACAACACTGGCATAGTCTTGTACAGTTTCACATTTCACTGCAAGGGAACTTATGGCACAGGAGTTCCCAGGGGTCTGTGCCCCACATCAGGGTGCATTTGCACTGAGTTTTGGTCCAAGGCACAGAATCATGAAATCAGATTGGGCCTTGATCCCCTGCTCAATGCAGGAAATCCAGAGACAGTGTCTGATACATGACTTTCTAGCCTCTGCCTGAAGATGTTGAAGGCATCAAAATCACTGGCTCTGTCCTGCCAAAAGGTTCTCAGATAGAAAGCAAAGACCCTTAATACCAGTTGCTGGATAACAACAGCAGGGGAGGGCTACATCTCTCGTGTCCTGTTTGCTAACTCCTTGTGGGCATTTATTGGGGGGGGGGTACTGGGTTGTTTTGTTTTAAATTTGTATTTTGTGTTTTTATATTGTGATTTTATGTTGAAACTACCCTGAGACCTGTGAGTATAGGGTGGTATACAAATTTAATAAAATAATAATAACAATAAAAATAGGAAGCTCTGGACTAGACTACATAGATCTGTAGTTTGACCCAGCTTGGCTCTTCTTACATTTGTAACCTTTGAGAGCTGAACTCCACAGGCTTCATGATAAGTGTGAGAGCAGTCCACACAGTAAAGGTCCACACTTAAATCTTTGATAGCACGGTTGGGAAAAGAATTCCTCAGTGAGACTCCAGGCCTTCTGGACTAGATGGACCAATGATCTAACAAACCACAAGGCAGCGTCAGCTATACATGTGGAATTGCACAGGGATCTGATGGCAGGGTTTCTTCTCTTTGGGCTCTGGGAGGGTCTACTCACAAGCCATGAGGACTCTCCAGTGCCCTCTCTGGCCATTTCCAGGTTTGAACTGAATTATTTATTTATTTCCTGGTGCCACGCACATACCGGTACATAGTTGCGCTTGAGTAGAATACGAGTAAGTTGGGGGGTGCTTGTATGCTTATGATTGCATGCTGTTATCACAGGATGGACAACTGCATGGGTATCCCTGCAATTTTGGTACCCAAAACACTAACAGGTCCCCAACCAAAAGTAAAACAAGAACAACAACACAACCCTCTGATCCTCTGAAATCAGCACAGATATGTGCTGAATGAAATAAAACTACAAGGAACCTGGATAGCAGAGCAGTCTGTTGTTACTTTTGGGCACACCTCCATGACAACATCTTGTCTTGCTGCTCAGTGACACCACCACTCAGTATTTGCATAAGCATTATGTCATAGCGCTTCATATACATTGTCTCCAGGTGGCCTTAGGTAAGCCACTCTCTGGCCAATCCTCTGCAGTTAAGGATTATTAGCGTAGCTTGAAGGACTTGGAACCTGCTAAAGGGCTATGCAAACATTTTATATTATTGCTATCATCACCAGGGTCTATTATTAGTATTAGTATTAGTATTATTTGTGTACCGCCCTTCATCTGTAGATCTTGGGGTGGTTATATTATTAACAACACCCAGTTCCACATCATCCTCACACGATCTCTGACTGATTAAGTATAAAACCTCAACAGGTCTTCAGGGGGGTTGACTAAGGAGAGCTGGGGGACAAACTAAGGTAGCTGGTTGCCCAGGAGTGTTTCCTCAGAGGTTTTCCTGGAGGCTGGCCATGATCACCGTGAGTCTAGCATCTGAGCAGGCCCTGAACCCATCAATGGGCCCTTTTGTTGCTGCCACTATTCCCCACATAAGAGCATAAAAGAAGAGGTTGCTGGATCAGGCCAATGGCCCATCTGTTCCAGCATCCTGTTCTGATGATGGCTGACCAGATGCCCCCAAGGGAAGCCCACAAGCAGGATTTGACCACAACAGCATTCTCTCCTTCTGTGACTTCCTGCCACTGGTATTCAGAAGAATGTCAGAGCCATCCTGGCTACTAGCCATCGATAGATAGCCTTAGTCTCTGTGAATTTATCTAATCCTCTTTTAAAGCCATCCAAGCTGGTGGCCACACTGCCTCCTGGGGGAGCAAGTTCCACATGCATGAAGAAGGACTTCCTTCCCTTGTACACAATGGTCCTGTTCATGCTTTATGAAGCAAGAAAAAGGTATCTGACATAAGGCTACCAGCTCACAAACCATCTTTGGTTATGAAGCTCATTTGTTTGAAGGAAGAGAGTTAACGGGTTTCTGCCTCCCTATTTTTATTTTAAGGCCACAGAAATTTGTATATTTCACTTTTGTTCTCCTTCATCTTCAGAGCAGTCATAAATAATTACATCTCCTCAAAACTCCAATGACAGCACCAAGAATAAATAAAACATCATAACCACCTAAACATATTTCTGCATCTCCCGCCGATGTATTTCAGTTTACCATTTTTAAAGTGGCTTTCCCCATTGCTTCTGGTCTGATTCTGTTGGAGCAAACCACAGAGAATCCATTCTTTCCCAGCAGCCAGAGGTCAGTGCAACACAAGAGGTATGGGGTTTTAGGAAGAGCAGGAAAGGTGCGGGGATCATAATTTTCACAAACCTATTTGCCAGGGAGACCTAAGAAGGCAAAAAGCAAAGGTAGCCAAGCTTCACTCTAGCATACATTTCAACTACAGCATTTGAAATGAAATGAAATGAAATGCCAGATAGTAAAAGTGTCACAAGTCAAAACTGAAGATAACTCAACACTGACATTCACAGTAATTGCAAGAGATCAGTTGTCCCCGATCATGGCATGGCAGGCGGAAAGATCTGCACCTAAATGCACTTAGCGAGCCCAGGCAAAAGCAGTGTATCAAAGACTACATCCCACAAAAAGCTTTTGCAGGGACCTTGACAAGTCATGCCACTGGCACCAGCATCTTTCTCCTCACCCCATCCATAGGCACTCCATTAAAACCCAGTCCTCTCTCATTGTTTCCATTTTATCAAGCAAGCCTGGCCCAATATATTTCCCATACATTAATACAGGAGCTGGCGGAGGTGAACAAGCCAATTGAAACATAGGGGATACATGCACAAGTGATGCCCTAGTGCAGAGGTTTTCACGGCTCCCTTGACCAACTGCATTCTTTTGCGGCACCCCTGTGGGTCTCAGGAGCCCAGTTATGTCACCCCTTGCCTGCCAAGCTGGCAGCCTCTCACCCTTTTTCAAACACCTTCCCTTGTGCAGTATTCCCTCAGCCTCCTCTCAAGAGTCCTCCAGGTAGCCGCAGCAGCCACCCCTGGTCTCTGAGACACCTCACCTCCTGGCAATCAGCACTCCCTGGCCAGCCCCAGAGCCACCATTCACCTGGGGAACTTGTAGTCAGGGCTGCTGCAGCAAACAGCTGTGGAAGTCTTTGGGAGGCAGGGATGCAAGAGGGCAACAGAGGGAGGGAAGGAAGGAAAGTGTGACAGAGGCCAGCGTTGCCCGCAGCACCCCAGACCAGCATTCAAGGCACTCCAGAGTGCCCTGGCACACTGGTTGAAAATCACCGCCCTAGTGCATTTCCCATTCATTTCAATGGACTTGAACAAAGTTACTTCCCAGCGGATCATGGATCATTGCTCAGACTTATGTGACTCTCTTTCTGTCTCCCTTAATAGCACCCCAAATCTGCAACCTCACTGTGGCAGGGCTGCACGGTGGGATCAGCTTTGCACTCCATGTTGCTTAAATAGCTCAAAGCTCAGAGGTTTCTGCAAGATTCCATTACTGAGCCACCCCGGCTGCACTAAGGCTGCAGTCCTAAATGCAGCTTCCGAGGAAGTCGTTCCCTACTAATGCAGTAGGGTCTGATTCCACGTCTGCCTGCTTGGGATTGGGACGTATTTTAGGAAGTGTTTCCAAACAGTAATAAATAAATAAATAAATAAATGAAATAGGTTAGCACAAGAAACTTCAATCTAATGTATGTTAAGTGACTTAATAACAATACCAGGAAATCTTTAAAAAACATTATTGACCTTAATTTATAAATCAGAATTGTGTAAGAGCTTGTCTAATGACAAATCCTAGGCATGTTGTGTTTAGTGGGGCTTGCTACCAGATGGACTTGGCCAGGAGTAAGTCCTACTGAACTCAATAGGTTTTACACCCAAGTAGACATGCAGAAGTTTGGGCTGCACTGCTAAAAAGAGACTATCAATTTGTTTTGTAATTTCTTGTTGCATTTGCTCTGGGATACAAGCAGGATACACACTGAGATACACTTCTTAAACTTATGCAACAAAATAAGACTTAAAATAACTACTCTGTGCCATATTTATACTGGTTTGCATCTTGATTCCACCCTTTCCAGGAAACCAGATCCAAGGTTCTAATAATGACTGCAGTGCCTCTCTTTCAGCTGATCAAACTTCTCCTACACCCAATGACAAAAAATGTATAGGCCAAACTAGACTTTAATGGAATGTTAACAGTCTTCATTTAGTGCTTTGCTTCATAAAAAAGCAACAAATATACCAATCTGTTTTCAGAAGAATCATCATGAAAAAACACACCACAGCCCCATCATTAAGTGCCCTAGTCAGAAAGAGAAATCTAGACGGTGTATTCTTTTCAGAGAAACAACACCATGAAAATTGTGTTACTTGATAATAAGGTATATGGCGTTTCTACAGAATTCACTATCAAGATGGTCACATTATTTCAATTTAGTTATTTTTTAACTATGCGAAATTGCAAAATCACTTTGTTATACTGCAAAAGAGCTAATTGAAAACATTCCACAAAAAGTTTTGCATTTCTTTCTCACACAGACAAAAATGCAAGCCTTCCGCTGGTTTTCTTGAAACCAAGGCAACTGAGGACAGACACTGACTGGGATTTTAAAAACCTCTGATTTTCCATGATCCAATCAAGGAAGGTCAATCCAGTTCTTCCTTTTAGCTCCTCTTTTAAAAATGGATATGATTCTAAAAACCGACTATTTTTGCCTGTGCTGGCTTTTCATAGCAGAATTCCAGAGACTTTGCAGAAGTCCTGCCAAATGGGATAAATCACATTTTAGAGACCAGACATGAGTAACACAGCCTGATCCATGTCCCCTGTGCAACTTTAGTCAATGTTACGCTGAACCTGTGCTACAGAGGAGGGGTTGAAAGTAATCTCTTCCCATTTAAATTTGTGGGGAGAGCATAAATTGCCTTCTTGCCTTTGAATAACAAGAGATCCTGCAGAGCCACAAAGGCTGACCTTTGACAGACATCTTGGCGGAGCTGAATTCAGAACAATAAAATATAATAAGTGTAAAGACTCTCTCACACTGGAAACAAAATCAACACAGCAATTGACAACAACTGATAAGCTTTATAGCTGGGGAAGGGACACTGTGGAGAACACGGGGTTAGTGCGGATTATGCCTGACTATTACCAAACAGCACAGAAGATGGCATTTTGGATTAATGGTCTTTTTGACCGGCATGCAAAGGGTTTCGCTCACAGCTGTCGGTCACAATTCTCCTTAGCCTAACATCTCCTTTCCCCAGCTTAAGGTAGTTATCCTCAAACACTTTCGTTCAGACCCAGTTCAGTTCCCTGCTATCATTTTCAGGCGACAAAGAGTTCCTTGCAACCCCAAAGCTTACCCACTTTCTGCCACATCTGCTGGTCCACTGAGGCTGTAGTCCTATGCCCTGTTTCCTGGGAATAAGCCCCACTGAAAACAGTGAGATTTATATCCAAGTAAACATGCACAGGATTGCTGCACCGCAAAATAGATCATCTGGCCAGTTCTGGGTCCTATCGGTCATTTTCAAATCCAAACCCAAGCTCATTGTGAGAAAGTAAAATATGAGGGAAATGGAAGGTAACCACAAACATGTAGCGCTGGGAGGAGAATTTGTTACTCTGCAGTTGGGCACATGCCTCTGGCGTACCTCTCCATCACCACAGAAATAATATGTGCTTCAAAGTTTCCCCTCAATTCAGTATTCTGTCTGTTCTGGGCGAGGAGAATGTTTCTGAAGCTACGCATCCCCTCAATATTTAACAATAGGCAATGATCACATCTAAAAGAACAATCACGTTTTAAAGACTTCAGACTTTGAAGGATAAATAAGTTACAGGTCCTTCTACCTCAAGTGCGCTCTCTTATCTGCAGAGTCTATGTCTGGAAAGTTGAGGGGGGTCCATGTGGCATGTCAAGTCCAGCACTCTGCAGACTTCAGACCACAACTGGGTTAGTGGCGCACAAAGACACACCAAATTAAGCAGACTCACTGCCCAGGGCAGACCGGCCCTCTCCAGGACGGGGCACCTGCCCCGAGGTCAGAGGCCCCTTCCGACGTTTCCGCCAACAGCCTCGCACCCCGAGCCAAGGGACGTCATGTGACGCCGGGGGCAACTTCGGGAGGTAGATTCCGAGCGGTTACTTTACGTAACGCAAAGGAGCCCTTTCGGATTCGCGGACCCGCAGTTGCCTCTCCCCGCCCCGTCCTGGCGCCCGGGTCGCCCCCTCGCCCCCCCCCCCCCCAGCCCGCGCCCGCCCGCCCGCCCGCAGGCACCGACCCGGCAGCGGCGGGAGCCGGATCGCGCTCGGAAAGCGCCTGGGCTGCCGAGAGCGCCGCTTTGCTGGCGGGTCCCGCGGAGCCGGAGAAAGCAGCGCCGCAGCCCGGGCGGATCGGGCGCCGCCGCGCGGCTCACCTTTCATCGCGGCGATCACCAAGCACAGCATTTGGCGGCGGCGCCTCCTGCGCTCTCGCGGGGCAGCGTCCGCCTCGTCAGCAGCGCCTGCCAGCAGCCCCGACCGGCCCTCGCAGCAGCAGCAGCAGCAGCGGCAGCAGCAGCCTCCGCCTCCGCCTCCTCCGGCGCGCCTCGGCCCAGCTGAGGCGCCATGTGACCGGCCCGGCCCCCCGCCCGCCCGCCCGCCCCGGCTGCCGCGGGAGGTGGGGCAGGGGGACCGGCGGGGCGGACGCTGCTCCGGCCCGCCTCCTCCTCCTGCTGGGGCCCGATCCGCTGAGCCGGCTCCCCGGCGGGCCTCCTCGGCACCAAGCGCCCGGACTTCGGGGCCACTTTCTCCCGAGGCAGCGGGCGCCGCACCCCGGGGATCCGGACTTCCCCCCGGGGAAGAGTTGGCAGTTTGGGGCCGCCTTCCAGAGGGCGTCTGCGCGTGTTGCCAGACTCCTCGCAATGGAAGGGAAGGCGATTTCTCGCAGCAGTCCTTTGTAATGGTTGTTTTAGACGCTTAAAAAAAAAATCCTAAAACATTTTGTTAAACATTAACCTTCGTCTGATTGAGCTGCGCAGAACCCCAGCTGGAAGGCCAGTCAGCGGAGGTTACTTTCGGGGAAATGGGCTTAGGGTCGTCATCAGCGTTTTGGCTTACTCTTGTGTCACACAGGGTGATCACTCGGAAGTCTCAAAGCTATTTAACATACACGCACAGTCGGGGGGGCGAGAAAGAGCTCTGACAGTTCCCTGACATTCAATGCACGTTTGCACTGAATGTGTATGACCCCCCTCCCCCCCCCAGTCCTGGGCGCTGCCAGGGGCCCCAATTCAGCTCCATGACTTCTTCTGCAGGAATAAGGAAGCCAAGTGGGTTGGCCGCTGAAACTTGCTTCAGCACTGGTGACGGTCCTCCAGGCCGTATTTCTGTGTCATGTATGATCTACAGTACCTGAGATTCCTCCACTGCAGGGCTTGGGCTAGGTGACCCTGAGGTGTCTTGCAACCCTACAATTCTCTGAGGGTAGGTGCCTAGTCTAGGGGGTGCAAGGTAGGCCATGTGGCAGACACAGCTCTTTCCTCCAGCAGAAGGAGGCAGTTGGGGCATAGGAAGAGTGAACCAGGGGTTCTCCCCCCTCCCGGTTACCCCCTTTCCTTCGGCTTCTTGTATCATCTCCCCTGTGGAGAATTTTACACTCTGGACAGGGACTTGGGCAAAGCTCATGGATGACACTGTGAAAAGAGTTTTCAGTATCAAGGCTCAGCTCCAAAATGGGTGAGAAGGAACAACACTTGGTGAGAAAAGGTGGGGCTTCCCAGCACCCGCTACAACCTTTGGAGGCCACCTGCTTCTCGGCCATCTCCTTTACCTGTTCAGTGCTTTCAGGTGTTTTGAAGCACTGCGCCAACCCACAGGCCCAGCTCAAGTCTGCAATAAACAAAACAGTGGACAGAACTATGTACCATAGGGCTATTTGCCATAGGGCTGGGGTGGCTGGCATTCACCAAGGGTGCAGGCCTGGGCTGGGGGCAAAAATTGCACCTCTCCACTCTGGCTTGCAGTGGCTAAGAACCTGCCTGCCCGCCATGCACTCCCCAGGCTGCTCCTCCACTGCTCTGGGCAGCCAACATCACCTTGCCAAGGGCACAGGGAGCGTAGGCATGTCTCTGTCCACATCAGCCCATCCATACACACCATTCGCATGTGAGCAATGCAGGCACCTGGACCCCCAGTTGCTTTTGCAAATGGCTTCATGGAAGACACACCCTTCAACACATATGCCCTTCAACACATACACCCTGCTTCCTGGTCCCACATGCAGATGCCGTGTAGTGGGCTGGAGTCATTATCGCCAGTGTCCTAGAGCCATCCAATCAGCTTTTTAGCTGCTGCAAAGAAGTCTTCTCACCCTTTGTGCTAATTGGAGCCAGTAAGTCCATCAGTCACAGAGGATCGGCTCCTAGGGTCACTCTGCAGATGGCACATGAAGAAAACACCAAGGAGGAGTTGTTCTACATGTGCCAAAGCTAAGCATTCAAGAACACTGATAATGCAAGGGGTGCTTCCGTTTCAAGAGAATGTTCCTCAAGTTGTTACTTGAAAGGCAACACATGAAGATCTGCATTGATGGTTATAATGTAGTCCTAATTATTATTATTGTATAACTGTAAGATTATTGAATAATTTTACAAGGCATGTGGGTGTGACTACGATGAAGGGACCTTCCACTTCTGATTCTGCCGCTATGCTGTTGGCGTGTGAATAGGCCAACATATGGTCTTGCCACACAGAGCTTGGACAGAGCGCAGTGTTGCCGGGTGAGGGGGTGTGCAGAGGGTGCCTGTCTCTTGCCCTCTGCACTTACAAAACCGAGTATTGTGTCTCTGCTGTGTTGTTACATAAAGGTAAAGGTAACGGGACCCCTGACCATTAGGTCCAGTCAGGCCGACTCTGGGGTTGTGGCACTCATCTCACTCTATAGGCCGAGGGAGCCGGCGTCCAGCTTCTGGGTCATGTGGCCAGCATGACTAAGTCGCTTCTGGCGAGCCAGAGCGGCGCATGGAAACGCTGTTTACCTTCCCGCCGGAGTGGTACCTATTTATCTACTTGCACTTTGACGTGCTTTTGAACTGCTAGGTCGGCAGGAGCAGGGACCGAGCAACAGGAGCACACCCCGTCACGGGGATTCGAACCGCTGACCTTCTGATTGGCAAGTCCTAGGCTCTGTGGTTTAACCCACAGCACCACCCGCGTCCCCGTGTTGTTACGTGGAGTTTGTCTATTATATGTTGAGTGGGAAAGAGTACATGGATGTGTCATTATGTTTGTGGCATGTATCTCTAAGAGCGGATAAGCGCAGGCCCGTCTGTTTCCCGTGGCTGCATATGAATGGCCCACAGCATCTGGAACCAGCCCTACTTGTACTTGCAAGCTGTTTAAGAAGAAGAGTGTCTCTGAGAATGGCACTCCTGCAAGCACAGCTCTTGCATCTGGGAACAGGAAGCAGGGCCTCCATGCTGAAGGGCATGTCTTCCACAAAGGAACGGCAAGCCTTTTGCAGAATCCATTTTTTTCGTATTTGGTTATTGTGTTTAGTTGCATTTTGCTGGCCTTGTGGGAGACGAAAGCAATAATTATTACATTTAAACTGAATGAACTACAGATGTTCTGGTCTCGGAAACTGTATTTTACTTTTGGCAAGTGCTTACATAATGGAGAAAGAATGAAAAGCGGGAGGGGAAAAGAAAAGGAGCAAAAAGCTCCCTGTCTGGTTACCTTGTGAGCTGCCTTCCTCAGGAAAATCCACATTTTTCTTCTCTTAAATATGAAGGAGACAACAGAGCAAAGGTTTAAAGGCATTTCTTGGGGCGGCAGATGTGCGCAGGAGTTTACCAGTTCTGTGAAGGGGAGTGCCATCTCTTAGATGGATTACAGATATCTATATATTTTGGAAAGCTGTTTGACTGTCTTTCTGCTTGTTATTGATACATTTGGACACCTCTTCAGATATCGCTACCAAATCTGTCATGATGGTTTCTGACAGTGAGGAGGAGATTATGATATGCAAATGTTATGCAATTCAAATAAGTCAAAATCAGTGACATTTGGATAGGTTTAGAATGCCATCTTGATTCAAAGTGTCATCCAACTGTAGCTAAACATAGATGAAAACTTGCTTCTTGATCTCAGGAGCCACTATGCCAAATTTGATGACAACATCTTAAGAAGTTCCCAATCAGTGTTGTTTTGACCGGTTTGGTCTGCTAGCTTGATTCAATGGCATCCAATGGCATCCAAACATATATAGCAAAATAATATAAAAATGAGTTTAAGATATTACTGTTCTTTGCATTATTTAGTGTAAGGACTAAGTGCACCATTAAAAAAGAAAAGATGACCAACTGAAAAACAAGAAAGTGTATAATCTGAAGCTCTGACTGAAGCGTATTGGGCAGGACTCTAGAAGTTTGCCTAGTAGGAATCTAGCTGTGTTTTATCTCTTCTGTGATGTTTCCTTTCCCTTCTCTTTAATTGGTTTGAAGTGTTGTGTGGTTAAGAGGTGAGAGACTGAGGTGAGCAGGTCAAATCTGGGGGGATCCCACTCTCTGCGGAGGTGGCTTTCCTCCTATTTTAATTCTTTAGAGATGCATCCAAATCAAAAAGCTATTAATATCTGCCTGAGGGTGAGGGGAATGTATTAGGAAGACCTTTATCTTCTGCTTAACCTTGCTCTGGTAATGGGAAGTGAGAGACTCTCACAAGATGAACCAGCAGAGCACCGGAATGATCAGCTGCCATGGCTTTTATGTGGCTTAGTGACACTATCAGCCCACAAAAAACTGATATATTTTTTAAAGCAAAATCATGAAGAGGCAGCCATAAGAAAGGAAGGGCTGCATGTCAAAGACAAAGACCTATATATGAAAACACACTGCTTGTAGATATTGCTTTTTCTGCAGTGCCAAGCAGTGCCATTTTTCTAGAAGGAGAGGTTGCTGGAACTCACCATGAACGCCTCCCTTGTTTTCCTGGAATGGCACTGGCGACCACCTGAGTGAGTTCCAGCAGAAGAAAAATAAACACCTTGGCAAAGACTATAATTCAATGAATGCTTTCTATGCAGAAGGTCCCAAGCAGCATCCCTAGTATCATCTTCGGGTAAAAGGATATCAGGCAGCGGAAGTGTTCAGGAAGGGACTTCTGCCCTGTATCTTGAGAGCATTTCATTATTTTCTTTATTCCATAAAATGTATGAAATGCCCCCCAGATGTTGCACTACCAGCTCCCGTGATTGCCTCCCTTCTTTTCTTTCAATGACAATGCCACTTTTACCCGAGAGGTGCCAGAACTGAGCTCCAGTGAGTTCCAGATGAAAAAAAGCCCTGGTGCTAAGTAATGATCATTACATATTTCCATAAGCGCTATATTCTGATATGTGGGGTAGGTATCCCCCTACCCCACATCATTCCAATTGTCTCTTTTGTTTTCCAGGCCTGCATTTATTCCTTTAAGGAGTCATCCAGACCTCCCTTTGTGCCACATTTCCAGGCACATATCTGTGCTTAAAAGCATCGTGTCCAATACCTTTTTTTCTTTTTTTGCCCTGAAGCTCCCCCCATGAAAACCTGCTCTTTACTGCTGAATCGGAGCAAATAGCAACCCATGGAAAACACAATTTGCCATTTGTTCCGATTCAGCTTTAAAGATTGCAGGGCAAAAGGTAAGTGTGGGTGAGCCCTAAATCAGGGATGGGGAACCTGGTGACCCTCCCAATGTTGGGCTATAATTCTCACTGTCCCTGACCATTGGTTGTGCTGCCTGGGTCTGTTCAGAGTTGTAGCCCAAGAACATCCAGAGAACCCCAGTGGAAAGCTGATCTAAGCATCTGTAAGATACCATGCAGTGTACAAGGAAGCCCAACAGGGGCAGTGAGTGGTCTGTGTTTGCTTTAGTGGGTTATAAAATTCCACCCTGGAAAATGGATTAGATTATCATCTGTCCAGGACTGCAGAAATAATATGAAGGGTCAATTTGCAGTTAAAAGGGTTGGGGGGGGCATGGTGTATGTGAACACGATGCCTAACGTCTCCACCACTATGAGCCTATGGTTGCCTTGCAATAGCTCAGCAACGCAGTGCCCTGACATTTAGATGCACCAAGACAACAAACTTGAGATTCAGAAGGGGTGTATGTGGGGGGGGGGGGGAGAGAGAGAGAGAGAGAGAGAGAGACTGGCTTCATGTATTTTAATGCAGGGTTAGCTCACCCTCTGCATATCCTTATGACATGGCAAGGCATGTCAGGCCATTGGTTTGAGCGGTGTCACAGCCCATTAAGTCTTCTCTGATTGTCAGATGTTTAACCTTAAGGTACATAGCTTTGAATTATTATTGATCAGTATTTGTTTCCAGCCCGGATGAAGAGAAAATGGTAATCAGGGATGACATCTGATGCAGTGGGCTGTTTGTGGCAGTCAGTCTCCAATAGATGCAAACGCATACACAGACGTACAGTATATCTAAAGAAGATACTGCCACCAGCATTTTAAGTGGACAATATGGTGCCTGCTCTTGACCATTAGAGCTTTATAGCTCCCACCTCACCCACAAAGGAGGACCTAGAGTTTTTTTGCTTGCTTTTTAAACAAGCAAGAAAACAAACAAACATCCCTTAGGGAGGAATGCAATGTTGCCTTGGCTTTGAGTTCCTGCGAGGGTCAACTGATTAGCCATCCATTGTTGAACATTCCATGGTGCCTAGGACGCCACTGTGCAGATGGCAGATTATCCTTTCTTCCACAGTATTGTATCCAGGGCTTTTTTTTAGCCAGAATACATCGGAAAACAGTTCCGGCACCTTTCCCCACACCATGCCCTCTGGCTCACGAGAAGACTCTACCCGGAGTGCAAAGAAGACATCCTCTATGGGCTCTGGAGAGGGTCTTCTCATGCCAAAGGCACAGCAGGGCTTTAAAGAGGCTCTTCAGCCACCCAGGCTAACAGATGACTTGTGGGAAGAAACCTTCCTGTGTGTCAACTCTGCAAACTGCCCTGCCTCTCCAACTCGTGCATGCAAGCAGGAGGGACAGGGCAGCTTGCAGAGCAGACGTGCAGGGAAGAAGCTTCTCTGCACATTAGCTCTGCGTGTCCACAGAGCAGCCCTCCCTTTTCCACTGGCGAGGAAGCAGGAGGGGCAGGGCAGCTTTCCTGCACCTTTGTTATAGGGAAAAAAGCACCGATTGTATCATTTGTTAGCAGCAGCTGGAGCAAGCTTCCAGTGTAGCAAAGATTCTCCAGCTGGCCACCAGCTAGAGCTGCAGGCGTCCCCAAAGAGGAACGCAAGGAGGCCTCAGGGGCCAACAGCATTCAGTTCAGGGAAAGGCAGGAGGCAGTTCTCCTGGATTCAGCTAGCTGAGAAGACTGGTGCTGCTAAAATTAGGGGCAGGAGTGCAGTGATATCAGGGTCTTGAGGATGTTCACTAGTTCTGGGGAAAGAAGTTCCCAGATGGACACAAAAATGTATTTAGCAAGCCCTGAAATGTACTGAAGAATGCTACCTGTGTGTTATTATTTATTGTCTGCCCTTCACCAGCAGTCCCAGGGCGGGTTACAACAATTTGCATTGCAAAACAGGGACTAGACTAGATGACTCTATGGGGTATCTTCCAACTCTACAATTTCCGATGCTGTAATTTCCAATGCAATAATTTATAATGTTGTAATTGTAATTTAGGGACGCGGGTGGTGCTGTGAGTTAAACCACAGACCCTAGGACTGGCCAATCAGAAGGTCGGCAGTTCGAATCCCCGTGATGAGGTGAGCCCCCGTTGCTCGGTCCCTGCTCCTGCCAACTTAGCAGTTCGAAAGCACATCAAAGTGCAAGTAGATAAACAGGTACCGCGCCGGCGGAAGGTAAACGGCGTTTCCGTGCACTTCTCTGGTTCGCCAGAAGTGGCTTAGTCATGCTGGTCATGACCCGGAAGCTGTACGCTGGCTCCCTCGGCCAATAAAACGAGATGAGTGCCGCAACCCCAGAGTCGGCCACGACTGGACCTAATGGTCAGGGGCCCCTTTACCTTTACCTAAAGTTCTTCTAAAGTACAATTGGAGGAGTTCAGCTGTATTGGTTCTGAGAAATACAGAGGAAATACAGAGACTCTTCTTCCCTCTGTAGGAATGTGGACAAGCAAAATAATCAATTTTTGTTTGTGTGCATGTGTTATGAAATACTTTTTTATATAACTATTGACATTTCTATCCGGTCATGCCACACATCAATAATGGATTTCCCTCTCACACGCAAAGTGGCAGCTTTTAAGGGGCAGCGTTTGCCCAAGTGGACATTGTCTGACCAGCAGCAGATTCCTCACTCCTGCTGAGCATACATATGCTTTACTGAAAATAAATATTCAGAAAAGGCTGAAAATAATATCTAATATCTGGCATTTCTCCAAGCTCACTTTTAACACCCAGATAATGTATTTATTGCATTTGTAGTCCCCCCCTTTTCTCCACGGAGCTCAAGGTGGTGGCATAGGTGGTTCTTCTCATTTGATCCCCACAATAAACCTGTGAGGAAAGTTAGGCCGGGAGGCAGGACTGGTCCAAGGTCATATGCAATGAGCTTTATCCAAGTGGGGATTTGAACCCCAGTCTTTCGGGTTCCAGTCTGATGCTCTAACCATTACACCGCTCAGGCTCACTGTAAGTGGGTGTAAGAAGTTTAGTCCACCAGAAGCTTCTCTCCAACAAAATTCTTTCATCTTCAGCTGAAACTCATTTCTCAACCACTTTAGTTGACTCAAAGCATCTAGTGGTGGAAGGGTCCCTATGAAAGCCTTCCACAAGCAGGTGCTCCCCTAAAAAGCCCAAGGTAAATCCTAGAATCTGCATACGAGAGCAGTCCAAGAATTATAGCATTAACTCATTCTCCTGTGTCCCCTGACCTAAGATGTGAACTAACATGACCAAAGAAGGCTGTTATTTCTCAGACAAATGGTTGGTTGATCACAGAGCAGGGATGCCTCCATTGTAGCAGCAGGTTGCCAAGCTAGGAGCTTACTAAATACTATAAGTCAGGTTGAGATTTATTTATTTATTTCATCCAAAATTGGTGTTGCCTGATGGTACCCCTGCTATATCTTATTGTCAAGTGGCCAGTTGATCTGTACGTGTTGTTATTGATTAGCCAGAACATCATACCATGCAAAACAGTTTTTTGAAATAAAGGAACAATTTGTTGTAAATTGCTTCTGAGTGCCTAAAGCAAAAAAGTAAATAAATAATTTCATTTGCACTGCACAGAATCATAGAATTGTAGAGTGGACAGGATCCCAAGGGTCATCCAGCCCAACCCTCTGCAATGCAGGAAGCACAGCTAAATAATCTCTGATAGACGGTAATCAAACCTCTGCCTGAAAACCTCCAAGGAAAGAGAATCCACCACTGGAATCCTATGTAACATTGTCGTAGACCTATTTGTTCTATTACGCTTTCTTTTTGATGCAAATTCATGATATATACGGAAGGTAAAAAGGTAAAGGTAAAGGACCCCTGGACAGTTAAGTTCAGTCAAATTTGACTTTAGGCCGAGGGCTTTAGGTCGAGAGAGCCAGCGTTTGTCCACAGACAGATTTCCGGGTCATGTCGCCCGCAAGACCAAACTGCTTGTGGCACAACGGAACACTGTGACGGAAGCCAGAGCTCACCGAAACGCTGTTTACCTTTCTGCCACAGCGGTACCTATTTAACATGCTTTCGAACTGCTAGGTTGGCAGAGGCTGGGACGGAAAGGCAGCTCACCCCATCGCGGGGATTCGAACCACTGACCTTCCGATTGGCAAGCCTAAGAGGGTCAGTGGTTTAGACCCCAGTGCCACCCACATCCCACTTACCTTTCCCTATATAGGGAAAGCAGGATTGAAAGTTATCACTGCCAATATTTACTTGGAGTTAAGCCCCATAATACTCAATGGGATTTACTGTCTAGTACATGGATGGGGAACCTGTGGCCCTCTAGTTGTTGTTGGATTTCAACTCACATCACTGGAGCTGATGGGAGTTGAACAACATGTGGAACGCCACAGGCTCTCCATCCCTGCCATGGCAAGTATGCTCAGGACAACAGTCTTAAAGCACCAGTGAAGTAACATAAGTAAACTAACTGCCTCTCTAGGCATTTGCATAAAAACTCTTGTCCCTAGTTATGGCAGCACCATTCATTTCAACTAGGGGTGTGCAGGAGAACTTCCCAATGACTTGCCATTTGTGGTGTCAGGCCTGTCTGATGGTCAGCGCTCCTTGCAATAAACTTCACAACACCCAAAAATTGCTAGGAACACAAGAAACTGCCTTATACTGAAGCAGAACATTGATCCATCTAGCTAAAGATTGTCCACACTGATTGGCAGCAGCTCCCCAGAGATGCAGTCTTTGCCAGCACTACCCGGATGTGTCATTGGGGATTGAACCTGGGACCTGCTCTGCTGAGCTATGGCCCTTCCTCAATTAATACTGCTAATAATATTAATAATCGTTTAAAGGCCCATTGGGTTTGACAAAAGTTAGGGAGGAAGGAGTTCTCCTGACACCTTGGTGCTCACACACATCCCAGCTATGACTGACCATCTACCTATCAACTAAGGACCTCTCTAGGATCTGCGTCAGAAGGCCTTTCCCTTCACCCTGCTTCCTGATCCTTCCAACCAGACATGCCAGGAATCAAACCTGGGGCTTTCTGTGTGCTGAGGTGGCACCACTGAGCTGGGGTGTTCCACCCCAAAGCATACACCATAGTGATGCCATCATGACAAGTGGTTACAACTTCCAAGAAAGTTTTGTGCTGTGTTTTTCTGACACTGTTTTTTTGACGCTGAGCTCTTGTGTATTTTTTGCCAACTGAATTGTCTTTGTGTTTTACTGTTGCAAATCTCCCAGAGGACTTGGGGCAATGGGCAATTTAGAGATGGAATGAATGAACGGATAGGCAGCCAGCAATAAAAGCTGGTCAAAGGGGCTGATATCATCATGTGAGCTGCTCAGTGCCCAGAGGGGGCATCCTGGCTTCCTCAAGAAACCAGCTGCCTTAAAATTTGGATTAAAATTTCTTGATGCCGGCACACCCTACAGAAACCACCCCCAACCCAGTGCCCTCCAGATGTGTTGACCTTCAGCTCCCATTAGGCCCAGCTAACATGACCAAGGGTCAGAGATGATGCAAATGGTAGCCCAAAACATCTGGAGCAGCTCCAGGTTGGGGAAGACGGCCCTATGCCATAGAAGTTGCTTCAGCACAGCACATAAACTAGGTAAGATTAAGGAGTGTGGATGTGAAAGAGACCTTAATCACTTCTTCTTGCTTGATTAGAATATTATTATTTTTTTTAAAAATATGGCTGGAAACTCATTAGCATCCCCATTCTATTACTGGCAAGAATCCTTCAAGGATGTGTCATGCAGACACTTCGTTCTTGATTATTTCAGCTCAGCCCCAAATCACTGTTGACAGGGCTACTCAAAGGCTTGTCAGGGAATAGAGAAACATTATGACATTCTTTCTCCACATCACCTTCCATGCCATGAAATATAAGGGTCAGGTCACAATGGATAAGGAGCCATGGGAGATGCTCCCGTATAATGAAGAGGTTATCTTGAGCAGATATGCTCTGCGGGGATTAGGCTGAAGGCTGCCCACCTCTCTCTCTTGCCCCCCAAACCCTTCACCAGCACCACTGGGGTAGGGTGGCGACTCTTAGCAAAGCATGAACTTGGATTCACAATTCAGAAGCCCTGCTGGCAACTGGCATCAAAGGAATTGAGAGCATCTGGAAAGAGGCAACACTTTGGTTTTTATGGGCTTGGGGACCAATCAGCTGCTCATGGTCACCTGATCATAGCTCCAGTGAACTGGTCCAGGATCTACTACCACTGCATAGATGCTGAAGCTAAGCATGGAAAGACTGGATGGGTAAACTGGGATGGTAGATGAGTGGACACCTCATGTAAGAAAGGAAAATAAGTGTCACATTCCATTGTGCATTAAAGTCCATCCTGCTTTCTTGACCTTTTCATAGCTTATTTTCGGTGGTGGAGTGGTTATCCTCCCTCCTTACTCTACCGATA